TGCCTTGCAAGCACAAGGTCCCGAGTTTGATCCTCGGTACCAAAAAAAACCCACAAAAAACCCTAGGATAAATAGAAAAAGATGAAAATAGTAAGCAGTACATTTAAAAAGATAGGCCTAAACAGGGCATAGTAGCATACACCTGTAATCCCACCAGTTCAGGAGGCTGAGGCAAGAGAATTAAAAGTTCGAAGCCAATTATTAAGAAATCAACCAATAACAAATGCTAGTGAAGCTGCGGGGAAAAGAAACCTTGCTCCACTGTTGGTGGGAGGGTAGACTGGTGCAACCACTGTGGAGATTCCTCAAAAAACTAAAACTAGAGGTTCCATTTGTCCCAGCTATTCCCCTTCTTAGTATCTTCCCAAAAGAGTTTAAAGCATCATACCACAGCGATATTATGCACACCCATGTTTATAGCAGCACAGTTTGTAACAGCTAAAACTTGTAAACAGCCCAAATGCCCATCAACTGATGAATGGATAAAGAAGATATGGGTTCCTTATACAGTGGAGTACTACTCTGCCATAAAGAATAAACTTGAGACATTTCTCAGTAAATGGATGCATCTTGAGACCATACTGTTAAGTGAAATAAATCAGACACACATGTTTAAATATCACATTATTTCTCTGGTGCAAGGGACCAAAGGGAAAATAAGGACCAAGATGTATAACAGATATTGGGAAATGGGAAGAAAATGTTCAAATGGGAAGGGGAATGGGGTACAGGGGGAGAATAGAAGGAAAAAAATATAAACAAAGCTTTTGTAAATAAGGAGGAAAAGAGGAGTTGAAGGGAAGGGAGAGGATTGGAGAAAAAAGAACCAAGATGTACTATATACAGGTAAAATTCCCTATGATGAATGTGATCATTATGTATATCTAAAATGTACCAATAAAATTTTTTTTTTTTGGTACCAGGGATCCAAATCGGGACCTTGCGCTTGTGAGGTAGGCGCCAGAACCACTGAGCTAAATCCCTGGCCCTAATTTTTTAAAAAAACTGGAAAAAAATCCACAGAAGTTCAAAGCCCACCTGTATAACTTAGTCAGACTTTATCTCAAATTCAAAAATAAAGAAGGCACGAGGATGTAGCTCACTGCAAAGGTTCTAGGTTCAATGCCCATTACCACAAAAAGTTTTTTTTAAAAAAGAGAAAACTGAGTTTGAATAATTTTCATGGTTTCAAAGAAAAATAAATCTAACTTGGATAGCTGTCTTTAATTTTCCTTACCTCTGATTTTAAGACTGCATAGATGGCTTCAATTTCCTTTCTTCCAGAATTAGATAAATCTGTTACAAAAGAAACAGCGTATATTAACTATTTGATGAACACTATATGAATAAGCAGGCTTTTTTTAGTGAGGGTGGGCAGTGCTAGGGATTAAACTCAAGGGTTGTGGATGCAAGGCAAACACTCTACCACTGAGCTATTCCTCCCAGGCCCAAACAGGCATTTTAAAATGAATATATTTCACTGAATTTAAATAGAATAGGCTGATAGGAAATTTATGTCCTCTGTCTTTACTCTTTGGTGGTGTTTATTGAAATTTTTCTTGTAGAAAATTGGAGATTTTTATAAATTTCACTTTTAGCTTATGCTGTAACTTTAGATGAAATTTGTTTAACTGGGGCTTAGGGCCTTATTTCTAACCTCCATTATTCAACATTATCCAATAATGAATGACCTATAAGCAAAGAAGAAAAACAAAACACATGAAGAGAACACTTATTTAAAACAACACACATGCCATTCATGAAACATGGGGATGAGCTTGATCTGGTTCTGTAATTTTCATTTAAAAGCAGTGAGCACCCAACAGGGCTAAACCAGCACATTGTTCCTGTCAGGAATCATCATCCCCATGGCAGACAGGGGAGGTGCTGCTATTTTAATCTTTATTTTTCATTAATCAAAGCACTTTAATATTATAAAAATACTTCTCTTAACTAAAGTTTAATTTAAAAAAAATGCAAGCAGCATAGTTGTAAATTACAGTGACAAACACTCTTCTTGTTTTGAAAATCACCAAGTAGGGGTGCTTCTGCAACTGCTTGCACATCTTGCTTGAAACTCTGAAACAGCTCTAATTGCTACTCTGAAGAGGACTAAGTATAGTCTAACCTGTTCAGGAGAGCAGTTGGTAAAAGCAGCAACTGTTTCAAGGAGGATCTTAAAAGTGTATGCAGAGCCCCTCCCCACACTCTCTCCCTCTCCCTCTACATATGAATGATATAGATACAGAACTTTTTTTTTTCCGGTACCTGGAATTGAACTCAGTACCTTGCTCTTGCCAGGCAGGGGCACCAACACTGAGCTAATTCCCTGGCCCACAAATAAATAACTTTATAGAGATATATGGCCTGGGCTTTTTAAGTAAAGGGGAGATATGGCAGCCAAGAAACTGACTTTCTCAGTGAAGGAAAAAAAACCACCTACCATTTTTTAATGGTTACTATTTGCTAGGCACGGATCTAGGCATTTTACATTCACTGTTTCATTCGATGCTTTCAAACTCACAATTGAAACAATTAGTCCTTTAACAGAAAAGGAAACTGTACCTTTTGGAGGCTAATTATTTAATAATTTGCCAAAGATCCCAAACTTGTAACGCACAGAAATGGAGTTCAAACCATATCTGTCTAATTTAAAAGCTCAAGGTTTCAACCTTGATGAAATCAGTATGGTGTCTGGTAGAATAGCAACCTTCTGATATTGTAAATATGGATGATTTCCAAGTTGTACCAATTGTGATATTTTGAAATTGTTTTCTGGTGCATTACATTGTTGGGACAAAGCAGACCTTCTAAATAAATTTTCAAATGAATAAATGAATACTATTCAAGTTTTAAATAATTTATAAAACCAATAAAATAGGTATGAAGCAAATCCGACTGTAATACAAAGGGAACAGAATAGCAGATATCCAATCACCAACTCACACAAATTTTACTGAGCATCTATTATGTGCTGAGGAAGACGCTACACACTGGTAATATAAGGAGCAATAAATATATGGTCTCCACCTGCATCAAGGAAAACGATGAATTATAGCTCAGTTTAGCAAGTGTTGTCAAGGAGAGAGCCACACCCCTCTGTTAGCAACTCAGGTCACTGGCTGTCTACTCACTCCATGGTAGTTACAGTCCCTCACAGGTGAGTAGGGTTGTACAGGAAAATTGTTTCTGGGAAAAGAAGGGGTAAGAAAGAAGTAGAGAAAGAAAGGCTTCCCCTGCAGAGGTTTGGGTTGTGTGGGTACCAAAGTTCTGAATGGCAGGAGTTCTTGCACAGGTGTGTATATGAAGGTGTGTAGACATGGCAGTTGGTACAGCAAGTATAAAAGATAGGTGAAGCCAGATGGGAAGGTCCCTGGTCTTCCAAAACTAAGACATTTGGATTTTTTCCTGTAAGTAATAGGTCAAGAAACTTTTAAGCATATTTGTTTTTAGAAAAGTAACTAGCAGTACAAAAGAAAATAGACTGGAACGGGAAAAGGACACAAAAGAGAAACTGTCCCTGAAAGAGATGATAAAGCTCTGAACTCAAAAAGGAGTAATCACCACTGAGCATAGTGGTGCACACCTGTTATCCCAGCATTTGGGAGGCTGAGACAGGGGAATTGCTATGAGTTTGAGGCCAGCCTGAACTACAAAGTGAGACACTGTCTCAAAAAACAACAAAAATAAAACAAAAACAGAAAAAAGAAGGAAGAGAAATACAGGAAGAAACAATCCCAACATACGATGAACAAGACTTAGCAACCAATTAGATGAAAATGAAAGAGAAAAGACAAAGATGTCTAGTTTAGGAAGTTGGGTACTTAGCAAAATCATGGAGCCAGGTGTGGTGGCACAAGCCTACAATCCCAGCACTCTAGGAGGCTGAGGCAGGAAGATCACAAGTTTGAGCCTACTCTGGGCAACTTGGTAATTTAGTGAGACTCTGTCTCAAAAAAAAGAGAAAGAAAAGATGGGGGTGGGCAGAGATGTAGATCAGTGTTAAGGCCTTAGGTTCAATCCCCATTAGTAGAAAGAAGGAAGAAAAGAGGGGATGAGGAAAGAGAAGAGTGGGAAGACATGGAACGAGGGAGGAGAGAGAGAGAGACAGAGAGAGAGAGAGAAAAGAAAAAGGATATGGGAGCACCTCTGGTCAGAATAAGCAAATGAATCCCACCCTACACCTGCCAGACAGACAGGCTGCAGGCTGTAGTTTCTGGTTTGAGGTGAGCAGGACAGACAGCTGCTTTCTCCTATCCAGGACACAGAGAAACGTGTCTTTTCCCCGCAGGGATCAGTCCTTCCCTGCCTCTGCCTGCCCTAGAGATGCTATGAGGGTTCCTGGACTTGCATTCTCACCCCAAACCTGTCCCCTCAGATGCACCCATCACCCAAGGGGCCTCCGCACAGTCACATGAGTTCTGGGGGCTCCCCAGTCTTCCTCCTTCCAAACAGACACCACACTGAAATCCTAAATGTAAGCACTTTCTGTCAAACCATTTTCCTCTACTTCCAACAAATAAATACGAAGGCTCGAGTGGTGCCTCACATTTGTATCACTCAGGAAGCTGAGGCAGGAGGATTGCACGTCTGAGTCCAGCCTGGGCTACATAGTGAGTCCCAGGCCAGCCTGGACAACAGAGAAATAAAAAGAAAAGCTCAATTAAACCATGATCAGGGGTCTAGGTGTGTAGCTCAGTGGTAGAGTGTATGCTTAGCGTGCCTGAGACCCTGGGTTCCACTCCCAGTGTCCCCATCTCATTAGCTCAAAACCCTAATTTATTAATTTATAAGGAAAGAGTCCATCAAAGGAATTGCTCTCATCCAAAGTCCAGCTCCTCATACTCCTCTGAAATTGAAATTTCACAACTCTTTTGATCCAAACCCTACTTGCTGAAAGAAATGTCAAGAAATCAAAACAGTAATTAACTTAATCATTGATTATCACGTAACTGTAGATCAAAAGTCAACAGTAAAACATATTATTTTTAAAAATGAATGTGCTGGGTAGCGCACACCTTTAATCCCACACTGACAGGATAAAGCAGGAGGTTGGAGAGTTTGATGCCAAGTGAGTTCTAAGCCAGCCTGGACTACAGAGATAAAAAACAAAACAAACCTCAAATCATGACAAAAAAAGGGGGGATCCGAGGGGTGTAACTTAGTGGTAGGGTGAATGTTTAGCATGCATGAATCCCCAGCACCCCCATCCCATTAAACCAGAATGCTAATTTATAAGGAAAAAAAAAAAAGCTGTCAAAGGAACTGCTCTCATCTAAAACTCCAGCCCATTATCTCCCATGTAGGCAGACCTTGATTGAAATTGAAATTTAACAACTCTTTTGATCCAGACCCCTTTCAGCCAGTGCTGAAGGAAATGTCAAGAAGAGTAGTAATTAACTTAACCATTGATGATCATGTAACTCTAGGTGAAAATTCAATAGCAAAACAAAAAGACTTCAAAAATGAGTATGTCAGGTGTGGTGGCCTACACCTGGAATCCTAGCGCCCTGAGATGCTGAGGAAGGAGGACTTCGAGTGACCCTAACCTGGGCAACTAAGCAAATCCTCACAGTACAAAAACAAAAAAATTGAAAGGGTAAGGAATGTAGTTCAGTGTCAAGGTCTTCGGCTCAATCTTCAGCACCACCAAAACAACGGGGCCGGGGATTTAGCTCAGTGGTTCCCCCGCCTGCTGCGCAAGCTCAAGAACCCGAGTTCGATCCCCGGTACCAAAAAAAAACCAAAACCAAAACCAAAACAAAACGTGAAGGGTGCTGAGGATACCCAAAGATAGGGTGTCTTCCCTATCCTACTGTTAAAATATGTGAGAAATTTTCAGCTGGAAAGTTGCAACGTGTCGTCACAAGGTACAAACTAAAATAATTGATGTTATTGATTAAATAATTGATAAATTATTAATAATATATTGGAGATATTAGGGGCAAGGGTTACCAAATGTTTTTATTGTGAGCTATTTCGATCGTTACAAAAATAGAAGAAATCAAACAGTAACTATTTGTCTTGATTGTTTTAACTCTGTCAAAGTAGAGGAAAATGATCAAAAATCAGATCTGCTCCCCAAACTAAGGGCAAAATTAAAGTGTGGGGATGGACAGATCAAGCAAAAGGAAATTCTACTCAACAGTTTCGGTCTACTTTGAGATAAATGTCTCCAAAGAGAGGAAGCAGAACTGTTCCCCAGGACCCTGTAGCCTTTCATCACGGAAAACTAGTCGAGGAGGCAAAAGGAGTGTAAAGGGAAAGCTCAAAGTCAGTGCTGGGTCACCTGGTGTCTCCTGGTGCGTGGAAATGGGAAGCAAATGGGAGTCCCTAGGGTCCCAAGAACCCCCCCCACACACACACACACCGCCAGCTGTTACCTTCCACTTCCTCGGTGCCCTCCATCAGCATATCCTTGGTGAAGTTTGAAATCTGGCCAGTGAGGGAAGCCAGGCTGCCCCCAACTTGACCCAGTGACTGGCCCAAGCCGGACCCGAAGCCCCCGAGCCAGGACGACATCTCTGCGGGTTTCGTGAACAATTTGGCCCGCTCGACTGTCCTGAGCCGCTGCGGAATGAGTCCCGATTAACGAGCTCCGGTTTGGAACCACAACGCGGGTCTACCAGAAACGCAGAGGCCCGACCCCGAGCTTTACCAGGGACTCGCCTCTAGTGATACAGTCACACCCCAGGGACTTCTGCTCATTCTCACGACTTCCTGCCCACTTGGATGGCCACTTCTCCCTCAGTTTTAGTGACTTTCCTCAGTTCCGAAGGCTGTTCCTGCCAACTCGACGCTCGCCGCCATGACACCAGCTTTAAAAGCGGTAGCGGATCATAGAGAAGTACCGCGGCGGGATAGAAGTGCCCTGCGAAGCTGTCAGATCTGTCGTTGGCGCAAAGGAGGTTGGGATCGGGAGGACCGAAGGCTGCGGTCGGCCCTCGTCACCTGCTGGATTCTCCACGTCACCTGCTGGATTTGGCCGCGGGAGGTGTACCCGGAAGAACCGTTGCACTCGCGGCCCTGGGTTCCCAGGGAGACCCGACCTTTGGTGACAGCTTCCTGAAGCCGGCATGCCCCGGGAGCCCTGCGGACCGTCATTGAGTTGTTGAAACTGAGTGTTTTAATCCAGGCTGCGCTCGCGAGGACAGCGGTGCAAGACTTGGCCAGGTCGTTTCATTGCGCGGGAAGGGACTTCAGAGACCCCACATTACTGTGGCCATTTCTCTGCGGGGCTACGCTTGCGAGGCACTGTACAATAGTAGGAACTGAGGCTTCAAAGCTGTAAAGGACGGGTTACAAGTTGAAGTGTCCGGGCAAGAAACGCAGTGTTTCATGATTACCATCTGGTGGCTTTCCAACCCACAATTGAAACTTTGCCTACTTTAATACGATGAGCCTTATTTCTGAAGCAGGTGGGCCCATCCTGGGACTAAATGACTTATTAAAGGCCAGCAGGTTGGTTTAATGCAGAATTTCTGTTCTGATGTAAACCCTCCTATTAGCTGGGCGTGGTGGCGCAAGCCTGTAATCCTAGCAGTCTTGGAGGCTGAGGCAGGAAGCCTGAGCAATTTGGGAAGGCCCTATATCAACCTTCAAAACAAACAACAAAAAAACTCCACTCCTGGGCCGGAGATTTAGCTCAGTGGTGCCACCGCCTGCCTCGCAAGCCCAAGGTCCTGAGTTTGATCCCCGGTACCCAAAAAAAAAAGGGGGAGAGAAAGAAAAAAGAAAAAACTCCACTCCTATCACATCGGTGGCACAAGTTGTGCCACTGCCCACACCTCCCTCATCCCACACACTGGCTTTCAGTACACCAGTGTCCTGCTTGTCTGCGGTCCCTCCTAAAGGAAGAAAGGTTGTCACGTATTTCAAGCAAATGGTGCAGTGCTGCATGGACACCCAGCACCTCCCCAAGGAGATTACCACGTTTTTGTTTTGAAAAAGAGCCAATAGGTTCGCAGTTTTTTCAGCATAGCACTAGATACGCGGACATCTTTACTTTGGATTTTATTGACAGGATTGGCTATAGCAGATTGCCCTGTTAGTGAACCCGACAAATGGGAATGCTTCCAAATATTTGGAATCTCATAACACCAGGCAATAATAGTTCTCCCTGAAATCCGAGTGGTTTTAAAATAAAATTTGTATCTTATTCTGGAAGTGCTAATTAAATGCTTTCAGTGAATTTACGGGAAAGACATTATAGTCCAAGAATTAGTTGTACAGTCTTTGGAACCTGCCTGGGTAGGTCCGTTATTAGCTATATGACCTTCGGTAGGTTTCTTTACCTCTGTGTGCAACCGTTTGTGATTTATAAAAATGGAGAATGAAAGGCCGGGGATTTAGCTCAGTGGTTCCACCACCTGCCTCAAAAGCTCAAGGTCCCCAGTTCGATCCCCGGTACCAAAAAAAAAAAAAAAAAAAAAAAAAATGGAGAATGATTTTTTTTTAAATGGAGAATGATAGGATCGGGACTGTAGCTCAGTGGTGCCGCGCCTACCTGGCAAGCCAGAGGTCCTGAGTTCTATCCCCTCCACATACACACCACAAAAAATATATATATAATAATAATAATAATGGTACTCACTGGGGTTTAGGCAATATTTCTAAGAACTTGAATCAGTGTCCAGGACATAATGATTTCTATTTAAGTGTTTTCAAAGTTTTTAAATGTGCCATGCAAATAATCAGTAAATTATTAATGTGTATGCTATTAATCTGGGCACTGGGAATACAGCAGGAAGAAAAAAACCACTAAGGCCCTTGGCCTCATGAAGCCTGAATCCTACTGGGAAGCCACAGATAATAAAATGTAATAAATGTTAGGTGTTAATGACTTTGTGGGGTGGGGAATAAAGCAGGGTAAGGATGATATGGGAAGGACGTGGGAAGAGGAGATACTTGTAATGTAGACTCACAGAGTAATCAGAAAAGAGCTCATTGATAAAGTAATCTTTGAACAGAGACTTGAAAGAAAAAAGAGATTCATGGATATGGGACAGAGCAGTCCAGGTGGTAAGAAACAACTGATACAAAGGTCCTAGGGCAGGAGAACACTTGTCAAGTTAAGAGGATTTGCAGGAAACCAATGATGACTAGAAAAGAGTGGGCTGGGGAGAGATGTAAGCAACTCATCTCTGGGAGAGGAATCTTGGGAGAGAACTGTGGGAATCAATGATGGCAGTCCAGTGTTTAAGAGTCCTCACAGCAGGGGATGGCCAATGAAGTCTAGAGGGAGGGACAGCAAAAAGACAAAAAGAAAAGAGGCAAAGAATGTCACAAACTGCTGGGAGGTGGGAAGCCTGAAGTTGTGTTCTTGTGTGAATATCAGAGTATTTATACAGAACTTGATAGCATAATCTACAGCAGACTCAGGTTATATGTTTATCCTATGGGACCACTGTGTATGTCAGGGGTGGTGAACCTATGGCATGCATGGTGCAACAGGCTGTTTGTATCACTGAAAGCTCTAAAAGCTTCGCCATCATTGGTATACTTGGTTCATTACTGAAACATTACGTGGCTCATGACTACTGTTTGGATTCTGGTGTTCGGAATTGGATAAAATGAGGAAAATGCCACTCTTAAAAAGCCAGGGCTGGGCACTGTGGTACACACTGTGGGAGGCTGGGGCAAGAGGATCACAAATTCAAGCCCAGCCTGAGCAAACATAGCAACTTTATAAGACCTTGTCTGAAAATACAAAAATAAATGTTTAAAGGGCTGGGGGTGTACCTCAGTGTAAATGCCCTGGGTTCAAGCCCCAGTCCTGCAAATCACAACACAACACAGTAAGTTACTGGTAGGGAATGGTGGCACATGCCTGTAAACTCAGCACTCAGGAAGCTGTGGCCAGCCTGTTACACAGTGAGACCATCTCAAAAATATAAAAAGTTACTCATGTGGTTTTGGCCTTCAAGGTTAAAATAACTGAGCAAACATTTATAAATCAGATTTCAAAAAGAATGTGGAATCCTTGGCTTTGGCAGAAGTACCAGCGAACTCCCAGCCAGCTACATCCATCATTTAGCAGGTTGAGAGCACCCCCAGACAGAGCTGCTCTAACCTACTGCTTCAGGTCAGATTCAGAAGGGCTGAGCGTGGCCTAAACCTGCTTTTCAGAAGTGCTCTTGGGTCCTACAGATGTGGCTAGCCTCACATCCTTGGAACAAGCTGGCTATGAATTAACACACACCAATAAAACAGGAAATACAAAAGCAAACATTCTCTTTATTTAATAGTCTTTGATATTTAAAATACAACTCATTGAACATCCACATCAACAACAGAATCCTCAGTGCTCAACAGTGCTTTGGAAGCCCAGCTTTTGGAGGACAAGACAGGAAGGCCTGTGTGTGGATTAACAGCAAGGACTCTACAGGAGAGGGCACACACCAAAGGGCTGCAGGGTTGGGTCCTGAGCAAACAGCACTGCCACAGTGCACTTATATCATGGCCAAAAGACAACGGCTTTTCTTTCACATGTGTTTTTGTATGTGAATTTCAAAAATTTATACAGAACAACAGTAATTTTTTAAAAGTTACTCCTAGTAGTCCAGTGTTGTAGAAATTAGATAATCACAGTCCAAATTTGTTTTTCTCTTTCAAAAAGAAAAAAAAAAGCATTAAAAAATCCCAGGAAACATTCACCTTTGGACTATGCAAAAGATAACAGAGTGCTTCCTAAACAAATCAGGAATCTCCACATACATTTTGCTAATGCTTCCCACTGCTTTGTCTATGTATCCAGTCTAAAAAGAATATTAATATGCTATTATTAAACATGCCAGTTGCCATATATTTAAAAATTATATTAGTATTCTTAAAATTTGGTAAAAATTTGTTTTGGAAAAAACAAAAACAGTAAAAGAATTCTTCAAACTAATCGAAATTCAAGAACTAACCATGTCACTATCTTTTCATTCATGAAAGAACACATATAAGACTTCAAAAAGTACAAAGCGTGTTGATTTCTTTAGCAAAAGATGCTAGTTATAAAGGGACTAGGAATGAGGGCTTTTATTCTGAAAAAATTATTTACATTGCTGAAACAATTAGTTGATCCAATCTGTTTCTTCTTCTTAAGGTCACTATATCACTATCTCCATACGTGTTAGGTCTCAAATATAACAATTCATTTTGAAAACATTGGTGGCCTAAGGCCTCTCCAACTGCACATAAAGCTGGTTTTTTTGGTTGTTTTGGTGGTGCTAGGCAAGAACTCTTACAACTGAACTATACCCTCATTTGACAGATAAAGTTTTTAATAGGAGGTCTCAATATTACTGAATCCTAATAACTTAAAACATCAAGATTTTTCAATTTATGACTTTTAAATTACTGTATTTTGATTATGCACTGAAATCAATCTTTGGATTTCCAGTCTAGTGGGCCAGTGTTAAGAATTTAGTAACTCTTGACACCAGCATGATTTTTAAAAAATATCAAACATATATTTAAAATGTGACTTCAGCTCTGACTAGAATAAAATTCATTTTGTCAACGATATTAAATGAAACAATATAGACTACTGGTAGTTTTTGCCTATAATAATACTAAACTAGTTTTGAGCTTTCTTCTTTAACTTTGGCATTATGAATAAAGCCTTAATTAAGAAAAATCAAGTTTTTTTTTTTAAAAAGCACCTTCTTAAACAAAATGTTCGGTGAATTGTAAATTATTTGGCCAAGACCTTAGAATATTAGTTTACCTGCAGCAACCACTTCAAACAATTTACATTACTGAAATATCTGTATGTTAATTACTATAAAAAAGTACATTGACTATTTCCCATCAGAGGTTAACTCTGAAATTTTAAAACATAAATAACTACTTATTAAATCCATGATACCTAAAAATATGAAAGTGGTATTTCCAAAGTTTGCTTAAACTTTACTTGTAACACTAGCATCACCACTGTACATATTTTATTCTGGTAATACAAATTATACATTAGAAAAATGATACCATTAGTTTAAATATTAAACATTAAAGTCTTCCCAATTGGTAAAGCAAAATGGAAATCTTTATAAAGTTTTTAGCAGGAGAGTTATTGTGAATTTACTTCTTCCTTTCTTACAGGTAGTTTACAGTAAAGGGTAGTTTCTGACATATGAATTATAGCTTTGTAAAACCTAAACTTTTTAATAGTAAGGTTATAAGCATTGGCATCTTTTCATACTGGCTAATCAAGAAAGAAATGGAGTAACCCCAGAACTTGGAAGGCTGAGGAAGAAGATCACTGTGAGTCTGAGGCCAGCCTGTGCTACACACTGAGGTCTAAGTCAGGCTGAACTACACGGCAAGAGCCCCTCTCAAAAAAAAAAAAAAAAGAAAAGAAAAAAAGGGAATATAAATGTTCAGATAAATTTAAGCCAATCCAAACAAGACGGTGATTCTGAATCTGTCTGCCAAATATAACAATTTCACAACAAAGTAAAACACATTCAAACATATCCAGTGTGTGCTCAGCTCTGCTTTAAAAAGTCCCTAACCTATGAAGGTCAACATGCTATATTTTCTTAAGTACTTTAGCCAGGGTGTGTAATATATGAACTTTATAAACTCTACAGTTAAAACTTTAAATGCATACTGGTTTTATTTTTCTATTAGGTAGTTCATCAATTCAAGTGCATGAAAAGTTTAATGTAATTATTCAATAGGAAAAGGTAAAGGCCAAATACTCATGGAAAATATGACCAGGACATTGGGGATAACTGCATAAATATTCAGTCTTAAAATATTCAGCTTTGTAAATCTTGAGGGAGTATTCCTGAACTCTCAAAGGATATCCCTATAATTCTTCTGAAACATTTTCAATTGTTAAAACTTTAGATTTTAAAATAAAACTAATTTTGTATAAGAGACATTTTAGAAAACTAATTGGCACAAAATAATGACTCCAAATATCTGTCGTAGGGGCAGGCATGGTAGCCCACGACTCTAATCCTAGCGCTCTGAAGGCTAAGGCAGGAGGATCGCTGTGAGTTCAAGGCCAACCTGGGGTACATAGTGAGTTCAAGGACAGCCTGAACTACATAGCAAGACCCTGTGTCAAAAAAAAAAACCTCTATCCAAGCAAAAGGTATTTCATAATCATAAATAAAAAATACTTTAATCTTTTTTCAGTTAACAATAAATCCTAGATCCAAACTTTCCCTGATAAAATGTGTGTAACTACAAAGCAGTAGGGTAACACACTATACTTTACTTTTCTTAAATTGTTGCTTGAAATTTCTTCTTGAAGTTTAGCTTATGAATAAGGCAACATTCAAAAGGGCTTCAAAAGGGGATGAGGAACAGGGAACAGAAGCTAAATGGCCCATTTCAGAAACAGATGGTTAATCACCAAAATCATACTACTAGTATATTGACCAAACAAGAAACTCTGTGCATCTCAGTTAAAGAATGTTTATCAAAACTAAGGACTTTCTTATTTACAGACCCAATAATTACTGTGACTTCTATAAATCTTAAGCTATTTAAACATGATGCAACTGTCAAATAACAGTGTACATTTAAATATATTTTCATTATTACATTATTTTCACGTTTCAGATCACCATCCCTGGCAAGTTATACCTATTAGAAAATGTGAAGTAGAAGTCTACAATCCATGACTCCACTATAAATAGAACACAAAGCTCTAGTCACAAAAGAACAAAAATAAAATGAAACTGCTATTAAAGTTAAAGGCCAAATTGCATTATCATACATTCATGGTGGGTATATATGTTAAGTCTTCTAGCAGAAGGAAATCTGCTTGCATACTATGCTTCCCCTACTTTTATCAACTGGAGAAGGAAATAATAAGGCAGGAAAAAAGGGCTACAACAAAGCTGTAAAGTTGTGACATAATTGAAAAGACATTCATAAAGCATCTGGGAAAACAAATGCTTATACATTTTTTTAAAATGCTCATTTATTCTCAAAAATTTGTGCAGAGCTGATTTTAGAATTTAGGAATGCACCAAAGTCATGAAATAATGATCCCACTGTACAAGGCTTAAGAAAAGCAAAACCTCAGAAAAGGTTATCACTTTTTCAAAGGAATTGTAGAAAAATAATGAAAACCAGGTAACAAAGAAATTGTGATCAAAGAAAACATCACCATGCATGGCATATGTAGTGGGTGGGAGGGGGGAGGTTTATCCTTCTAGAATCACTATTATTATCAAGACAAGAGACACTTTCCTGAAAGGTTAATTTGGTTAGTGAGAATTAAAACCAATTATTAGATGTTGAAAGTGTGCAAAATTACTTATAACAGAAGAAAAAAAGAAAACCATATGGACAAGTTCCATGGCAAGAGCTAATTAGGTGGTCTGCAAAAAGAGCCAAGAAAGATGCCCTAATTTTAGACACATTAGATATTGCACCCTCAGAAAAGAAAAACCAAAGTTTAGAAGACTATTTAAATTTCTTTAATTGCTGAATGCCTCTTTGGTGGATCATTATTTATTCCTACAATTGACACATTTTCTACTTTCTCATTTTGTTTGCAAGCCACCTAAACATTTCCTCTGATGAACAATGTTCTCTTTGATACATTACCAAAATGGACCCTATGCTGTAATCACAAAGGACAGTGTTGGAAAGTATGAATATGTAAATGATTTTAAAAGATATTATTTTTTCCCTTCTGTTTTCAAATTATTTGTAACAGTTTCTAAAGACATGGTCACAGCTGCCTGAAGCATGTCTTCTTCACTCATAGAATCACCTGTTGGGAAATAAAACACATACATTTTTTAGAAATTTCTGGAAAACTCTGTCATCAAAAAGTAAAATCTTAGGACTGGGGATTTAGCTCACTGCCTGCCTCACAAGCGCAAGGTCCTGAGTTCAATCCCCAGTACCCCAAAGAATAAAAAAAATAAAAATAAAAAAGGTAAACTCCTCTTAGGAAACACATTTCTATTTGAACATTAGTTTCCTTTTTTTGATTTTTTAAATTCATATAAAGTAAAATTTACCCTTTTATAGTTTTATAATCTTTCACATATGCAGAGTTGTGTAACCAATACCACCAAGACACACTCTGGAAAAAAATATCCCAGGAACCATTGATAATGTTCTCTGTTGTATAGTTCTGCCTTTTCCTGCAAGTCCTAAAATGGAATCACACAGTAATAAGTATGTAGCCTTTTGTATATGACTTCTTTCACTCAGCAAAATGCATCTGAGATTGTGTTTATTAACAATTTATACTTTTTAGAAAAAATATTTAGTTTGAAATAATTGTCAATTCACAGGAAGTTCCAAAGATAGAGGGTTTCTTTTGGCCCAATTTCACCCAAATCTACATCTATTTAACCCAACAGTTACATTTTATGTAACTAAAGCTCAAAAGCAAATCCATACATTAATACTGGTGCACAATGTTGTGTGTGGACTTAGATGGTATTTTATCAGCATGAGGATTCATATAACTAACGCCACAATTAAGATACAGAGCTGAAGGCCTAGTGAAGGGTGGTTCAGTGGTAGGGCACCTGGTTAGCATGGAAGAGTGTGGTCCCCAGCACTGCAAAAACAAATAAACAAACAAACAAACACAGGACATACAACTTACAGAACCACAAAGATCTCCCTCCTACTCTTGCATCAGCCACACCACTCTCTTCCACTTTTTCTAATTGCTAGCAACTACTTATTCTTCTCTATCACTACACATTTGTTATTTTCAGAATGTTACACTAACAGTTTAAGACCTTTTCTAACTTGAGCATGATGTCCCTGCAATGTATCCAAGTTGCTCCATGTATTAACAATTTGGGGTTGTTTTTTGAACCCTCAGAGTAGCATCCCATGATGTACTATACTTTATAGTTTAACCATTTGGCTACAGCAGGACATCTCAGTTGTTCATAGTCGTTACTACGAACATTTTCATTTCTCTAGGGTAAACACCCAGGAATGTAAATGCTGGGTCATATGGTGTATGTTCAATTTTTTTAAAGAAACAGCCAACATTTTTTTTCAAAATGACTATACTAGTTCAAATGAAATGTAGAGCTGGCATGGTGGTGCACGCCTGTGGTCCCAGCAACTCAGCAGGCTGAGCTACAAAAAGCAGCCTGGGTAACATAACAAGGGCTCATCTCAAAAAAATAAAATAGCAATGTAGAAAGTTTACCTCCCTCATTTACAACAGAACTGCCTTCAATATTTCCTACATATACACTGAAAACCAAACCAATGTTGTAATTCTTGCTTTAACCACCAAGCATAATTTAGAAAATTCAAGAGGAGAAAGTCTATTGTGTTTACCCATATTTTATTCTTTCTATTGTTCCTTCTTCCTTCTGTATATATCAAAATTATTTCTTTTATCATTTCTGTTTAAAGAACTTCCTTTAGCCGTTCTTTCAGGATAGGTCTGCTGGAGACCAATTCTCTTAAATTTCCCTTCATTCCTGAAGGATATTTCCTTAGATATGTAATTTTAGGTTTAGGCCCTTTCAGCACTTGAAAAATATTGTTCACTTCCTTCTGTATTCCACAATTTCTCATGAGAAATCAGCTATCATTCAAATTGCTGTAGGGAAGGTTATTTGTTGCTGATTTTAAGACTGATGAGCCTGGGTGTGGATTTCTTTAGATTTTTCCTATTTGAAATTCACTCAGCTTCTTCAATTTGTACATTTCTATCTTTTGTCAAATTTTCAATGATTATTTCTTCAAAAAGTTTTCAATCCAGTTCTTTCTCATCTCGTAGATTCCCATGACACAAACGCTAGAACTTTTGTTATAATGCCACAGGTTCTAAGGCTGTCTGTATTCATTTTTTCCAGTCTATTTTCTTTCCATTGCTTATAATGGGTAATTTCTACAGTTGTCTTCAAGTTCACTGAGTTTTATGTCTTATCCTTTCCATTTTGCTACTGAGTCTATTCACTAAGTTTTAAACTTCAATTACTGTTATTTCTCGGCTCTAAAACTTTCACCATGTGGTTCTTCATATATTCTATTTCTTTGCTGAGGCTATTTTCATTTGTGTCAAGCATGTTTGTTGAAACTGCTTCCTGAAGCACTTTTATGATGGCTGCTTTGAAAATCCTTACCGTATAATTCTAACATCAGTGCCATCCAGGTGTTGGTGTGTACTGATTGTCTTTTCTCATCCAAGTTGAGATTTTCCTGGTTCCTCATATGACAGGTATTTTCTACTGAATCCTGGACACTTGGGAGATTATGAGACTTGTGATCTTATTTAAGTCTTCTGTTTCTGCAAGCCTCCTCTGTCACAGCCCTGGTGGGAAGAGAGAGTGCTGCCCTACCACTACCAGACTGGAACCAAAGTCCAGGGTCCCTTGGGGCTCTGAAGTCAGGTGCTTGATCACCATCCTTACTGCTGAACACATGTGAGAGCTCCGGCTCCCCACTAGTCCTCCACTGATGTCTTCCTGACCGCGAGGGGAAGAGTCCTTCATTACTGCTCCCCATGTGGGCTCCAAAGACACTGCAGGGTGGCTTGGCTGCTGCTGGATACCAGTGCCGGGCTTGATTCTCCATCAAGCCACTTCGCTGACACCACCCATGCAAGGAGCCAGAAGGAGGTCTACTTCTCACCAGGTCAAAGTTCAAGCTCTCTAGGACCACTGATGCCATGCCAAAGGGAGCCTCAGTACTTCCTGGAGGCAATGAAGATCCCTGCTTCCCATTCACTTTCTCTGACACCACCCTGGGAAAGCAAAGGGAGAGATGCACCTTTTTGATGCCATGCTGGAGTATAAATTTATGCTCCCATTGTTCTCTGCTGGTGGAAAGTGTGGTGGGGCCGTTTATTCCATGGTTTCTGACTAGGCTCGAGTGTTCATTATTTTAGATGAGATAAGGCACGTTCAGGGTGGTATGGCCACAGACAAGTGTTGTTTTAAAGTCTCCGTCTTGTGAGGCAACTCCTTTTGCCTAGACACAAGCTTTTTTTCCCCCTTTTCTATGGTGGATATGCTTTCTTCCTGTTCTGCATCTGTGGATTTTTCAGAGCCAAGACCAGGAAATATAAAGTAAAAAAGAAAATCCAGGCCACACATTGCCATGTCACCCCTCTGGTCCTGAGGTCCCTAGCCAATCTATCTTCTCTTTATCTTTGAGACCCCTCTTATGCTTATTTTATTCATATGGAGTTTTTGGCTGCACTTCAAGGAAGAACAGGAAAAAGTACTAGTTTATTTCTTTTAGTATTCACCTATTTTGATTTAGTACCATAGTTTGTGTATCTATTCATGAAATGAAGGCCAACATGTAGGCAGTTTCCAGTTTCAGGCAACTATGAATAAAACTGCTATAAGCACTCGCGTAAGTTTTTGTGTAAATCTAAGTTTTCTGTTTCTCTTGATTATATATCTGAAGTGGGACTCCTGCCATGGTTAAGTGTATACTGTACATGTAAGTTTATTAAAAAAGGCCAAACTGTTTTCCAAAGTTGCTGCACCAGTTTATATTCCCATTAAAGTGTCTGAGAGTTCCAGATGCTATGATCTCTGCCAATACTTGGTAGTGTTTGTTTTTATGAGGCCTTCTTATAGATGTGTAGTGTTATCCCACTGTGGTTTCAATGTCCATTTCCTTACTGACTAGTGATACTGAGCATCTTTTCATGTCCTTATTTGTTATCCCTGTGACAGTTAACTGATTGTGTCAACTTGAGTAAGAAATGCCTAACATTGGATCAGCATAGTTCTGGGTGTGGCTGGGGGGATTTACTGAAGTCAGAAGGCCCCTTAGGGTGGCTTGTCGCCTGAATGGTGTAAGGGTGAAATGGAGAAGCAAGGCTTGCTTGTTTCTTTGGAGTAGCTCCAGTCTTCACCTTTCCCTTGGACATCATCTCCTGGATTCCAGCGCAGACTCTCAGTCTCTACCTCAGACACTTCAGCCTCCTGATAGAAACTCTCACGGGACATGACACTGAGCTTCGGGCTTCTGACTGGATCCTTCTGATGTTCAGTGCACAGGCAAACCTTTAGCACTCTTCCACTGTAAGCCAATCTTGTAAATTCTTATATTTGTCTATCTTGCATTAAATCTGTTTCTCTAGTAAGTACTGACTGATAAATCCTACATCTATTTTTTTTTTCTTTTGAGACAGGGTCTCACTATGTAGTCCAGGCCAGCCTTGAACTTGCTACATAACCTAGGCTGGTCTGGAACTTGGGATTCTTCTGTCTCAGCCTCCCAGGTACTTGGAGTACAAGTATGCACCACCATGCCTGGATCATCCCTCTCTTATTTCATGAAATCTCTTTTCAAATCTTGCATCCATCTACTATACAGTTTTGAGAGTTCTTTACAGAGTCTCTTTATAAGTCCTATGTCAGATACATTTCTCTTTCACTAGAATTCTACTGCCAATACTTGGGCAAAGTTTAAGCCAAGGCTTCGTGAGCAACTCTACACTTCTTGTTATTTTGAGTACACTCAAGTATTTTTAGTTTTCCGGGTGGTAAAATGTATTTATTTTCCAATTACTAATATTATCTCTCAAGAACTTTTGAAGAATATATTATTATGAAGTGGCAAACATCATATTTATAATTTTTAACTAAATATTCATTGAGTGCTCTTGTCTACTTGCTCCATAGTTCAAGGAAATTTAGTAGATTATAAAGTCATTTAAAAGTTTTAATATCATTAAAGAGGGAAGAAAAATCTGAAACATTACATAGAGCCTGTGCGTCACACGGAGCATGCAAGAAACACGATGGACAGAAAGCTGTACCTAGATCACTCCCAAGTCCTCCTGAACTTGTGGTCGGCCTTTCACAAGGCTGTGAAGCCTGTCCTGGTGGATCTGTCTGCTGCTGCTGCTGCTGCTGCTGTCTGAAACATTCAAAAGTGATGTACATTAGAAAAACAAAACTTAAGGATAAACATACCACAGAAAACCTATTCTCATAGAAAATAAACTGCCTCACAAACCAAAATAGTCATTGGCACAAACAACACAAAAGGTGACAAGAATAGTCTGATAATTAAAAGTATAAAAAAATAAAATATCAATAGTACAGAAGTGTTCATCCTAGGAAATCTAGACATAAAATTTAAATGTATCAGATAAATGAAGAAGTAGTTATTTTCACCACAAAATAACTTTCTGTCAGTAAAGATTCACTGGTAATTCTTATGGAAACAAGTGCTGGTTTACAGATCCTTGATGGTTTTAGAAACCACTGAAAAGCACCTTTGAGAAGATAAAACATCTCAAATTACCATGAAAGTTTATGCACTATTTCCATGGCTTGCTCTTTCTTGTTATTAAGATCTGAGCTTACATATCTCCCCAAAGATGCCCCTCCTGGCCAACCCACCTAAGATAGGCACTTGGTTTTCTATCTCTACTTCATTTTCATTCTCAGCATAAACTCATCACCATCTGATATTCTTCTGTTCAGCTTCCTATTTAGGGTATAAGCTAAAAGAAGCACAAACCTTTTATTGTTTATCTGTTTCTTCAGTGCCTAAAACCATGCATGTCACATGGCAGCTATTCACTAGATACTTGTTGAATTAAAGAGATGAGAACAACACATCATCAAGTGTCAGCAGTATTTATTATATTAAATTCCTCTATGTTTAAAAAGAAGTATCAAAGAATATACATTTTAAAACATTTAAACATAGCAGTCATTATGAAAAACTGCAGGAATGAAGCTAGGTGCAGTGGCAGCTACCTGCAGTCTCAGTTACCTGGGAGGCTAAGGCACAAGAACTGCTTAAGCACAGGAACTGGGGATCAGGCTGAGCAACACAGCAAGATCCCATTTCAACAAATAAACAGCCATGCAGAAGTGTATCATGGAATTTAGAAAATATACACAGAGAGTCGGGTGTAGTAGTGCACAACTCTAACTACAGCTACTTAGAAGACGGAGGCAGGTTCGAGGCAACTCTGGGCCACCTAATGAGACCCTATCTCAAAATAAAACTTAAAAAAGCATTAGGGATGCAGCTCAGCACTAGCGCACTTGCCAAGCGTGTGAGAGGCCCTGAGTTCAATCACTAGTAATGGCAAAAAAAAAAGGCAAAGCAAAGCGGATTGAAGAGGAGCAGAAAGGAGAGAGGAAAGATACATATACACGGAAGCACTGAAACATGGTAAAAAATAATTCAAGTTATTCCCAAATGATTCAGAAATGTCTCCAACTAATGGATAATGTTGGTGAAGGGTACCAAAGGGTATAAGGAGCTCTGTGTACTACTTCTGCTTTTATGTAAGTTGAAACATGTATTAGTTCATATACTATACAAACACAGAAAACTAAAAAAACCTTATAAACAGCTGACAATCTGAGAAGTCAGAGCCTTAAAAAAAATAAGGATTTAAAAGGAATCCAAACTTTTAAACTACCAGCAACATGAGTAATAGTATAGCACTTTTCTTCCCCCACAGTCCCTCTCAATATTGAGTTTTAAAAGTAAGCAAGTGGGCTGAGGATTTAGCTCAGTGGTTTCGCCACCTGACTTGCAAGTGCAAGGACCCGAGTTCAATCCCCGGTACCAAAAAAAAATAAATAATAAAAAATAAATAAAAGTAAGCAAACGACAAAAAACTTCGCCAGTGGGAATGACAATCTCCCCTGCTGGTCTGAGCTAGAATACCATGGCACAGGTGTAAGACACGGTGTGAACAGTCAATGGTGCATACACAGACAGTACACTATGCTCCCTCTAGCCAACCTTGCCTCTGGAACATGGGAGGAAGAAGATAAACTGAGTTATGGGGAATTCCTGGCACTCTATGCAAGAATACATGCCAGAATAGAAGGTAGAGGTGAGATCGCAACTTCAGAGGGATTACATTTAGTCTAATTTTTACCTTTTTTTTCTTTACTAGTTTATTAGTAGAAAATAACAATACATATTTATGGGGTTTTTCTACTTTTAATTTATGAAAGTTGAAAAGCAAATCTTTTTTAAAAGATTTTTTTGGTTCATTTGAGACAAGGTCTTGCTCTGTAGTTCAGGCTGGTCTTGAACTAACTATGTAGCTCAGGCTGATCTTAAACCCATGGCAATCCTCCTGCCTCAGCCTCCTGAGTGCTGGGATTACAGGCAAACTCCACCATGCCTGACATAAAGTAAATCAACTGCCACTTTTGAATCAGTTTTAATACCTTCCAGCTTTGATGACACCAAGAAAGTCTATCCCCACTGTTTGTTCTAATGTACTTTCTAGTATTACAGACGTTGAAAAGCTAGTCTGCATGGCTTGGACTCCTTGACAGACAGGGTTCTGGTTATAAAGGAATCATTCACATGAGAGCTAAACGGCAGAAACAAGGCAAATCTTCCTGCAAAACCATGGTGATCCAGTGCTTGAATCCCACTTCACGGCAGACTTTATGCTCCCAGGTCTAGACAACTCTGGCACTGGCCCAGGATCACAGATATAGCAGTGTTCTTAAACCTGATATAGCCAGTGATGGGGAACCTTTTAGAGACGAGGGCCCAAACTGCAACCCCAAATCCACTTACTTATTGGAAAGTGCCAACACTGCAATTAAATCTGAATACTGGGTTTTAGTTTAGAAAAAACAACTCATACATTAACATCTTTTGTCTTAAAAGAAAAACACTATAACACCCATGCCATAGAGTCACCACCACTGTACCAATTCCCTATCATCCCGACTACACAACAGTGTCCCAAGTCTTCCTCCAAGTTGGGCTGTGGTACTCTGGAGGGCTGATCTTGAACACCACCTCCTGCTTTTCCTAAGACTATAGAGCTCTTAATTTCTGTACTAAATACTTTTCTGCTTAAACACCCTGTGAAGGTTTATTGTGTCAACTTGAGAAATTTGGCTAAGAGAAGCTGAACTAAATAAGCTTAGCAATTCCACACCCTATGGAGTGGGGATCCTGGATGGTATAAAGGGGAAATGAGGAAGGACAGATCTGTTTTCTGTTCCTTCGGAGGACCTCCAGTCTTCACCATGGACATCATTTCCTGGCTTCCGGCGAGGATCCTTCAGCCTTCTGGTGTACTCTTCAGCCTTGCAGCACAGACCCATAGGCCTCCTGATACAGACTCCCACAGAACATGCAGTGAGCTCCAGACCTTTGACTAAATCCTCCGGTCTCCAGTATGCAAAGACCCTCTGCACTCCTCCTCATCCGACTCTGGGTGGCCACTGTAAGCCAATCTTGTAAATTCAATGTATTTATTTGTGTATCTTGTGTTATATCTGTTTCTCTAGTAAATACTGACTGATATACACCCCTAGTAGTTTCTGTTTCTTGAACTGAACTGAACCTCATAAACTATGCCATGTCACAGAAATGATGGCTCCAGTATTAGGCAATCAAAAAGTCACAGCAGTCCATGCCCTTGAAGACAGTATTTGTATCCTTCCTCACTGGTTAGCACTATGCTTTTCATAACAGAAAGGATCTGCATCATTTTAACATACCTCTGAGAATACAGTAATAATTTCAGCTAACAAATATCTTTTGAATACTTTACAAAATAATTTTTTTCGTTGTTGTTTTTTGAGACAAGGTCTTGCTGTGTGGTTCAGGCTGGCCTTCACCTCACTATGTAGCCCAGGCTGGCTTTGAACACATAGCGATCTTTCTGCCTCAGCCTCCCAAGTGCTGGGATTACAGGTGTGTGCTACCATACCCTGCTTACAAACTAGTATTATGCTCTCTGCTTAATCTGATGCTCTAACACATGAGTTAAGGCAGGTTTTACAGTGACATGGACGACGAAGTAGAGTTTTGCTTGGGATTTTATGACAGAAAAAACAGATTTAGAGATTACTGCTAGAAAAAAAACAGCATACCTATGAAAATATTATATAATAGTTCTTATTCATCAAGTATGAATTTGTAATATATAGTTGGGTTTTTTTTTGGTACCAGGGATCGAACTCTGGTCCTTGCAGTTTCAAGGCAGGCGGCAGAACCACTGAGCTAAATCACCGGCCCAATATATAGATTTTTAACAGTATTTTTGATACAAGAAAGAAATCCTATAATGTGCTTTATGTATGAATATTGTGTTTACTATATTATGTATGAAGCTTTAAATATTCAACAGGAGGAGGGAAAAAACTATAGAACTGTATGAAAGACAAGTTAACATCAGGATCAGTTTCGGGAGGGTAAGAGCAAGAGTCAGCTTGACAATCTTAGAGCCAAGGGCCCAAAGACAGAAACCAGGGAGACATCTAGGGTAAGTAGTCAAGAATTTTAGTAAAAGACAAATAAGAGCTTCTCAGCTCTTCTACGAATGAATTCTAAAAAGTTTTAAATGTGAACCAAAGTTAAAAATAAAGACCAGTAAGTTATTCCTTAACTCTTCTCAGTAACATGTGACTATGTAAAATATTCTCTAGTTCTTTGTATTTTCATGAGTATTTTGAAGGTCAAACCAGGAGGCAGAGGCTGAAAGGCTAAAACTGGCCGCCATCTTCAATCCACAATCAACTACCGACCAACAAGGAAGGAGTCGTACCAACATGCAAACATTTAAAGGAGTGCAAGGCTGCCTCAAACATGTTTACTAAAACAAACTAGTTATTGTTTTCTAAGTGTGCTTATTATAACTTGTTATAACTGACTAAATTATCTTTACTACTATTGAAAACAAAAAATATATTGGGAATTTCACAATTTTAATCCAAAAACCTAAAAAATGTTTTTAAATACAAGGAGTTTGATTTTATACTTTACATCTTCAGATGTTTTCCTTTTCTTAGGTGTATTTGTGAATTTTGTAGTTTCTCTATAACATATATGTCTGTTTAGGCCATTTTATTCTGGCCAAAAAAATGTTTCAATAAGCCTGATAGAAATATCATTTGGGAACTATTTTGGAAAAAAATTTTGAAATCTGCATCAAGGCCTTAAGAACGAGTATATTCATTGCTGGACATAGTGGCACACACCTGTTAAGTCCCAGTGCTCAGGAGGCTGAGGCAGAAGGATTGCTGAGAGTTCGAGGACAGCCCAGGCTACATAGAGAGTTCAAGGCCAGCCTGAACTACATATCAAGACCCCGTCTCTCAAAAAACCAAAAAATGGAAAATAAAAAGAATCCTGACACTGGACATCTTCAGAATAATTAGAAGAAATCGTGTGAGAGACTTGGAGCATTGATCATTGTACTATGGATCACAATAGCATAAATCAAAAGGTTTATAAATTATATTAATCCATCCACTTTATAAAACCTTAGCAAACTGTTATGAAGAGTATTTACCATCAAAGGAAAATGGGTATAACTAATCTACAGCAACCGTATGTGTGACAAGGAGAGAATGTGCCCAAATACTAGTACCAGTTAGTGAAGGACAAAAGACAGGTTTACACTTTTTTTTTAAATTATAGAATTCCTTAAAATGAAATTTCTAGGATATTAGCTTATATACTTAAGTAATTTTAAGTTATTTTTAACACTAACTATATACTTGATACAGAATTATTGTCAATGAATATGTCACTATTATTGTATGGCAATAGCATTTGGCTATGTTAAAAGTACATACATTTTGGAGACACAGACTAAAACAGTTATGAATATCATAATCATGACTTACAAAATCATCCAAGCTTAGGGATGGGAAAATGGAAAGAATGGGAGTTGGAAACACAAAAAATGAGACTGGCCACATGCGGACATGTATTAAGTCTCAGTAATAGATAAAAAGGGGTTCATTATGCTAGTTTCTCTAAATATGTATAAATTTGAGATTTATCCTAATTAAAAAAAATTAAAGTTAATTTTAAAATTTAAAAGGAGAGGCCAGAGATGTAGCTCAGTGTTGCTGCACCTTCCTGGCAAGTGCAAGGTCCTGAGTTGATTCTCGGTACCAGAAAAATAAATAAATAAATAAAATTTAAAAAGAACTGAAAAGCACTGATAAGCACTATTTAACTATGATTAAATCCATTACTCTCTCACTGAAGAAAGACTGGAAATATCTCACATCAAGAGGATGTCAATATAGTGAGACCCTGTCTCAGAATTAAAAAAAAAAAGCCAGGGATTTAGCTCAGTGGTTCCACTGCCTGCCTCACAAGTGCAAGGTCCTGAGTTCGATCCTTGGTACTAAAAAAAAAAAACCAAAAAAACCAAAACCCAAAACAAAGATGTTATCTGATCAGAACTCTCCTTCATATATTTGAGTTGTGAATTAAAAAGAAAAAAAGGTAAATATTATCTTAATTTTAGATGCCACTAAAATACTGCCAATTATAATCACAAGATACTTCTCAATTTCAGAGATGCTGACAAGTGAAAATATGTACATCTTTAAACTGATGAAATACAGTAAATTACAGGGCAGATTCAGTCACTGGCCTTTCATTTCTGACCTAGGGTCAGAGGATCTAAATATTTATTACAGATCTCATAATTTTTAAGATAGGGTTTTATTTTTCTTTAAAAAAGAAAGGGGAAGAAGACTTGTGGTAACAGTTATTGGAAAGGAAGATTCGTTCGTGGGGTGAAAATCTCCTCTGCAAGCATTCACAAAGCTAGGCATAACGTAAGGTTTTAGGAGTTGCTGATTCAAATTTATGGTTTGCTTCCATACCAACGCTGAGTCTGTAGGCTCTGCCTTAAGTGAAAGTGAGCAGGACCAGGAACACTACTTCTAACTGGGAGTGTGCTCCCCAACCTAAAACGCTGTTTTTCCTATTAACTGACAGAGAATGTCCTAGAGTTAGTCATGCAGCCAAGAAGTACATCCAAGGGATCAACAGGCATTGTTTCTCCCTTGCCCCAATTCCATTTTCCTTTTGATAAACAAAATTTTATAAGGTTCCCTTATCCTATTTCATGTAAATTTATTCAGTATTGAGGCAGTTTTTCTCTAAAACTACAGTACATTCATTTCATATTTGCTGTAAAACATTTAAAAAATATATTCAAATGTTCAGAGTTCAGGCAGTAACCAATCTAGAAAAAATAGAGCAGATATTAAACATGCAACTTTAATTTGTACCAACTAATTTACTTTTCAAAGTAGGCTTCTCTTCTTTTCCGCAGTTCTTCAAATGTAAGATTTGTACCTGATGTCTGTGGAACATCTTGAGATATACTGGAACTACCTGAAAATAAAATAAAAGACGAAAACCAACTATTTTATTTACCAATTCAAGCAACGATATAGTCTTATTTGAGCAACTTTTCAAAATGTTTTCTTCTTAAAAATATTCTGCCAGGCTCGCTTACACAGTATGGCCACCGACATTAGCTACCACTCTCTAGTCTCTCAAATGGGAAAGCAGCGGACTGTAAGAGACTGAACTGTAGCAGCCTCTATTTCCAACAGACTCACGTTCAAGTTTCATTCACACAAAAAAGTCGGGAAAATTTTATGAATCCTTTTGTTAAAAAAAAAGTTAATATAAAATTATAGTAAAAAAAAGTAACCTGATCATTGTAGCAACTCAGCTGAAACAATCTGCAGTGGTGGCAGCAGCAGCAGAGATTTAATTTATTTGATTTTCTGTGGCTGTTGGTTGTTCATTAGTTTCACGGTGATGGAAGATGCACATTTTTTCAAAGGGTCTAAGAAGCTCCTGGAGGTTTGGTTCTCCCGTTGGCAACCTGACGCCAACCAGGGATCTGGGGATCTTCGCACTATCCCGAGATCTGAGTGGGATGTACTTTTGAAGGATGTGCCATGTTCAATCATAAGTGTGACAAAAACTGGCAAGCAGGAAGCTTATGCACTCAGTGAGAACAGCATATCTGTCTCCAAGAGATGTTTCATTTTGAAGACAGGTGGTTCCACCTTCTTACTGAAAGCACTGGTTCCCTTGTTGAAGCCTGCTAGGGATCACAGTGGGTTTGACTGGATTCAAAGCTTCTTTTATTCTCGTAAGAATTTCATGAAGCCTTCTCACCAAGGGTATCTACACCAGAATTTCTAGAAAGAAATAAAGAGTTTCTCACTGCAATTTTCCCAAATGGAGCAGCATATTAGATGGGATGTATGAACTCTGGCTGTTGGTACCTGTATACTCTGGATTTCCCAGAGCCAGATCAGACCCTGGAAACCCTGCCGAGTGAGCCTGACCCAGGAGTTATGGACGAGTTTTACATGAAAGATGGTGTTACTGCAAAGGATTCACTCATGAGAGCGCAATTTGTGACCTGGTATCAGGTCATTGATGTCACACTGTTCAATCCTTGTGGGTATTCAATGAATGGAATGAAATCAGATGGAACTTATTGAACTATTCACATCACTCTAGAACCAGAATTTTCTTACATTAGCTTTGAAACAGACTTAAGTCAGACCTCCTGTGAGGATCTGACCAGAAAGCTGTGGAAGTCTTTAAGCCAGGAAAATCTGTGACCACCTTGTTCACCAGAGTTCTAAATGTCACACAGTGCTTTCTTCACCCCAGAAGATGGAAGGTTTTAAACGTCTTGATTGCCAGAATGCTATGTTCAATGATTAAAATTTTGCTTTTACCAGTTTTGCTAAGCAGCAGCAAAAACAGCAGAATTGATTAAGAAAAACACAAAAAGAGAACACACAGAAGGTGGTGGCTGCTTTCTACATGTTGATACCAGGGCCCATGCTTTTCATAACCACCACCTTGCAGTTGGAGAAAGCCCTAGAGGTAATGATAGTGTAATCATTTTGAAGTGTATGCATTATTATATCAAGGTGTTAGATATCTTGCATGAATGCTCTCTTCTGTGTTCTATGCCACTCTTGCTGTGAAATTGAAGTGCGTGTAGAAAAAACTTTTACTATATGAAACTTTACAACACTTTTGAAAATAAATTTCTTCTTCATGAAAATGTTTTTGCAACATTGCAATGTTTTTCTTCCATAAATCATGTCTTCCTAAGAAAATGATTTCAGTTACTCATTTTGAGTATTACTGTTCTAATAATTGTTTCTGCATTTGTAGTCTTTGATTTCTTCCCTCATCATGGTCTTTCCCCCATCTCCAAGCCCCCAAATAAAAGCAATACACTGTTATACACACACACACACACACACACACACACACACACACACACACACACACACCTCTGCTAGTATTCTGTAAATATTAAGAAAAGTCTTAGGGAAAATCTAAGCAAGATACTCCAAATCTAATGCATGTCTGCTGCAACCAAAGCTGATACCCATCTGTGATGCAGTAGCTGTCAGAACCTAAGTCCAACAACCTGGTATGAGACGTCTTTAACACAACAGCTGCATGCTCTCTTTAACTTATTAAAAATAAACCAGTACTTTCAGATCCATGGTATTCCTTGAACCAGCTTAAGGTGGATGATAATAAAAGAAATCCATTCTCTATATTCCCCAATCCTCAGTATCTGGGTACTCTGACAACTGAAATGCTTCCCTGTTCTTACTGATATTTTTACCAACCAGATTGTACACAGACTGTGAAATAAAGTGGTAAGGAAAGCGAATTATATAGAAATACCTCAGACTATAAAAGCTGGTTTCATGGATTATGGGGCAAATCTAACAGAGCCTTACTAACCAAAAACAGGACCGCACAACATTGAGTACTCAAGTGTACCTGGAGGCTCAAGGTATTTAGGGTAAAAATAATCTTCATATTAAGGGAATCTAAATTATATTTAGACATTTCATAAAGTCATGATAAGTCATTTCACTAGAAAAGTGGAAGCAAATTCAAATGGATAAAAACTACAAAAACAAACCATTTTACACATTTAAGTAAGCCACTTTGAGCTATGTGTCAACATCTCTCTCTGCCTCCACTCTCTAGGGACAGGTCGTCACTCTCCTCTATCGACAGCCTTGTATCACTGGAGTGGGCCCGCGTGAAGAAGGGTAAGCCTGGAATTTGGCAGCCAAGGTGTGCTGGATTTTTGTCAAATCCATTGTATTGTCTAGACCCTTCTGTCATGTCCAGCGGCATAAATTTATGAAATAGCTGGTTTAGGTAAGCATCACTGGACTCCGACAGAGATTAACCTCTGTTGGGTTAGCAGAGTGTTATAAACCCATAAAATAAGGAGAAATAAACATATAGTTATATTAGCTAAGTATAACTACTACAGTCTTAATATAGGTTGTAGAAGTGATTTATGAGAAGCTGACTGTACATAGCAACTGCTTCTGCTGTAACTGTCAAAGAATTTCTAACTATTAATACAATAACTTCCAGAAAAACTAAGAATAATGTGAATCAATTCACCAAAAATGAATAAAGTACCCATCAAAATGTTTATACCTTGCATACTGAGCTGAATAGCCCTGCGGAGATCTGCTTCTTCATCTTCCATGTCAATTTCCTGACGACTTAGTGCCAGAGCCCTCTGCAAATCCTCCTCATCTTCATCTAACATTCCCGATCCATCATTTCCTTCTAAGACTTGTTCCAGGTCTGTTTTAAGGACTCTAAAGAATGAAAGCATTCATATTAACTGCAGCCCTGTCTTCACTTTAAATATAACATAAAGGCATTTGTACACTAAAGGTTTTTTTGACAACATCTCACTATGCGGTTCAGGCTGGCCTTAAATTGGCAGCAACCCTCCTGCTTCAGCCTTCTGAGTGCTAGGATTACAATGCCACCAGACCCATCTTTTACACTAAAGATTTTTTTTTCTTTATTTTTTATTTTTTTGGTACCAGGGATCGAACTCAGGACCTTGCGCTTGCGAGGCAGGCGCAGTGCAACTGAGCTAAATCCCTGGCCCCAAGATTTTTTTTTTTGGTACCAGGGTACCGGGGATTGAACTCAGGTCCTTGCACTTGTGAGGCAGGCGGTGGAACCACTGAGCTAAATCCCCAGCCCTACACTAAAGATTTTAAGTAAATTTAAAAAACTTATTTTTTGGCAGATAGGGTTAGTAGTATGAAGATTGTGTTATGAGCCAGGCATGGTGACACATGCCTGTAATTCCAGCACGTGGCAGGCTAAGGCAGGAGAATTGCTGCAAGTTCAAAGTCAGCCTGGACTATGTAGTGAGTTCAAGGCCAGCATGAACTACATAAGGAAACCCTGTCTCAAAAATCAAACAAACAGAAAGATTGTGTTATGTAAATCTAGGTTAATATATTTAAGTAATTCAGAGAGGAGTTTTATTTTTTGGCTTTTTGAGACAGGGTCTCACTATGTAGCTCAGGCTGGCCTTAAACTCACTATGTAGCCTAAACTGCCCTTGAACTCATGGCAATTCTCCTGACTCAGCCTCCCAAATGCTGGGATTACAAGAGTGCACCACCACACCCAGCTTTCAGAAAGCTGATTCAATAAAGTTCACAAAAATATAAAGCAGAGGAGCATGTGTGTAGCCCCAGCTTCTTGGCAGGCTGAGGAAGGAGGATAGCAAGTTTGAGGCCAGCCAGGGCATCTTAAGAGATCTTCTGTCAAAATAAAAAGGACTGGGATATAGCTCTGTGATAAGAGTGTCCCTGGATTTGATCTCCAGTACTAAAAAAGAGGAGAAAAAAGAAAAGAAAAAAATACAATGAAGAAAAGAAAAATAAGGGAACTAGGAGTATATAGCTCAGTGGGAGAACACATATTCAAGGCCCAAGGTTTGATCCCCAGCTTCACAAAAAATAAAATTAAAATAAAATAAAAGATAAAGTTTAAAGAGAGCCAACAGTAAACAGACCACATGTTCAATGTAAGCATAAAAATTTTAATTCTTGGAATGAAATATTATCAAATATTCCACATTGCAGGCTTTATTTTTACCTCTGCTCTTTCAGTTGTGCTAATTCTTCTCCAAGAAGTTTTGGTCGATGCATCTGTTGGACCCTGATCATCTGGAGAAGTTGGTCAGCTTCACAATCTGGCAGATCACCCTTAACGACAAATATAGAGTAACCTACAAAAGGCAAACATACACTAAAGCAACTAGTAAGAGATCCAAAATTGATTTAAAATGAAAGCAGACAGACAAAAACTGATACAAAATGGTAGCAAAAAGCATGCTGCCTTCTTTATCTACATAATGTACTGAACCAGAGTGCAAAAGAGTGATCCTTATTGAAATGGAAAATATGAGAGAGCATGAGAAGCAGCATAGCATGGTGGAAAAATACAAACTGAAGATTCCAAATGAACTTAGTTCAAATGATGATTCTTTTTGTTTCGTTTGTTTTGAGACAGGGTATGTAATTCAGGCTGGCCTTGAACCACTATGTAACCTAGACTGGCCTCAAACTTGTGGCGATCCTTCTGCCTGGGCCTCCCAAGTGCCAGGATTACAGGCGTGCACCCCCATGCCTGGCCCCAAATGATGATTCTTACATGCACTAGTACGGGGACCTAAGACCAGTCACTTAAGTCTCAGGGCCTTACTTTCCCCACTCGTAAGCATGGAACAGCTGTCTCATTGACCCACTATGAGAAACAAAGGAAATACTTTTTGTAAGGACCCTGCTAATACAGTGCTGGACCAGATAAGCTTCACTAAATGGTGACAGACAGGGAGATAAAGGAGGGGTAAGGGCAGAGGATTTGGAATCACACTGCTGGGGTTTAATCCCAGCTCTTCTGCTTCCCAGCTGCATGATGTCTGTCAATCATTTTACACATCTGTCTTGGTTTCTTCAATTGTTGAACAGATGATCATGAACTCTTCCTCATGGGCCTGATGTGAGGACAGAGTCAGACACTATGTGTAATGATGGGTAACGTGGGTAAAATGAACCACCTATGGAAATAGCTGCAAACAGACCCTCAGCTTCTCACTGAAAACACAAACTCGGAAACCAATATCCAAAATCTAGTCAAGATGTCCAACATGTGGGCTCATGTTCTGAAAGAATTGTATTGGTCCAGGGTATTTTTATAAATATGAACTAAGAAAAGCCAGGGTATTCCTAGCTGGATGTTCCACACAGAAACTGAATTAAGGATGGTCTATACTTAGGTCAATTTAATCAATTTAAAGCTTTTCTACCATAAATTTTTCTTAAACTATGGTGATTGCTACTGGACAGCCTTTGTTACTAAAGATAACTAAACAGATCAAAATGATCATTCATGGAAAAATTCAAAAGAATACATTAATTTTTTTAAAAGGTCAAAGTATCTTCAGAGTTCAGATGATTTAACATGTTTTCTGCTAATAAAATTATTTCTAGATCCCCAAATAAATAGATCAGTTCACCATGGCATTCCATGGAGCCCATCACAAAGAGCAGATACTCTGCCTTTTTCAGGTAATACACCAGAGATCTCGGGTTTTCAGATTTTATTAAAGAATGCTGGGAAGTCATTGAATGTTAAAGTGTGAGAGTGTGACATAATATTCATTCGGTTTTTCACAAAAAGCAGTCTGTTTGCTTTGTCAGTATAATATATCACAGTGGTGGCGAACCTATAGCACCCGTGCCACAGCCAGCTGTTTGTTATCAACTGAACACTCTGAAAGGTTCCCCATCACTGATATATAGGAACCAGACTGCAAGATGAGTGATCCTTACTGAAGTGGAAAACCTGAGCGATAGTACATATGGGCAGAAAAACAAAACCAATCCCAGTCTTTGTGGACACACTCAATTTGAAATGCTTTCTGGACTTCCAAGTGAAGATGTTAAAGTTAGGAATCTGAGCCAAGCATCACGCCACCTGCCTGTAATCCCAGCTCTCGGGAGGCTGAGGAAGGAGCACCATGAGTTCAAGGCCAGTGTGAACTACACAGCAAGACTCTATCTCAAAACAGCAAAATAAATAAACAAATAAAATTAGGAATTTGGTGTTAGGGTAAATGTCTAAGCAAAAGATAAAGTTTGGGAATTACCAATATATAGATTTAGTTCAAGATGATATTCCAACTAGTGAGATGCTACATAATTAGGAAGCTGTCCAAGAACTGAACTCTGGGTCACTTCAATAAAGACTGGAAAGAATAAATTAAAATCTACAAAAGGAACTGAAAGAAGCAGCCAATGAAATATGAGAAAAACCTGAACATGGTAGCCTGGAAGCCAAGAACAGGCAGTGTTTTAAGAAAGGAACAGAGTTAGGAACTGAGGTTTTAGGTATACGAGACAAAAGTATAAAAAAACCACAGAAGTAAAAACACTATAGTGATAAATGCAAATTGGGAATAACAACACAATGGTCAACCCAGAAATAATAAGCATGCTGCTGACGATGCCAACAGTGATCTCTAAATACTATTAAAAGGAACCAGGTATCCCTGGGGAAACGATCAATCAAGTCCAGGGCAGGGAATACACAAATACATCTGCAACATCTCCTCACAAGGCTTCAAACGGCTCAGTGGTCATGTCAGATACTTGGAATCAGACTCAAAATATTCCCACTGGTCCATGATGGCACCATTTGAGTATTAATATGAATAACCACAATAGGCTGAAACACAAAATTATGCTTTAACTGACTTGTTTATAATGTTTTAAAGAAAAGACAGACATTACTTGGTCTCTTTTGGAGGACATATAAAACCAATTAATTTTAAAAACTGATAAAGGGGGCTGGGGCTATAACTCAGTGGTAGAGGGCATGCTCAGCATGTGTGAGGCCCTGGGTCTGATCTCCAGGATACACACATACAGAGATAAAGGGAAATTTATCCTGCTTTTCCTGTATAAACCATTACTTCAGGGTAACCAAGTAACTTACACGAGTTTATTTGTACAGAAGTATTCTTGCTAATGAAGGAATAATGAAGGAATAAGATTCTTATGTCACCATTCTGTAACCTTTAATTAAATAAAGAGATCTAGGGATTGCTCATTACAAGCTAAGATCAAAGCCGTGTGTTGTGCCGCACACCTGTAATCCCAGCACTCAGGAGGCTGAGGCAGGAAGATCACTGTGAGATTGAGGGCAGCCTGGACTATATAGTGAGTTCAAGGCCAGCCTGAACTACATAGTGAGACCCTGTCTCAAAAAATAAATGTATTAAAAAAGAAAAAAAGCTAAGATCAGAAAAAGACAATCAGACATCAGGTACCATATAATGTGAAGTCTCCAATCCTTCTCACAAATTCAACCTGAATCTCACCAAGTACCTAGATCTCAGGACCAGTCTTTAGGGTAACCAGGGGTCAGAAGAAAACGGGCACACTAAACACAAGCAAGAGTGTGGGAAACAGGACAAATGAACCATTTTCTCTGCCCAATAAATAAGTAAAGGAAAACATATGGAGGAGAGGAAGTCTTCAGTTAGACTTAGAGAATAAACCAATTTAATGCAATCACTGAATCTTATTTCAATCCAGACTAAAATGCACAAATCCTAAGAGACAAGCAGGGAGATGGGAGATCTGAACACTGACTGGGTATTTGATGTTATTAAAGCACTGTGGTTAAATTGTTTTAGGTATGATTATAGTATCGTGGGCTATAGTTTTTTAAGTCTGCTTTTAAAGATTTTAGTAAGAAAACAATTACAGAGAAAATGATCTCTAGTATTTGCTTCCAAATAAATGGGAAGGAGGGGGCAGAGTACATAAAAGACAACAAACCATGAGGCAATTGTTAACACTGGGTGAAGGGTATATGGGGCAGAGATCATTGTATTATTTCTCTTTTATATTTATTTGAAATTTTTAATAAGAAGCTTCATTTTGTTCTTTTTGAGATAGAACTGAATACTAGAACTGGCAAAGTATAGGTCACTGGTGTCACCCAAATGAGGGTTTGTCAGTGACATGCTGGTATTGACTATGACTGAAATGAGTTCAGGAACAGGAGATGGCCAGGTATGATGGTGCACACCTGTAATCCCAACTACTCAGGAGGCTGAGGCAGGAGGATTTGGGCAACTCTTTGAGAACTTGTCCCAGAATAAAATTTCAGAAGGGCTGGGGATATAACTCAGTGCTCCCTGGATGCAATCCCCAGAACGTGGCGGGGGGGGGGGGGGGGCTGGACATACAGTACAACAGTAGTGTTTCAGAAGAAAATTTAACATGGGAAGGCAGCTAGAATTCTAAGGGGTGGAGAGGTCTTTTTAATTCAATCATTGGAAGTAAAGATCTTTCTCCACTGACAGTAAATTAAAAAAGAGGGGAAGAAGAATGGAGAGATGGAAACAGGAACATCTCGAGTGAGTGGGAGGAATTGGGATCCAATCCACACAGAGGAACTGGCCTTGCTTAGATGCAGGGGAGGGTTTATCTACCTTAATAGGCTCAAAGCGCAAAGAGAGATACAAGCACATTGACAGGTTTGCTGGTAGAAAGATTAAAAAAAAGTTTTCTCTTAATTGCTTCTATTTTCTCAGTAGAATACAAAGAAAGGCCATAAAAAAGGTGTAAGGAAGGAAAAGAAGTGGCCAGAGGTCTGGAGAGTTGTAAATTTCATTTGGAGTTCGTATTCACAAATTGAAAGTAAAACCAATCAACATACTTTATGTCATTTTGAAGCCATGTTCTACTGCTCTGCTGCAGGAATGGCCAAGGCCAAGACCTAACTTTAATGAGGGTTGAATTTTTTGTCATGAAAGTATGATGGAGGAAGGCTGGGGGATGGGATGCAGCTCAGTGGTAGAGCACTTGCCTAGCATTCATGAAGCCCTGGGTTCAATCTTCAATACTGAAAGAAAAAGAAAACAGTATGTGGAGGGAAAGAAAAAGAAGGAAGTCGAGGAATGGCATAGAGTGATAATGACGGATTATAGAAAATAAGCACACAGTAAAAAAGGAAATAAAGGTACAAGGGAGTGTTTGGGCCCATGGTAGAACATGGAGAATTATCAGAATAGCAAAAATAGAACACATGGCATGAAGATGGGAGGGACAGTCAACAAAATATTTATAACTGGGATTTGAACGTGATTATAGTTATTGGTTTGTTTATTTTGGTACTGGGGATCGAACTCGGGACCTTGCATTTGTGAGGCAGGCGCTGGAACCACTAAGCTAAATCCCTGGCCTACTTTTTTTTCTTTCTTTTTTTTTTTTTGGTACTGGGGATCGAACTCGGGTCCTTTTGTTTGTGCAGCAGGTGGCGAAACCAGTTATGGTTATTGGTACAGTAAGAGTGAAGAAAATGATCTTTGAAAGTAAGAAAGTATTGGATTGATTATTGATACAGAAATCATTAAAAGTGATGAAAGGAACTGAAAGGGGCGGGGCTGAGGGCACTAGCTAGCTAGCTATCAAGGTCCTACGAGCTCCAATGAGAAAGGGAGAAGCACACAGATGATTGCAAAATGGCAGGGGCTTGTATTTCAAAGGAGCTGGAGTTTACAGGGAAGAAGTGTCCTAGAAGGTACAGGAAGGAAAAGGAAGAATACAACCCTCCTCTCCCCATGCGTATGTGGGAGATTCAGGAAACAACTATCACCTAAGGGCTGCAAAGGTCCAGGTGCCAGGGAGAACTCACACTGAACTCACATCACCATCCACATCACAGCCCTAAGTTCACCACCTAAAAGGTAACGATGACTCCTCTGCACCGCTAGGATAACAGCACTGTCACACTCACATCTAATGACCAGGTATTTTGATTTTTGAGACTGCCTTACTATGCTGCAGACTGGCCTCAAACTTGTATTCCTCCTGCCTCAGCCTCCCAGAGTACTGGTATTATAGGAATATGACATTGTGCTTGGTTGACCCAGTTTTATTTAGCTATTTGGAAAAATAACATTATAAAATTTTCAGTCTTTATTTACCTTCCTGTTGTAATTGAGCCAAGAAAAGTGCAAGGTATGTATCTGATATTAATTCTGGACCCGTCAAGAGAGAATTCAAGTTAAACCACTGGAAAAAAAAATTGTCAATATTTAAGTTAGTGTGCATTATATGTAACACAGAATTTCACATGTCAAGAATAGATATAGCCCATCAAAACTTAGTAAAATTGTCTAAAACAATGGGAATATGGCAAACAGATTTTTTTTTTTTGAGACAGGGTCTCACCATGTAGACCAGGCCGTCCTCAAACTTCCAATCATCCTTCCTCAATCTCCTAGCTCTCAAATTGAGATTTAAAAAAAGTAACTGAATAATGTGATTTTTAAAAAATGAATTAGAATATTGCAGATTTGTCATTATTAAAATGCTGGTTCAAAAACAAAAGTTTTCTTTAAGTCATAAACTAACCTAGGGCCTTTGCACTGAGCTATATCCACAAATCTTTTTTTTTTAAGACAAGGTCTTGCTAAGTTGTTAAGTTGCCCAAGCTGGGTTTAAACTTGCAAATCCTTCTGCCTCCACCTCCCAGAGTCCAGGTATGGGCCACCACTTCCTACTCCAGATGGTACTTTATTTTTCCCCAGTACTGGGAATCAAACTCAGGACCTTACGCTTGCCAGGCAGGCAAGGCACCACTGAGCTACATCCCTGGCCCTCTGATTGTACTTTAAAATGGCTTTATTGATAGCTATAATTAAATCTTTTTAAAATATCAGCCCAACATTACTAAACATATTGACATATGCAAAAAATAACAACTACACAGTTTTTCCACTACTGATAATTTTGGTCAACAGGCTCCAATTGTGAGATGTCAGACAGTCCTAGAGTTTATAGTAACCACCACGTTTCAACAAGGTCACTAAGCCACCATCTCATTTAATTGACAGCACTGAGCCACAACGTCAAAGGAGACCTAACAACCCCAAGATACACAAACTTTCAAAAGTTATTGTCAGTATCATGAGCAACTATTTTCCTGGATTTTGACACTGCTGATAGTATTTTTTACAGTAATCTCTCTCATTACCCAGGGACCAGGAACAGAAAAATCTATAGTGAAAAAAAAACAGGGGCTGGGGATTTAGCTCAGTGGTTCCACCGCCCGCCCTGTAAGAGCAAGGTCCCGAGTTCGATCTCCGGTACCAAAAAAATAATAATAACAATAATAATGATTATAAATTTCAACTAAAAATATAAATCAAAACCAAAAATAAACCAAAAGTTGACATCTGCTGTATTTGTCAAAAAAAATTAGTCAAAATGTAAAAATTCAATTTTGAAGATTTAAAAGTTCAGTTTCAAAATAATATGTAAGTTTCCCCACAAATCAATACAAAGAAATCTGTGGAATATAAGTTTTCAGACCTTAAAGCTCCAGTTATTACCTTATATAAAAAAGTATGCAACAGTGGATCATAACCTTCTGAAAGTATCAGTAAAGCCAGAGGTTAGATACTCTCAGCAGTGTCCTGCCCTGCTCTTTCCCAGTTGAATCCCTCTTAGGTTGGTCTCCACGCTAAACCTCTACATCACACCTCCGTAACTTGCTCTTAGAAATTTAGGATCTTAAGGTTTTTCTTTTTCGTTTTTGTTTTTGTGCAGGAGTTGAACCCAGGACCTTGCACTTTTGCACTTACATGTGCTCTATCATTGATCTACTGCCCCCAGCAATAATCATTTAAGATGAAGCTTCCTCCAGGTAGCTGACTTAAAAGATAACAGAAGATTTTCATTTTTGAATTATTTTTTATTGACTTAATGCAATGCACTTTATTGACTTTATGTTCTTTTTCATTATTTATTTCATTTTTAAACAGTTTTATCAAGATATAATTGACACGCAATAAACAGAACCCGTTTACCAATAAACAGCACAGTCTGAAAGTTTTAACATTGGTATGCACCCACGGAAGCAATAATACAACCAAAACAGTGAACACGTTCCTCATGGTGCGGTGTCCTATGCACCTCTGAGCCTTCCCCTGTCATTCCTCTCCCTCCATCCCCACACAATCACTGGTCAATCTGCTTTCTGTCACTAAAAGCTAGTTTCCATTCTTCTAGACTTTTGCATAAATGTAACAGTACAGTGTATAGTATTTTGTATCTGGCTTTTTTCAGCTTATTTTGAGACATGTTTACATTGTTGCATGTTGTCAATAGTTTATTCTACAAGCTGGTTTTCAATAATCCTCTAACACTGAAAATTCTAAGAAAAGGGACTTTAAATGATTGTTTCTGATAAATGTCTGCTGAAGACACATACCATTTTTTTTTTAACAGAAGTGATTTTACATAGGTGTATGTACTACACTACATTTTGGAATCATTTCAGTAACCTTGTTAAACACTAAAGCAAGCAACATAGTTGAGTGCTTTTGTTCACATCTGACACGATTTCAGGCCTTGGGACAGTACTGTGCCAAACACAAATCTATAAATGTGATCATTAAATGACATCTATCACATAAAACCCACTTAAGAGTAACCACATTTGCATCATCTTAAATATAGATTTTTTTTTTGAGACAGGCTCTCACTATGTAGCTCACGCTAGCCTTAAACTCACTATGTAGCCCAGTATGGCCTTGAATTCGAGGTGACCCCTCCCGACCCCACCTGAGCCTCCTAAGTGCTGGGATTATTAGAATATAAATTGTGTATTGTTGTTGCAAATATATGAAAGAATATTACATTATCTCTCTTTCTTTAAAGACAGTGTCTAGCTATGTTGCCCAGACTGGCCTTGAACTGGAGGTCCTCCCACCACCGCCTCCTAAGTAGCTGGGACTACAGCCATGCATCGTGGCATCCAGTTGGACATGACCTCTTAAAATGGAAAATTTCTATTTAGTGAGACTGAATCCAGACTGAGGATGTGAAGATATAGCTCAATGGTAGAATGCTCACCTAGTAGGCCTGAAGCCCTGGGTTTGATCTCCAGTATCACCAAAAAATAAAAGACTCAATGCCACACACAGTATTTATTGGTCAGTTTCATTTTAAAGGCACCAATCCCTTACAGTTTAGTTTCAAATGGAAGCCAGAATGAGAAGAAAAGATAGGAAAGAAGAAATATTACCTGTTTTCCTAATTTTCTAACTGTAAACCAGTGTTCTTTATAATTGCATATAAATGATTTTTCATTTCTAGAAAAGAAAAAATACACAGTATTAAGTTAAAATTCTGAGTTCTTATTTAGAGATTGAAAATGTCTAAGATATGTTGTATGCCTATACCAATTCCACAAAATAAATATCACTACTCTGTATTACAAATGTGAAGCAATTTTTTAAAAGTTCCTATTTATTTTGTTGACCAGCAAGCATTATATAAAAATGTAACAATTTAGGTAGGTATCATTGATTTTCTAATGAAAGCAACACATCTCTCTGATCTTCTCTACAGCAGCTCTTGGGGACAAAAGTGCCAAAGTGGTACCATCTGCAGCACTTGGGGACAGTGTGTCATGCCCCAGAGGGGAAACAGATGCCCACGGACATCAAAGGGATAAAGAGGAAAGTCTATGAGAATTCAACAGGGAACAGTAGAACAGCAGCATCCAAGTGCTGAGGCGTAGCTTCGTGGGGAAATGCTTGCCTAGCACACATGAGGGCCTGGGTTCAATTCCCACTTGCACAGAAAGAAAAAACCCACTCAAAATGTATTTTTCTCCATTGAGAAATTATAACCTTAAAAATTAAGTTTAGGAAAAGAAACACTGGAAAAACAGAGGGAAAAAAAACCTTACATAGGATCGATCCTGAGCCTCTGATACTCTGGACTGTTGAACAGGATTAGTTCCAAACCCCAAACTTTCAAGGCATTGCTTATAACCTGTTTAAAAAACAAAACAAAACAGCTTTTCGTGAACTAAGCCATTGACTCCAAATTTAAGTAGTACAAATACATTAACTGTACAACCATTGTATTTCATATGTAAATTTCTCTAGAAGGCTACGGTTTTCTAAAAATGTGGCTGTAGCTGGGGTGGGAGCAAGCCCATGAATCTCAGCACTCTGGAGGCTGAGGCAGGACTGTGAGTCTGAGCCCAAGCTGAGCACTATAGCTTATGTATCAAGAACCTATCTCCAGAAAGAAAAAAATAAAAGGGCTAGGATTATAGGTGCTGGATTCAATTTCCAGTACTGTAGGGGGGGTGGGGGAAGTGTCTGAATAGTATGATTAAATCCACAAACATACATATATATTTCAAAAGAGTGCCTTTTACACCAGGTTTCTGAGATGTTCCAGAGAACCCACAATTCCTAGATTGAAGTGCCTCAAAAATTCAGATGTAAATTCCCACTTGTAGGTGCTGGTTTCGTTTTTCTTTTTTTTAGGAGAGGTCTTACTATACAGCCCAAGCTGGCCTTAAACTTACAAACTCATGATCCTCCTTCCTCAGCCTGTGGAGTGCTGGGATTACACATGTGCGCCTTCATGCCCAGCCACTACAGGCAGGCACAGTGGTACACAAGTGTAATCCCAGCACTCAGGAGGCACAGGAAGGAGAATCACTGCAAGTTTGAGGCCAGCCTTGGCTACACAGTGAGCTCAAGGCCAGCCTGAACTAAAAAGTGAGACTCTGCCTCAAAAAACAAAACAAAACAAAACAAAAACATCAAAAACTAGTCCACTACATACATCTGGATAATATGGCTATTGAGGGCACTGCTTCCAAAGTTATATCCAACTCACTACCTGCAATGTCAGTAATAACACATGATAATGTTTTGTTGATTTTAGATTTCTGTGGTCACAGGTTTGTAATTTGTAGAAGAAAAAGATTACTTCAAACAGAAAAAGGAGGAAATTTCTGAAAATTCACTATCTATCCTCCAAGGAGCCAATAAAGGAACATATGAGCCAAGCAACAGCACAAGACAAAAAGTGAATGCAGTGAAGTGGGTAAACATGAACTGGGACCAAGAAGAATTCCCCATGCAAAGGAAATGACAAGTGCTGGCCCAAGTGGCTTCCGAGCTTAGCTCAGCTGCAGTACTCCTACCACTGACAGGGACACGTAAAGCACTGGATGGAAATGCCGATGAATGAACAGTTTAGGAGAGTAACATAAGGAGAATAGAAACAAAGATATTTGCAAAAATAGGACTCTTAAGAGAAGTTCTGAAAGAATTCTGGATACACCTCACACTGTTAGAATGACAGATCCGTGGAGAAAAGAATCTCACAAGTTCATACACAAACAACCACATGTTGGGGTGTAGTTCAGTGGTGGAATGCTCGTCTAGCATGTATGAGGCCCAGGGTTGGATCCCCAGCACTGTAAGAAATAAATAAATAATGCCTAAAGAATTAAAAGAGAGCTATAGGGCTAGGGGTATACAGCATCAGAGTGTGTGCACACACAAGGCCCGAGGTTCAATCCCCAGCATTAAGAGAGGAAAAAGGAGCTATAAATTTTTTTAAAAGATCAGAAGTACAACTATAATTAAGGAATTCAATCCTGTTAGGCTGATTTAATGGAAGATGCTGCATTTGAAACACTGTACTTTTATTAGAATGAAGGTTACTTTGATCCCTAGTACTGCAAAAAAAATTTTTAAATTAAAAAATAGAAGAATTAAGATTTCTAGCATTTAAAAGCCCTACTCTAAAGCAAAGATTCCACAATCCTAATGTTCATGTTTGTCTATGTAAAAATTTAGTACTCTCCCATGCAGTTTTATACTCATAGAAACAATCTACTGGAAGAACTTCTGAAGGTCACATCATTACAATGACTATAAAGAGGGGCCAGGGATTTAGCTCAGTGGTTCTACCTGCCTCGAAAGCCCAAGGTCCCAAGTTCGATTCCCAGTACAAAAAAAAAAAAAGCATAACAATGACTATAAAGGCTGTGGAAAGATACTCCACATCAACCATAAACAGACACCGACAGCATTTATTATACGCTGTGACTACTTACTTGAATAGAGAAAAAGCCACTGTCATCCATGTTTCCAGAAGGCTGCTGTTCATTGTGATGGGTCGGTGAAGGTGGGGAAGGGAAAAGGATAAAAGCTGTCGTTAGCATGTATATTTAAAATAACAATGGATGGCTCATCTTCTAAACAATATCCATTTTTGAAAAATGCAATTTAGAGAGTTTAAAATCCATACCTGTAAAAATGTGCGATAGTCTTCACTAGTGACTCCTCCTTCTGCCATTCTCATCCTTTCTTCTTCATCTAGCTGATGAGCAATTGAGGATAATTCCACAGGGCTAAAATATTCTCCTTGCAGTAGATTATTTAGGCAATGTTGAGCACAAAGTGATCCTTCTTGCTAATATTTCCAAAACAAAAAATTGAAATGTAATTTATTAAACAATTGTACAGTATCCTCTCCTAAAAAGTTTAATGATTAACTTTTTAATATAAGTAAATCAAACCTTTTAAGCCTTTAGGCAAACATGATTAACATAGGTACGTACATTTTCATTTGCTAACATTAACTTTACAGTTCTACCATAGATGAAACTACAAATATGATCAAAAACATTAAGAATGACTTATAGTAAACTTTATCCAATCTCATATTTTACAAAAACTATAAAAACATTTAGCCTAATTTTCACTTAAAAATTCATCTTTGGAGATTTCACAGCAGATTATTAATTCTGAAGGGGAGTTTTAATCCCTAAAACATTTATTCTTTTATTAGTAGTACATGTTTATATTCGTTGTGGGGAGTTGGTGCATGCACATAACACATTTTAATTCCTTTCTCTGTCCCCTTTCCTTCCTCTTCCACTCCTTTCCCTCCATTTCTTGATCCCCTTCCTGTTGGAGAAACATCTGTCTCCCTATTCCTATTATCTAAATTGCCCAGGCCAGTCTTGAACTCACCATCCTCCTGCCTCAGCCTCCTGAGTAGCTGCGATTACAGGCATGCAACACTGTGCCTGGCTAAACATTTATTCTTTTCACAAAATAATCTCTACTTGATCTAAATGTCCCTGGCATTTCCAATTTTAAGAACTGATAGAGGTGAGAAAATTCTGTCCGGTGTTAAGACTGGTACCTACAGACTTAAGGCCCTCTGCAGGGAACCCTACAGATTAGGTACACAGATTATGTAGAGGTATGATGAGAATTGTCCCAAACAGACCCCGAGAGCTCTCTCTCTCCTGGACTAGCCAGCAAGAGAGTTTGCAGCCCAGCTCGGCTCCCATAGGATCACGCTTCCTCCTCATGAAGGGTGGGTATGACTTTCTGCAGGAGTGGTGCTTTTTGATACAAAGGCTGATGGTTTTCTCATATAACTGAGACCCTGAACCCAAATCCAGACTGCCTGGCACTGAGCAGTCCATCTGTCACTCTCCTCTTCCCACTAGTGTTGCTTTCCCTACGCTAACAACACCAGTGCAGCAGAGGAAGGGAGATTCATGGGGGGATGAGATCCCCCACTGTGAGCAGAGATCCCAGGTCTGATTTTCCGTGAGAAAATGGCAGATGAGAAAACACTTCCTTCTGCTCACCCTGGCCCTCGAAGTTCTCTTCCTCCAATGAGGTCTATTTCTTAATTCAACCTGCCTGACATCACCAAAGTTGTTCCGACCAATAGTACACAGTGACCCTAAATACCACCACCTTGCAAAGTACATATTTTTCCTGACTAATCAATTTTATGGGAACAAAAATGTAGAAAGATATGGCGTATATACACATAATGAAATAGGAAGGCAGTACTGATATAGTGTGAATCTAAGATGGGGCTGAAAGAAGTTTATCTTCATGGTTTGGTAAGGAATGAGTCCCTTGGGGCTCGAGGTATCTACTCCTCAAGTTGTAGCCACAACAGTGACAGTCCTGTCTCTACCTGTTTTATGTGTTACTGTACTCCCACTGCCAGAGAGCAAGTCCCACTGCATGATATAACATGAAGTGGAGTGATACACCGATGTTCTACTTCTGTTCCACTGAAAAACAGGTAAGTATTTAATAAGAGGACAGCCAAAAATACACAAAACGGTGCTTGACTTCACCAGACATTAGGGAATATATATTATAATCACAACATATCACTACTACCCACTCCAGATTGGCTAAAACGATAGAGGATTAGAGACATAGAAACTATTATATGGTACTAAGTGTAAATTAGCATAACCACTTTGGAAAACTCTTATCTTCTAAAGCATAACATATACATACCCTGTGATTAGCAGTTCCACGGCTAGGTACATAATGCAAACGTGTTCATTAAGAGAAATGTGGTAAGACCATGCATAAAAGCACTATTTGTAAAGGCTCGCGAACTAAAAACTACCAAAAGGGATAGTTTTGTTTGAAATTTGCATTTATTTTTATTTATTTAATTTTTAAATTAGTATGTTTGTGATACACAATGCCAAAAGGATAGTTTGGATCATAAAAGAATAAACAGTGTTGTAGTCACAAACAAATACTATATAACAATGAGAATTAATTAATTACAACTATGTGAATATTAAATTTCTCAAATAATGTTTTAAATAAAGGATAGCCAGGCATGGTAGTGCATACCTGAAACCCCAGCACTCTGGGAGGCTAAAGCAGCAGAATTCCAATTTCAAGCCTAGCCTCTGTCTCAAAGTAAGAAGTAAAAAAGGGCTTGGAAGTAGCCCAGTGCGAAGGTTATGGGTTCAGTCCCCAGTACCAAAAAAACACCTACACGAATTACAAAAAATATGCAATGACCCTACCTGAGATTGTGTTTTTTCCACCTTATATCCAGCCCCAAACAATCCCCAGTCACCTCTTCCTCGTCAAGCCTTCACCAAAGAGTAACAGAAGCTCACTCACCTAGTTAAAATTCAGTGGTGTAGGATTCCAAGATCTGAGGCCCAGACTTTGTGGTGCTGGGCTCAGAGGAGGAATGCACTGCATCTCCAGTTCTAACAAGGTATTTTATAAAAACTCAAAGGGGGCCTGGGGATGTAGCCCAGTGGCACCACATCTGCCTTGCAAGCGCAAGGTCCTGAGTTTGATTCCCAGTAAGGAGAAAAAACACACACACACACAAAGGGAACCTCATCTAGATCACCACTCAGTCTTCAGGAACAATCTGAAACTAGCTCAAATCCCTGGAGACACTATTAATTACAACCAACTAGGTATAACCCTGAGGGTGCTCTCAAAAATAGGCTAACATGCTGGGGACGTAGCTCAGTGGTTCCGCCACCTGGCTTGCTTCGCAAGCGCAAGGTCCCGAGTTCTATCCTGGGTACCAAAAAAAAAAGCTAACAGAGGACATGCAATCTTCATAGTTGGGTAAAGAAGAAGTGGCTCGCAGCTAGTGAGGTCACAATTTCTCCAGTTACAGCCACAAAAGTGAGAGAAAACTTTGTCCCTACTCCATCCCTGTTTTTTGTTTTGTTTTGCTTGAGACAAGGTCTCCCTATGTAGATCAGGCTGACCTTGAACTCTTTATGAAGGCCAGGCTGGCCTGGAAGTCAGAGCAATCCTCCTGCCTCACCCTCCTGAGTGCTGGGATTACAGGCCTGCATGACCATGCCTGGTCATCCCTGGGTTTTTTTGTCTTGTTTTAGGCGCTGGGGACAGATCCAGGGCCTCATGCATACTAACAGCCCTGCCCTACTCCCCACTGTGAGATTTGGAAAACACAAGGGTCTGAGTAAAAACCACAGCCAGCCCTTTGGGAGCCCTGCCTGCCCACCCACAGGCAGCCTTCTGAGCCCTCCTAACTCCGAGAGAGACACTTCATACCCTTACACTACAGAGTGGAAACTAAAGCACAGGGTAATAGGTAACTTGTCCAGGGTCACACAGGCAGCAAGTGGAAGAGCTGAGATTCAAAGCCAGGTAAAGGCTTCATAGTCTATTCCATCACCACTTCCTGGAGTCACTCATTCAGAATTTGGCTTTTTCAAATATCCTAAACATGGCCATGAGCCAGCAATTACAAAAGGGCTTAACGGGTGTCACAGAGTCAACGCTCAGCATTTCTTCACTGTTTTCATGGTTAGCCTTCCCAGTTCACACTACATTAAAAGTCACAACTCAGATGACACGGTGACTGCACCAGGAGCAGCCAACGATGGAAGTAATAACAAAAATGACAGAAAGCAGGCACCAGAAAAACAACAAAAACTCTCACAAAACCTGCAGTTCTTGGCATTTAGTATTAGGGTTAAAGGAAAGGGTTAGAAAACTTTAACCTGTGGGCCAAATTCAACCTGCTAAGAATGTTTTTTACACTTTAAAACAGCTGGAGAAAAAAAACACACTCACAAAAGTAAGAATGTGACAGGGATGTATGCAGCTTGTAAAGCCTTAAAATATTTACAGAAACGCTGTTTAAACAAATAGCACAACTTTAATGCTCAAGGAACTCTGTGTGGATAACTCTCCCCTCTCCGCCTCACATAAGAGTTCTCACAATGTTGCCCAGGCTGCCTGGGAACTCCTGGGCTCAAGACTCAGACTCCATTCTGAGTAGCTAGGACTACAGGCTCATGCCATCCTGCTCACCTAAGAAACTCTCCTGATTTACTTAAGCATTATCTCACACTGTTTTTACTTCTAACTTAATAAAGAGTACTCAAAGTGGCAAGTCTGAAAATGTGGAAACCAACATTCCAAGAAGAAATGGCTTCTAGACCTTTAGTAGGCAAACATCCCTAGCTACACAATTTTTTGAGGGCCCAAGTTGTTTCTCTGGCTCAAGCATTAAAAGCATGTTGTGAAAAGAAAGGGAAAATGGCACTGGAAGCTCAAATATCCCCTTGTGGATTGTGTACTGAGTAACAATGGGCCCTACAATTACAAACACATTTTCTTGAATATGTCAAAATTTGTTAAAACAAAATCTTCATTTGCTAAGGACATACAAGTTTGTGACAAAAGTAAACATATTTCGGAAGTATTTTTAAGCATATACCGTGCTAATAATTGATAGTGACTTCTTTTGGACATAGATTTTTATTATACTAGTGCCCAGCTTCTTTTGATACCATGGCTCAGTAGGTACCTTCATCGAAATCTATCCCAGGGAGATAACAATCAATGCTGTTAAAAATATGTCCGGTGTGATGGTGTAGAAAATAGTTTGTTTAGCTAGCTTATGAGTAAGGCAGCTAGCTGGCGGAAGGGCCTAAGATACAGTGGGGTGACCAGCCACACTGACAAAAATTGTGAACTGTGGATTAGGACTTGCATGGAATCCACCCACTCCCTGCTCAGATTGGAAGGGAGGTGCAGTCACTCCCTACTAAGACCCTGAAGTTTGGGAAAGTTATTGCAAATTAACCAGTTCCTTCTGAGATCCCAATTTACTGTAAAGATTGTGAAAGAACTGGACTAGAGAGTCTTAGTCCCTATTGGTCATTTTAAATCCACAGAGTACCTGTGATAGGTAACCCCTAAACAATTTGTGCATCCTACTTGTCTATAAGTAATTCTAAATTGAGAGGCCACTGGGCAACCCACTTCCAGGACTACTCCTGTTTCTCAGGAGCTATTCCTAGTCCCCAATATACTTTTCCTATACTCACAGTGAGTTTGAGGCGAGCCTGAACTATATAGTGAAACCCAGTCTCAAACAACTAAAAAAAATTATACAAATCTCAAGAAATAGTGCATAAAGTGTTCAGTCTTCCATGCTGAATTCTATGCCAATCCCTTTGAAAATTAATTATACAAACATATATATGCATAGTTTTCACCCAACCTCCTCAACCAAATAAACAAATCTTTCCTCTCCAAGATTCATAAATCACACCACTCATGTCAAAAGATTAGAGATTGTACCAGTCCTTCCTTGCCCACATATGTTCTGTTCCCAGTTCCGAAACATTCAAAAATGTTTTCTAAAAAGGAAAGCATTGCATCTAACATTTACTTAGATTTACATTACAAATATACACTATTCCATGTTTCTTTTGTTGTGTGTGAATTTTTAAGTGTCTTAAATGATCATTCACAAGTACTTAAAACAAAAAATCCCCTGCTCCTGATTAATAGCCTCAGTAGTCACCTTCCAAACATGAACCGATTATGAAAGAAGACATATGCCAAAGTTATCCTGACAAAAGTTTCACTCACGCCCAAATGACTCGATAATTGTTCGTGAGAGAAGACCAGTTTCTCAAGATGCCACAAACAGTATCTTCAACAGTGTGGTAACTAAGGTGATAAAGAGCTAAGTAGATCAAAACAAAATATTCCAGTCAACCCCAACACCTAAAAACAAAGCCGGCCTGCAGATCCAGAAGAATGGGAATACGGAAAGAAACCAAACCCAAACATCCCGTAATAAAAAAAAAAAAAATTGTGACGACTTCCCCGCTTTGCAGCGTCCCGATTTCCTACTTCACTTCCTAAGTGTCAGGCCCTACAATGGCGAACCAAGGTCCCCGGCCTCGAAAGGCTCACGAAACAGTGCAGAAGGACGCGAACTTGACCCCAAAGATCCAAGGGCTCGGGACGTTCCATTATAGAACCCAGCAGCCAGAGAAGGAAAAGTTAACCGCACCAGGGGTGGGCCTGGGGGAGTGGGTGGAGTTGGGAAGGGCTGGGAGGCTTCCGAGAGGTGGCTGTAAGAGCGGGGGAGACAGAAGGAATCATCTGAAAAGGCTAGATGCTGCCCCGGCCCGCCCGGCCTGGCCAGGATCACGGAGCTAGAGCCTAAGCGGAGGAGGGCGCAGCAGGGGCTCCGTGGAAGATGCCCAACCCAGGCGCGGCAGGCGGGTGGCGCCCCTAGCCCCGACAAGTCGGGATGGGGACGCTCGGCCCCACCCAGCCCTCCGGGAGGCCGGGGATGCCACATGCCACGCCCGCCACCGCTCCACGGACAGCTCCCCACCGAACGGAGACACTCACTTTCTCGTGGAAGATGGACTCCATGTTTATTTGTCTGGAGCCAACGGCCCCGCGCAGAACCAACCCCCTCCAGCTCCGCCCCCAATGCGGGTCCCGGTCCCACCCCTCCGCCCACTCCACCCACCGTGCTCACGTGCCTCGCGCTGACCAATCATACGTCAGAAGGAATACCACGTGGGCGGAGAACGAGTGAAGGCCGGGGTGGTAAGCGCAAAAAACACGTGACCTTAGTAGAGTCCTTATCACCTGTTATCCCGAGGTCTGGGGCTGCTGCAGCGCCGCCTTCCGCCTGGAGGATCTTCTGCACCTCCCACCCATTGCCATGGATTCTTGGATGTTTGGAGCCTGGGTGTTTGGATGAGGACCGCCCATCCGGGTTCTATGTTTTGTTTTCAGCTTGTTTGTACTTTCTACTTACTTCATCTGTATGCAGTTATTTAATATCTCCCGCCTTCTCACCCACTGAAAGCTTCAATTAAAAAAAAGATTATCATTACACTTCCCCAATACCTAGAATTTGTGTAAAAAGGATAGTTAATATCTAGATAAGGCTTACTATACCCTAAGCACTTTTCTAAATGCTTAGCATATAAGTTTAATGCAGTAGCTTTGTATTATTGTTATACATGTGAGGAAACTGAGGCATGATAGGTTAAGAGCAGCAGAGCCCAAGGTCAGACAGTAAGTTGTCTTCCGTGTTAAAAAGCCAGGCAGCTTGTTACCAGTGTGTTGTGGACCTGAAGAGGAAATGTCAGGTGGGGGAAGTGAAAAGTCCAGCAAAAGCGTGTGGGAGTGAGAGGAGGGCTTGATGAAACTTAAGGGGTAGGATAGGTGCAGATCTTGCTCCTTGAAACTAGACCAGGATGTGCTTTTAAAAGGCAGTGGAAAGATAGAGAACAATTTTACATTAAGAGACATGATCAGATTGGCATTTTAGAAGGATCACTGGCTGCAGAACAGAGCAATTGCTGTTAAAGGAAGTCTTCATGGGAGATGATGGCGGTCTGTACCAGGGTTGTGGCTCGAGGATGGAGAGACCATTCTTAAAGATAATTAGTAGGGTGACACAAGAGAACTTGGTGAGGGACTGGAAAATGTGAGAGGAGTGTTAGGAACGACTTCTGTGTTTCTGTCCTACACAGCCACTACAGCAGGAGCGGTATTTGTTCAGATCAGAAACACCAGAGGAGGAGCAAGGTTTGGGGAAGAGAAAACAGGGTTTTTGTTTTGAATAAAATAAATTTAAGTATCTATGAGACATTCATATGTTGAGAAATGGGTAGATGTCAGGCCTAGAGCTCAAGTTGGTTTGAGCTGTAGGATGGGGATTTGTTAGTATAAAAAAAGGTAACTGAAATCATTAGAGTACATAAAATCATCTTAGAGAAAACCAACAGACTGAAAAGATAGTTGGGTCCTGAGAGGTGAGAGGTAATAGTCAAAGAGGAGGTTAAAGCAGGAGGTTGTAATATGATGAAAAGCCCTGGGAAGAGAATGCTTCAGGGACCAGCCAGTGTCACTTGCTGCCAAGAGGTCAAGCAACACACGGACTTACAAGAGACCACTAAATTCTGTTCCTATGGAGACTGTTTTGGTGAATGCAAATTCAAGAGCACTAGAAGGAGCAGGGAGAGGTAAGGGAATGGAGGCTGTAGTGAGGAGCAAGTGCTCAAGGGGAGGACCTGGTTACCCTTTACTGAACATTTCTGCATGTGGTCCATAATTCTATATTGGGGAAACATCCTTGTTAGGGAATTGTGGCTTAACCAAGGAAATAAGTTATAGTCTGAAGAAGTGGAAAAAAAAATGCAAACTGTTTTCTGGTATGTTTTAAAGGTACAGTCGTTGTCTTTCCACTGAATGAAGCCAGCTGTCTTAGTACTTTAAGTCTCTTCTAACAAAATATCTCAGACTGGGTGATTTGTCAGTAGAAATTTATTGCTCACAGTTCTGGAGTCTGAGGAGTCTCAGATTAAGGCATCATTAAATTTGGTGTCTGGTGAGGGCCTGTTCCTCATTCATGGTGCCTTTCCTGTGTCCTCCTCACATGGCAGAAAGGCAAAGGAACAAGATCTGTAGGGCCTCTTGTATAAGGACCTAATGCCCTTCTTAGGACTTCTGCCCTCATGAGCTAAGAAATGCCCAAGCTCCACTTCTTAATACTAACACATCAGGGCTTAGATTTCAGCATATAAGCTTTGAAGGGACAGACCTTCAGACCATAGCACCGAGTATCTGGGAATCATTCTTGATTCCATTTGCATAACACTTCCACCTCACCCCTTACTCCAATTAGTCTGCACATGTTACACATCCACACCTAATTGTCTCTTCATTGCTATTGCTTGGTTCAAGCCTTCTTGGTTTCGTGTGTAGCCCAGTCTGTGGAACTCTGACTGGTCTCCTGATTCCAGTCTCAGTATGTCTAATTCATAGCGTTGTCAGTGATCTTGCTTTCAAAAAACAAATCTTACTCAGTTTTTCATTTATTGAACAAAGGAAGTGTTACTGTGCATCAGAAAATGGGACTATAATCATGAAAAAGACAACTAGTACCACCTTCAAATAAATTATATTGGGAAGGATTCTTACACAGTTGTCTAAATCTTATTTCCTTTAAAATCCTTCAGTGGCTTACCATTACCTTCTGTTGCCACCTTAAAAAGCTCTTTGTGATCTGGGCCAATCCTTTATTCCACTTTAACTCCCTGAATTTCTTCTGCTCCAGTCTAACCAACTTCTTCCCTTGACTTGGAAACTCTGTGCTACCACTATACCTTGTGCTTATCCATATTACAGCACCTACTCCACCACAGTAGCTTTATTACTTAAATGCTGCTAAACTGTCACCTTGTGAGGGTCACAGGAGTCCTGGTCATTTTATCAAGGGTTGGTGTAGAGCAGTAAGACAAAAGAGTATGACCCTAATTCAGGAGGAGAAAGATGTTACTAAGTCCAAATACACCAAATAGATACACTTCTATATTATCTTGGACAACTCAATTTTTCTTTAATGTACTTCCTTTCAATTTTATGTCACGTAAGATTGCACAAAATTTTTTTTTGAAGAGCAAAAGTTTTAAATTTAATAAACTGCAATTTACTAATTTTTAAAAACAATTTATACTTTGTGTTGAATTTAAGAAATCTTTGACAAACCCAAAGTCATTAAAATTTTCAGCTATATGATTTTTGCCAAATAAAATCTTTGCATCATCCTGTTAAAGTTCCCTTGAAGTATACTATCTTAGTCCACTTGCTACTACTCTAACAAAGTATCTGAGGCTAGGTGAGTTTATAAAGAAAAGGGGTTTATTTCAGCTCACAGTTCTGGAGTTCCAAGGTCAAGGGCCACACCTGGTGATAGTTTTCTTGTTGGCAAAGTCCTGAGGTGGTTTAGAGCAATTCCTGACTGTATGTTTTTTCTGGTCTCTCTTCTTACAAGGCCACCAAAAATTCAATCATTGAGATTCAACCTTGATGACCTTACCTAACCCTAATCATCTCTCAAAAGTCTCAAACTCTATCTACCGCTGTTGATTGTTCCCACCACCTTAATATGTCACCATGGGGATTACATTTTCACCTATGAACTCTTAGGGAACACACTGGAACCATCATAGCACACACAGTTTTAAAAACATTTTTTTCTGAAAAAAAATTTGAGGGAAAAATTAGATATATAATTTAATAGTATTGTGGTCCAAAGTGAGAAACAAAAAATTAAAATACTAATTACAAATTTAACACTTATGCATACAGACACTCAATAATTATTTTATAAACCAAGTGTATTTAAAACTTGAAAAAGAGAAGAGGAGGACATATCATGTATAAGTGGAAATTCCCTATTTAAATTGTCCCAATAAATGTGGTTTTTTTGTTTTTGGGGGGTTTTTTTTGGTCCTGGGGATCAAACTCGGGACCTTGGGCTTGCGAGGCAGGTGGAACCACTGAGCTGAATCCTCGGCCCAAAATTAACTTTTTTTTTGGTGCCGGGGATCGAACTCGGGACCAATAAATGTTTTGATAAAAAAAAAAAAAAACTTGAAGACTAACTCAGCGAAAGTATAAAAAAGTATATAAAAGATCATCTCAGTAAGAAGTATAAAAGATGCCAGGAGGGATGCACATACCTGTAATCCCAGTATTCAGGAGGCTGAGGCAGGAGGACCGTGAGTTCAAGGCCAGCCTGGGACACAGAGCAAGTTGAAGGCTATCCTGGACTAGAGAGAGACCTTGTTCCCTCACCATCAAAAACAAATAACAAAAACACCAAAAACAGTATAGAAAGAATCACATTTCAAATTCTTATAATTAAATAACAAACATGTTTTTATTTCTCCCATAACTTTTAAAACATGAATATTCTGTAATTTAGCCACAGTCTACTTCCAGGTAACTTCTTCATTGGGCCTCAATTCCCTATGCAGAAAGAAAGAAGGAAAGGAAAAACTGTAAATAAAACTGCTATGAGGTGGTCAGAAGAATATTTTATAGTCTATTAATATGACCCATTAAAAACTTTATATTATGGACCGGGGATTTAGCTCAGTGGTTTCGCCGCCTGCTGTGCAAGCACAAGGACCCGAGTTCGACCCCCAGTACCAAAAAAAAAAAAAAAAAAACCTTTATATTAGATTCATCCTATTCTCTCATGACTTTAAACTCTTACCATAGCTTCAGTTTTCCACATTAAAGACCTACAATTTCTTAGTACATATAACAGCTATTATTCTTTCAATGAGTTTATTCATGTTTTCTATATCCTTTTTACCTCACTGTGTCTTTTTAAAAATCCTTGACTTATAAACCACCTCTATAAGTACCTGTGGAAGCTACTCACTCCTCTTTTTTCCTTTTTGTTTTTGTTTCTGTTTTTTTGAGACAGGGTCTTGCTATATAGTTCAGCTTGGTCTTGAACTCACTATGTAGCCCAAACTGACCTTGAACTTGTGGCAATCCTCCTGCCTCAGCTTCCCCAGTGCTGGGATTACAGGCGTGTGCTATCACACCCAGCTACAGCCCTCTTGTATGCTGAGCTTCTTCCAATCCAGACAGGAGTACATCCACTGGCACATACTCTCTCTGCTAACCATAACCCTCTGCTGCCAGAGGAGCCATCTCTAAAGATACAATGGAACCAGGAAGCTTCCAGCTACAATCACTGAAGCCCTGTATTTAAAGCTCTGAGGTAATGTTGTTGAAAACACAGCACTAGATCACTTTTTATTTGACTTGCATCATGGCTTATGTAAGACATTATATGTGAATCCTTTATACAGGACAAGATTTGATTAACTGGTTTAAAACTTTGTTTCTATGTTAAAAGGTACTCTGAATTTCAAAAAATGAGATGTTCAAAGATCTACAATAGACTGTTTATAAACCGAAGACTGTTTACATCCAAAGGTAATCATATAATCTTATCAAAGAAGTGAATAACAAGCCTAAAAAACAGTATCACTTGAATCCAATTCTTCAGGGGAGAGAAATTACCCCCTCTGTTTATCTTTGGTGCATATAGTATTAAGAAGAATATTCAAGTTGGCCAATAGCTGTTTTTAAAGAAAAAAATGTGTGAACTAACCTTTTAAATAGCATACTCTTGTTCCGGAAGGCAGTTAGCTTTTCATCGTTCCTTCTGTCCATGTACCATCCTAAGACAAATCCCATGGGGACAAGTATATGTACCCAGTGGTCACGCACAATCTGAACTAAGTTCACCATTATTGCTAAAAGCAAAACAAAAAGATTTATAAATCAGAAATATACATATAATTGCCTATATAATATCTTCTAAATTGCATCTGCAATGGAAAGATAGCTGTGGATGTGAAACATCTTAAAATCAAAATGTGCCTCAAAATCTGCTTGGCATAAGAATGTACAGTAGTACAGTATTAAAAAAAAGAATGTAGTACAGTAATTAAAATCTACTTGATGACTATTAGGTGACAATGGTCAGTTTACACTTCAAGAGAAAATTTTAAAATACAAAAAATAAAAAATAAAATTAAACTGCAGTAAAACCTATTTATTAAATTTTATTAAATTTATTTTTATTTAAATATAAATTATACATAAAAATTTACATAAATATCTATAAATAAAAATTTAAACATAAATTTATTTTAAAATATAAATTTTAATATAAATTTATTAAATTTATTTATTAAATTTTATTTTTGAATTCACCAGTGACTTGATAGAGGGTTGAGTAAGAGATTAAAAGAATTCTACTTGCAACAAAACCTGACACACCAGGTCCTCAACATTATTTGATGGAATGTATGCTGGGATACCTATTACATGTAGGTTTTTCCAGAAGATATAACATCAACACATTTATTGAGATTCAGGATCTAGAACTGTGTGCCTGTAAACAGCCGTGACAAAACTGTTGATTAACAAAGTTCAACTCTACAACATTTCCAATTTTAGCTCCTTAAAATAAAATCGGGCTGGGCGTGGTGGTACAAGCCTGTAGTCCTAGCAGTTGGGAGGCTGAGTCAGAGGCCAGCCTATGCTACAAATCAGTTTAAGGGCAGTCTGAGCTACAAAGAAAGACTTTATTTTTTAAAAAACTACCTGTAAAGATGATTATTTCATGGTCCTAATACTGATTTAGAACTTTTACATGTATAAAATAGTGTCACAATAGATCTGAATCTCAATTAATTGACCCTATGAAAGATAGGCTATCATATATTTCTACATATAGCATGAAATAACTATTATCAAATAATACAAATATCAAATATTATACAAATAAGGACGCACCTTAACTCAAATAGCTGTTTAGTGGAGGCCTGGAATTCAAATTCAGGTTCACTCCAAATGTCTGCCCCTTATCATTCCACACTGCCTCTTTTAAGAGCCTCTCCATGAATTTATATTTTTGGTACATAAGAGCTTTTACATTTCTGAGTTTTCAAAAGTCAGAAGAGGAGAACTAGTTATCATGATGTGAAAAATAACAAATGCACACTAATTCAATAAAAACATATTTAAACCATCATCAGTAAAAGTTTGTACATATAGATGAAATAAAAACACACTTGAAAGAAAAAAAAAGAAAGAAGACAAGAAAAAAATGTATGTAATTCAGTGTGGACAATGTATCTAAAGGTATGCCTTGACTGTAACAATTGTCTTACATGTTTTATATGTTCTTTGGCCTATTAGTCTGGTTTTCAATCTACATACATGATAATTCACTTTATAAGTTCTTATAAGATAAATAAATGAATCTGATGGTGCAAAAATAAAAGAGGGGATGGAGGGGAGAGAAAGAAGACAATTGAAATGTGTTATGTACATGTGCCAATCCCCTACTGTGAAGTAATCATTATGTACTGCAAACATATAGTAATAAAAGTGAAAAAGCACACACATTCACGTGCATGTGAATAAATCACACACCATGGCTGAGAAGACACATGACAACACCCTAGTAGAAGCAATATCTTACTGCCAACTAAAGTGCTTAGCACTAATCTAAGCTAGGAATATGTAGACTAAATTCACACCTTTCCTTCTGACCTAGTCCACATACTTACACAATTCTAATTATTTCTCAAGCTTTTATTAAATACCTATTATCCAAAGTCACTGCCCATGATGCTAATTTGCACAGTGTAGTTCATAAATAACATGTAATACTACATACAGCAGGTTCTAGTCTATGCCACCGATCTAGAAAACTAGGATCTAAGTACATGATGAGACATTTAAATGTACAATTTAAAAGTTTGAAATTTTAGTCTGGTGTCTACAGCTAGAGTTCTGAACCTTGATAACATCACCATCGCCCAGGGAGCCCTCTCAAAATAAGGATTCTTTTGGCCTTACTTCCAGGGTGAGGCCTGGACAAATCTATACTTGAAAGAATTCCCCAGCTGATTTTGATGCAAATGCTTCTTGGGGGTACAATCCTAAAGTCAATCAACCTTCCTTTATTTCCTTGAAGATGATGGTTCTCTTAGCACTGTGCCTTCAGTTAAGGGACATAATATTGAGATCTTAGAAGATACTATAACTTTAAAAGCACTAAACAATATATCTGTTCATGTGGCCTGTGTTCAAATTCAAGAACTCAGTGGTTATCTAGTCTGCTTCCTGTCTTTATTAGCTCCTAACAGGTGTCATTACCACCCTGAGCAGCACAGCTTTTACATATCATTTTGTATTTAACCAGCAAATAAGAGTTTTAAAAGAGCCCATGGCCATCTGTGAGATATGAGCATCCCTGGCATTCTTTCAACAGAGCCAGAAGCTAAGGACTGGGTTGGTCTGGCTCTACTCTGAAGGGATGAGAGGAGACGAAATGGTCCTTGCTTCAAGTAGACTACACAGACTTCAGAATTAAACACTGGGACTGAAACACAAAAGGATTCTGCACACTCAGAATCCAGAACTGGAGTCAATCACCATGAAAGAACATCCCCAAAGTAAACAACAAATCTTAGTCCCAGAGGCGTTTCATATTATGATACAACCTATATCCACTGGACTATGGAAGCAGCCCACTCTACATCATTTATCCTGTATGTTTTCCAGGAAGGACAGAGATGTATTTTCATAAAAAGTGAACTAGACTGGGAGGCTAAGGCAAGGGGATGGTAAATTCAAGTCCAGTCTGGGCAACTTAGTGACTCAGAACCTGTCTCAAAGATAATTTTTTTAAAGGGCTGGGGATGTAGCTCAGAATGAAGGCTGAGATCAATCCTCAGTACTGGAGGGGAAAAAAAAGCAAATAGGAGGTGGGGGATAGGGGACAGTGTGGATGGGCCCTTGGTCATGGGCAGGGACTCTAAGAGAGATTTATCTCATAGGCAAAGGCAAGACTAGGGCATGATCCAGTGAGGCAGGCCCAGGTTTGGGATGAGTAGATCGTTAGCAGGAGGAAAAAAGGGCCAATTGGTTTGGGGAATGGCAACCCTGTGAGTGTGCTGTATGTATTTTTAGTGTCTTTATAGGACCTGTAAGAAAACTTTGCTTTTACTTCAGAATCATAAGCAGCTATGGAATTCCTTAAACACGAACTGGGTTTTATCTTTTGGACTTCAGCAGTCATTACTCAATCATCTTTTTCTAAATTCTATGTTTTGGGCGGAGGGGATGAGACGTGCTGGAGACTGAACCCACAGCTTCCGAAAAGCACAGATTATACCACTGAACTATACCCCCAGGCTTGGTCATGTATCTTTTAATACTAAAATGATCCAGATTTTTGGGTCCTCCTCTAGCAAGACCTGAATCATACAGCACTGCACTTTTTACTTTTCATAATCATCAATTCATCTAAATCTCATAAGAGCATTATGTGGCCAGGCATGGTGGCGCACACCTATGATTCCAGCACTCGGGAGGCTGAGGCAAGAGGACTGCTGTGAGTTCAAAGCCAGCCTGGGCTACACAGTGAGTTCAAAGGCTAAGGACATAACCAGGGACAACAGTGGTAGTAAGGGATAGAGTTTGATTGGTACAGTACCCCTGCAGTTTGCTCCTTGGCCCAAGCTCTTTTGTTATACATTACTGTTTCTCCAGTGTAAAGGTAAACATTTATATTAACTTTATTTTCTTCTTCTTTTTCCTAATATTACTTTTTCTTCAATCCAATTATCTTTCCCTTAACTTCTAAAAAATCCTGTATCTGGAGCATAGTTTTGTAAATCACTCTGAATTTATGTGGGAAACGTACAGATATTTAGACATTTTAAGCTAACTGCCCCCCACAGCAGCACTTTATATGTACTGCTTTAAAAGTATGCACTTGGCCGCCCACACCGGTAATCCTGGCTACTCTGGAGCTAGGTCAGAAGATCTCAAGTCTGAAGCCCCAACTGAGTACTTGCCTAGCAAGTGCGAGGGTTCGACCCCAGTAACTAAAAAAAAAAAAAAAAAAAGTTATCCATTAACCTATAAAAACTGTACTACATGCATAGAAGAATCTACTCCTGCACTCTTAATGCCATATACACCCTGGAAACCAAACACAAGTTTGTTAGGTTTTTTAAAAGCAAACTGGCAAGTGCATGGTTTGTGGAACAGTCGACGCAAGAGGATCTGATATAGTCAGGTCAAAGAGAAGACAGATCGCAGAGATGTGGACAAATGTGGACGGTCCCGGAGAAGCAGACCCTTCCCTGCTTCTGGCTAGGCATGGGATCTAGGCTGGTCTCCTCTCCATTTCGGTCGAGGCTGGCCTTCGGCTCACCTGTAAAACCGTTTTCCAATTATGATGGCTTCGAAATACCCTTCCCAAAAGCCTCCAGACAGGAAACGTAACTCAGCCGTCCACTCCAAGACAAACGTATTTCTTTTCCCCTCACCTTCTCTTGGGAGCCCCAGACCACCACACCACACGCGCACATCACTGCCGAAGGCTTTCCCAGAACTCTTCCCGCCTGCACGACCGCAATCAGAGCCGCCGAGGCCTGCCAGAGACCCCTGACCCACCTTCAGACTGGGTGCCAACAATGACCCCACCACCAAGGGCAGCTTCGATCTCAGCCACCCCCACTGGCGGAAGCAGCGACCTCGGGATCTGCCAAATGCGGAGCCCGCACAGGGGGAGACGCGGCGGCGGAAACATCTTTTCTTCTTTCTTCAAATTTTTACTCTTTCCATTTAAAAACTTCAAACATTATTGATAATTTCTCTATACATCTGCGGCCCAAGGTGAAAAGTCTTGTTGGTGAAAGCGCTTTCGTCTTCCTGTTGTTTGGTCCGCACCCCCCTGAACTGGTATCGCCCGGGTCGTCCCCTCCTCTGCCGCTCGCCTGCAGGTTCAAAATGGCGGTCACCACTGAGGGGTGTTTTCATGCCCGTGGTCAGTGGTGCTGAGCGAGTATCAGCGTTTCTCCTCCTTGAGCCTGGATTCAGCTGGGGGTTGGGAAGGGCAGTGGACGGCGTTGGGGGAAGCCTCACGAGGCAAGTGAGGGCGAGAGAAGGGAGTGAGCCTTCGGATGGGGGAGGGGGCGTCCTCGGCCCTAGGGGACAGCCGGCCTCCGACCCAGTCTCCCGGGAGAAGTGCTCCTGCGGTTCCGGTTGCGACTGTCCTGGAAGTTCCTCGCGAGTGAAAGAGAAGTGACTTCTTGGGTGGAATACTCCCGGGTTGTTTGTGACAGTCCGTACTCTTCACTCCTGCGCTCGCTCTCCTTCCCTCCTTTCCGTAGCTTCACTCTCGCGCCGGGGGGCTCCTCCGCCGTGGGCTCTGATCCTTCGCCTCATGGCTCCGCCTTCTGGGGCTCAGCCACCGCGAGGCTGCTAAGCACTGGGCACAAAGTAGGCGTCCAGTTAGCTCATTGACTCCGAGGACCGTTCAGATGATAGTACCGCGCCTTAATAGAATTGTCTTCATCGCTCTCCAGCGCTTTCAGTACCACTGCAGTTTCCCACAATCTCATTCTTTTCGGCTTTGTACTTTTGTACATTCTCTTCAGAAAACAGAAGATCAGACTAGCTCTAACTTCTGTAAGTCTTTGACCTGCGAACCGGAGCCATCAGTTTTGCTCATCCCCGAATCTTTTAATTTTACTCCCTTTTGATCCTTTAAGGAAGTGCTGCTCTTCCTGAGCGACCCGGAAGAGACTTGCCCTTCAATAAGCTCTAGGTCTAACCCAGTCTCCTTCCTTTCCTTTGTATTTTGCACACTTCTCTTTGTCATCATCAACATGCATGCTCAATATTGACAGAGCAAGTAACCTAACCGATACATACTGTTTGTGATGGAGTAGTATTTATTGGTCAGACTCTTCTCTGCAGGGATTTATGATATAGTGAGGGTTCACTCTTAAAGCACATATACATTTCTGTTGCTTTGAGCACTGGGCAAGAGGGAGGTCGAGATCAGTTTGTGAATGATCTTGATTTCCAACCAAGGAGTTGAGGTTTTTATTCAGTAGTTAGCAGGAAGCCAGTGGATATGTCGTGCAAAGATTGAGTATGAGAACATTTGTCTCTCAAGATGTTCTTGTTAATATTTGTGTTAATAGCATCAGTTTGGAACAGGAAAACTAGAGGAAATTTGCAAAAATTCAGGTAAGGCGATGAACACCTCCATTGAAGTAGGCCAATGAAGAACGTTAGACTAAATGCCAAATGGAGTTTAACTACTGGCTGCCACTTTCTTGGTAAGAGGATGACTAGTTTTCTGTCTGAAAGACTACCTGGTTGATAACATTAAAATCCAATTTGGGCGCTGAGTGTGGTGGCATATGCCTGCAGTCTCAGCTATGGTCTTCGGAAAGCTGAGCAGAAGAATCACAAGATCAAGGCCAGCCTGGGCAACTTGGTATGACCCTGTCTCAAAATAAAAGGCCTAGGGATGTAATTCAGTGCCCCCTGGGGTCACACAACAAATCCATTCTGAGTCATGGACAAAAAAAAAAGCTGATGTTGCCAACCTGCTCTTTATATAAGTGGCAAGCACAATGCTCCACAGTCTAAAGCCTTGATTTTGGAGTTCAGACCTGTGCTGTTACAGTAACCACCAGCCACGTGGGATATTGAGCACTTGAAATGTGGTTAGTTTGAATGGAGATGTGCTGAATACTAAGTACACACTGGATTTTGAAGACTTGGTACAAAAAACAATGTAAAATATCTCAGTTTGTTGAAATGATAACATTTGGTTATAAAATACTAAAACTTCATCTGCTTTTACTTTTCAATATGGCTATGAAAAAGTTAAGAATTATATGTGGCATACATTGTATTTCTATTGACAAAACTAGTCTGGGTCTAGACCAGTGGTGACAAACCTATGTCCAAAGTGGGCTGTGTGTATCGTTGAAAGCGCTAAAAGGTTCACCATCGCTGGCCTAGACTCATGATGGAGGAATTAGTAAGGAGGTGGGATTTGAACTGGGGCCTGAGAGCATGATGACCTGTGATGGCAGGGCACAGCTCGGCCTGCTCCGTGGCCAGTGAAGCCATTGAGCTGTTTTGGGCTTTGTTTTGCCCTCAGGCAGTAAGAGGCCTGCAAAGATTTCTGAGCAAAAAGTAATGTGCGTAGGGCTATTTTTGAAGATTAATTCAGCAGGAGTGCTGAGATTGATGGGAAGGAAGGAAAAACTGGAGGCAGAGAAATGAAGAGATCCAAAGGTAAGAGAACAAGACCTTATATTAAGTAAGGTGCTGGTAGTAGGACTAAAAAGGGATGATATATGTACAAGCTTTACTGAGGGAAAAATAATCTGAAATTGGCAATGAATTGTTAAAGAAATGGTAAAGGGAGAGCAATGAAACAGAATTTCAAGTCTTGGTTACTTAGATATTGACTACTGATATTGTAGAATTATAAAGTATATTTGAGGCTAATGGAATTTAGCCCCAAAATGGAACCAGCAAAGGTGAGAGGAGGAGGCAGTCTGCTAAAATACTCCCTTTTTAAAAAATCTCCCTACTTTCTGTTACTGTGCAGTCATACATATCAGCTCATTTTCCTAAACATCTTTCTACTTGTTAATGAATCTTGACATCTTTCTCTATTGTCTGTTGAACTAGGGCTAAAGATTCCAAGGCCGTTCCTATGTGGCCCCTTTGTGTTCGGTAGACGCCCCCTTCCACCCCCCCATGTTTTGCTTATCTCAATTTTGAGTATTTTCTCTACCCAGGTCCTACAAAACCTTAATAATTTTATTTTTTTGTTTTTGGTACCAGGGACTGAACTCAGGACCTGGTGCTCGCGAGCCAGGCATCGGTACCACTGAGCTAAATCCTCAGCCCCAAACCTTAATAATTTTAGTTCCTAACTTGTGAGTTTCTATTATTGAGAATTTGGAAAAATCTTGTTTCCTGAACTGTATATTCAAACTCCTGATCATAACCAACTTGGCTCTTTATTACTTACTTTCTGACTTTTATTACATTATCCCTGTTTTATGTGAACCTAAGCTTCCTGAAAGTATGTTTCTTTTTTAATGGACTATATATTATATTATCTGTTGTTATTCCTTGAAGAAAACAATTATAAATGAAGGATACAATTACACTGCATTCATAAGTCTTTTTTCTTTTAGATTTATAAAGAACTCTTCCTCTGAACTTGTGATGTTTCATCATATGTACAACTGAGGTATCAGTAAGTCATGAATGTCTGATAAACATTTAGTTGTTTTTAAAATAATTTCATTTATTTATTTGTTTGTTTGTTTATTTATTTTGGTGTGGGGATGTGTGGTGGTACAAGTGTTGAACCCAGGGCCTTTGTGCTGACCTACATTCCCCAGCCCTTTTTTTTTTTTTTTCTTATTTTAAGATAGAGTCTCACTAAGTTGCCAAGTTGCCCAGGCTGAGCTTAAATATACAATCCTCCTGCCTCAGCCTGCCAAAGTGCTGAGATTACAGGAGTACAACACCATGCCCAGTTTTAAAAAGTTTTAACATGGATTCATTTGGTTGTATCTCCAAGATATTTTGTATTTTAAATTCACAATCTAAATGGGAAGAAAAGTGGAAGTAAAAGTAGAGCTGAGCGAAAAAAGAAAAAGAATTTTTCTTAGGCCATTATTATAACTGTGGTACAGGAAGCTTTTTGGCATGGAGAATTTTTTAGTTCCTCCCCAAAATTGTATTTTTAAACATTTTTCATGAAATAAAGAATGATGTCTTTGTAGTTCTCATATCTCAAACAGGAACAGTGTAAGTCACTGTATTTTTTTTTTTTTGTATGGGGATCGAACTCGGGGTCCCTCTGCTTGTGAGGCAGGTGGCGGAACCACTGAGCTAAATCTCGGGCCCTATATTTCAAATTTTAACTTACCAACAGTTACTTATTGAGCAGCTACTCTGTGCAGGGCTTATGCTAGTATGCCAGATGGATCAAGCCTAATCCTGTACTCAAGAGAGCTCTCTCAAGGGAGAGGAAATACAAGTAGTAACTGTTAATGTTGTGTTAAGAGCATTAAGCTCCTTATTTTTTGACACAGGATCTTGTTCTGTAGTCCAGGCTGGCATGGAAAGTAGCTCAGGCTGGTCTAAAATTTGGAATCCTCCTGCTGCTGCTTTGTGAGTGCTGGGATTACAGGCATGTGCCACCACGCTCAGCTCATTAAGTTCATTTAATATTAGTTGTGCCTCATTCATTCACGTGAATTAACGTGTATTGACCACCACATGTGTTAGGCTCTGTGTAGGCTTTGTAATAACACTGACCGATAAGATCATGAAGTCCACATTCTAGTGTAGGAGTCAGGTGAGCAAAAGGACTCAGACAAACCAAGAAATAAATAAAAAGCAATTACAGAGACCTCTAAGTATTTTTAAGGAAATAGAATGATACTGCAAAGCTCAGCTTGGTGGGGCACACCTGTACTCTCTGCACTTTGGGAGGCTGAGGTAGGAGGATCACAAGTTCAAGTCCTGCCTGGCAACTTAGAGAAACCCTGTCATAAAATTAAAAAAGAAATGAAAAGCTCTAGAATGTAGCTCAGTGAGAAGACCCTGTATTCAATACTCAGAACCACCAAAAAAAAAAAAAAATGATATCGCAGAGTGAACAGGAGTAGAAAAGGACTTCAGGTTGGTCAAGGGGTGTTGCAGAGCAAATGGGAGACAGGAAATATATGAGTAGTGAGAGACCTTGGTGACTGGAGATAGAAGGAAATTAGAGAAATCAAGTAGATTCATTGAAAAACCTCAGTGTACAACCTCAGGCAGGACATTTCACTAGTTGTGCAATGTGATAGTGTGAATAGGAAGGAGATGAGGATGAGGAGACACATTTGTGAGCAGATGTCAGAAATTTTACTATGAAAGGGAAACATAAAAATAATGCAGTGGTTTTAGGGTTAAGAGGTTCTTACAAGTTGGGAATTTCTAGAATGTCTTTGTAAGCTTGTGAAAGTAACTCATCAGTGATGTAGGAAAAAGTGAATGACCGAAGAAGTCAGATGTCCTAGAAGACTCGTAGAGGCATTGGCCTTGGATGGGAACACGGCTATGTATTACACATAATAGGAAACCCAACAGTGTACCTGCAGATAGATTAATTAATATGTTGTCTGGAAAAGGAGAAGTTGCTGTCTGGTTTTATTTTCTGATTGAAGAATGCAGTGAGATTTATCAGCTGAAAGTAGGGAGGAGAGAGGGGGTGATGGTTGAGCAGAGAAGAAGTGGTGTGAATGGTACTCTGAGAAGGAAAGTCAGTCTGCAAAGAAAAGAAGGATTGAAGGGAGTAAGGGCTATTTGAGAATTGGGGTTGTGAATTGAAAGAGCAAACAGCCCAGTTGTGTGGGGGTTTTTCTCCTTGTCTGACAGCTGCTGGAGCAGGCAAAGTAAATGACTGGGGTCGATTAGGGTTGGGATTTCACAATGCAAATACAAAGAAGAACCAGAGAAGTAGATAGTTCAGAGTGTTTGCAAAATAATGACTCATACATGGAAGGTTGCTGCCCTGAATAGAGACAACAGGGGGTTGCGGATAGTGAAAAAGTGGCCAGTGGATAAGAGCAGTGAGACCAAAGGGTTTTTGCAGTGGGAATTCTTGAGCAGGTAAGATGGAGTAAGAGAGTGAGATGTTTGAGAAATTTTGAAAGTAGCATAGGCCCTGGTCATTATCAGGTAGGGTGTAACTGGTGATGGGTGGCCGAAGTGAAACAAAGATTATTGCAGTTAAGAAAGCCAAGGCATTGAGAGCTCAGTATTGCAGCTACTAGAAGAAAGATCAACTCAGGAGCTAAAGTTCTTAGTGAAACAGATCAGATTCATAGATGCCAGCACTGAGGAGGAAATTAAGAAGGCTACTCATGAACTAGCTGGCTGGCATAAGCTTTATTAGGACTGGAATACTTGAAAGGCAAAAGAGAAGGTGTGGTTTGGCAGCTGCAATCAGGAGCTTTTGAGGTCCAGGGAGTGCAAGAGATTTAAAAATAATTTTCAAAGCTCTTGAGAAGGTTGCAGGAGGAACAGTATCGTTGGGGAACAGCCAGGTATCTGTGGAGACAGGCAGATGAGTTGTAGGTGAAAAGAAGCATACTTCTAGAGTGCAGACTGAAAAGATTCCCAAGGTGGAAAGGTGGGGTTGGGTCCAGCTGTGAGAAATACACATCAGTAATAATGGATAAGCGAGGAGTCTTTAATTTGGAGCTGTTACTCAGGTAAACAAGAATAGGAGATGTGGTGGACTTAGCCTTCGGTCATCCTGGTATGAAAGGTGGAATAGTCGGTAGATGAACTTAGGTAGATGGTGAGAGATCATCAGGTAATTCAGTGACCTTCTGTCCTACTCACATAGCCAGGAAAGGCCAGTTTTACCTTCTTTTTTTTTTTGGTGCTGAGTATCGAACTCGGATCCTTCTGCTTGCGCAGCAGGCAGTGGAACCACTGAGCCAAATCCCCAGGCCCCTTCTTTTTTTTTTTTTTTGAGGCAGGGTCTCACTATGTAGTTCAGGCTGGCCTTGAACTCACTGTGCAGCCCAGGCTGGCCTCGAACTCACAAAGATCCTCCTGCCTCAGCCTCTGAGTGCTGGGATTACAGGCTTGCACCACCACGGTCAGCCCAATTTTATTTTAAGGAGCTAAAATTGGAAATGCTGTTGAGTTGAACTTTGTTAATCAACAGTTTTGTCATGGCTGTTCACAGGCAAACAGTTGTGGATCCTTAATCTCTTTTTTGGGGGTACCGGGGATCGAACTTGGGACCTTGCACTTGCGAGGCAGGCAGGGGAACCACTGAGCTAAGTCACCAGCCCTAGATCCTTAATCTCAATAGATGTGTTGATGTTATATCTTTTGGAAGTACATTCATGTAATGGATATCTCAGCATACATTCCATCAAATAATGTTGAGGACCTGGTGTTTCAGGGATTGCAAACATAAGATACAACTTGTTTTTCAGTAGCTTGCGTTCTCGTGCAAGGTTCTTAACATTAAACTGCTTGAAAAGTATGTGAATTTTTATGTGTAAATGTACTTTTTGGTTTTTTTAGTATTTTGAGAATGGTGAGGGAGAAGGGAAAGCCTGTAACTTTTATCAGATTCTGAATGTGGTCTACTTATTTAAGGTCTAAAAAGACAGAAGGACATATAAACTGGTCGTTGTAATGCAGTGTAATCAGTGCCATCACAGAGCAAAATAAAGGAGGACAAGGTCATCGTGAGGAATGAGTTCATTCATCGAGTAAACATTTATGTATTGAGGCACTTGCATGGGGTAGTCTCTAAGTCCAGTAACCCTACATGATATTTAAAATTCTTCAAGCCAGGAATGGTGGCGCACACCTGTAATCCCATTACTTGGGAGGCTGAGGCAGGAGGATCGCTGGGAGTTTGAAGCTAGCCTGGGCTACATAGTGAGTTCAGGCGCAGCCTGAACTACAAAGGGAGACTCTGCCTCAAAAAACAAAACAAAACAAAAAAATTCTTCAACATCCTTTTACAGATATGTTAATACTAATGTTTTATATAATGGGATACATAGGTGAGAAAAGATTAGTTGACTTGCAAATCTGTATTTCTCTGATTCCAAAGTCCACTGTTTTGCATTAAAGCACCCTAGGGAGACACTGAACCGCTGGAAATAAGAGAATGTAGGTCTATGCTTGTACTTTTAAACTTGACAGTGATGGCAGTGAGTCTATAATATGTTTGCTTTTCACGTTTATGGAATTTCTGTACACTTAAAAATGTGAAATAATTTTAATTTGTATATTACATGTATAAAATTGTGCTTTTGTGCTTAATTATGTTTTTCTTTTGAAAGAACCTTTTAGATTGCTGTTACTGGACCAAAAAGATGACATCTATTATTAAATTAACTACCCTGTCTGGGGTCCAAGAAGAGTCTGCCCTTTGCTATCTTCTGCAGGTTGATGAGTTTAGATTTTTATTGGACTGTGGCTGGGATGAGCACTTTTCTATGGATATTATAGATTCCCTGAGGAAGTAAGTTCTGTTTCACATTTCTAGACTTTATTACATTAACTTTTCAAAAAAAATCAACTTGCCTTTCATACACTTTTATAATACAATTTTGCTGTTATATAGTGCTGTCTTTGCACTAAGTTTATCATAAGAATTTTATCCATGCCAAAAACTGAATAGTGACCATTTTAGCTTGTAAAATTTTGGTTGACTTATTAACTTTGTTTATTTGAATTCAGCAAAATCTTAACTTGTCACTTGGCTAATGGATCACTGTAAAGTTTTGCTCTCTAGTTTTAGGAAAGAGCGAGAGTTTGTAAAAATTTAAGAGGAAACTCCTGTGTGACAGCTCTGTGGTTGCATTACATTAGCTTACTTTGTAATTTTTGATGCTTGACATTCGGACTTAGTTCTTAGAATAATAACCATGAGATACAAAGGGGTCCTAATCTATCAGAAAAGATTTGAGTTATGAGCCAGGTGTGATGGTGCATACCTGTAATCCCAGCACTCGGGAGGCTGAGGCAAGAGGATCGCTGCCAGTTTAAGGCCAGCCTGCATTAGAAAGCAGGACCCTACCTCAAAAAGAAGATTCAGTTATATATATGTGTGGTATTATACTAATTAATGAAGGAAAGAGGACTTAAATCTTTTTAAATACTTAGAATTTGAAGCCAAAAAAGAAAAAAACCTATTGTCCATGAGAGCATATACTTCACTGATTAATTGATGTTTTACTACAGTGATTGTGATTTTGGTCAAAAATTCATAGTAAATATGTGGCTAATTACTTTGTTTAACAAGTCCTAAAATTCCAAGCTTAAGTTAATACTGTATAAGGTAGCAATTCATAGTCAACTTATTTGTGGTGACTACTTTTTTCTTTTTTAAATATGTCTAGACATCATAACATCATATGTTTAGATGCAACTTATGCCATAATTTTGTTGTCTATGTAGAACAGGGTAGTAATAATTGAAATTCATAGGTGTATAATTTTAGTTATTTGTTTTGCTCTTCTACCCCAGTATATTCGTCAGTCCAGAATGGGTAATTTTGCCTATTCTGCTTTTACCCTTAAAACAAGAAAGGAGCAAGTTGTCGTTTTGCTTGTGTTCTCCTAGGCATGTTCATCAGATTGATGCAGTGCTGCTGTCTCACCCTGACCCTCTCCATCTTGGTGCCCTCCCTTATGCTGTGGGAAAGCTGGGTCTGAACTGCGCTATCTATGCAACCATTCCTGTTTATAAAATGGGACAGATGTTCATGTATGATCTTTATCAGGTAATATAAACAATTAAGGGAAAATATAATACTCTATTAGTGGTCATTTTTAACCTTTCATTTGTGTCATTCTTTTAGTCTCGACACAATACAGAAGATTTTACACTCTTTACGTTAGATGATGTGGATGCAGCCTTTGATAAAATACAGCAGCTAAAATTCTCTCAGATTGTGAATTTGAAAGGTAAAAAATGTTTCTGTGGTAAATAATTGTAGTAAACTTTTTTTTTTTTTTTTGGTACCGGGGGTCAAACTCAGGACCTTGTGCTTGCGAAGCAGGCAGCAAAACCACTGAGCTAAATCCCCAGGTGTAGTAAACTTTTCTGTGGTAATGAGTTTTGTTTTGTTTTGTTGTGGTGCTAAGGATTGAATCCAGGGTCTCGCACATGCTAGGCAAGCATTGTGCTACTGAGCCACATTTTCAGCCCTGGGCATGTGGGATTTAACCTTCTGAAAAAACTCAGGAGAATCATAATAAAACTTATAGGCACTGTGGTCTGAGAATAAAAAATTAGTCTTTTTTTGCGTTGATGTGAACTGAACTCTGAACTTGACTCTGAACTTCCATCTCAATTTTTGAAATATTCTAGATTAAATACAAATTTTTGACAGCTCAGGCTGTTAGCATTTTTTCTATTTAGCTTGGAAAGACTTATTTTAGTGTTTATTATGTAGAATGAATGGAGATAAAGCGTGCAGATCCTCCTCCTTGGACCTTAAGTTAGATTCAAGAGACAAAGTAGCTCAAATGTCTAAATGTAATTGAAGTAAATGAAGTGCTGTGGTATCAGAATAGAAAATTACTAAAAGTTTGTTAGGTCAGGATATCATATATTAGATGTATTTATCATATGCAGGATAAGTGCATTAGAGATTTTCTTAAAAACGAACTGTGGTGGGGCTGGGGATTTAGCTCAGTGGCACCGTGCCTGCCTCGCAAGCACAGGATCCTGAGTTCAATTCCAATATCAAAAAAAAAATGAACTGTGGCATTGAGAATATGGTGCAATAATGGACTCTTTTTTTTTTTTTTTAATAATGGACTCTTGAAGATTTAACCAGGAAGTAATAATGGTCTTAGTAGTTTTGCTTATATTTAGTTTTTCTGTAGGAATAAATTTTTTTACTCTAGTGCGATTTGAAATGTGGTTCTATTAGTTTAGATGTTAGCAAAATCGGAAACACTTGCTAATATAATGTAAATGTTAAACTTAGGGCTTGTGTAACTCAGTAGTATGTGAAGCTGTGGATTCAGTGGCCAGCATCACACACACACACACACAGTAAATTTATTAGTTAATACTAAGTTATTTAACAGTATACTAGCTTTAATGTTCAACTCTAGCTATCTACTTATGAACCCAATTATCTCTCCAAGAATGCATAATAAAGTTGCAAGAGTATTTGCCTCCATTGAAAGAGTGTAATGTCTGAGGATAGGAGTGTGAGATTTGCTTTTTCACTGTATTCATTTTTACTTCTGAATTTTATATCATTGTGTATGTTGCCTCTTAACATAGCTTAAAAATATAACCTTACAAGGTTATGAAAGAAACTTGAATATCATCATTATCTTGTTGACCTAGGTAAAGGACATGGCTTGTCTATCACACCTCTGCCAGCTGGCCATATGATAGGCGGAACAATATGGAAAATTGTCAAAGATGGAGAAGAAGAAATTGTTTATGCAGTTGATTTCAACCACAAGAGGGAGATGTAGGTATATGAAGACAAGAGCTAAAGGAAATGCAAATAGTGTTACCTAATTCTGTAAAGGGAAAATTAGAAGCATTCTCTTTTTGTTTGTTTTTAACCAAAATCTAGAGCAATTTAAAAGCATCAAGTATTGAATATTTTTACTGTTACTTGGATTGTAAGGGAAAAAGTTTGGTGTAGGACATAAAAGAAGTTTTTAAAATTTACATGTGATTCTTCACTATAAAACAGCTGTCTCCCAGGAGGTGTTGCAAAGCAAGTGAATTTTTGTCCATAAAACTATATTTTATATGCTTTCAACCTACTACTTAACAGAACTTTTGGGGGTTTTTTTGCTTTGTAAAATCAGTAATTTCTATGTAATGTAACTATATTTAATATCACATTCCCTTTAAAAGGGAACACAGTAGTTAAAATTTTACATATTTAATTCTGCATTCATAGCATTACTGTAAATTTTTTGTTGTTCAGTCTCATGTAGGCTTTTGGTATACCTGTACATTAAGTTGAAAGCTTGTTTGTATGAGGTTACAATAGCCTCAAGATCTTTATATTAAGAAATATTTAAGACTAATAGATTGAATTTAGACATATAGATTAATGAGGAAAGTGGGTATTTGAGTAAGTGGTGAATGAATTTAACCATTTTGGGAAAAATTTTTGTCCTTTTACAGTATAACAAAATAATTTTGAGATGGATTAGAATTCACTAGAAAAGGAAACAATATTGGTGATTTCTGATTTGGAAGAATTTATAACCGTAAAGATAATGGAACAGTTTACAAAGGAAAAGTCTGATAGATTTGATTACATACAGGCTGAAACTGTCTGAAACAATAAACTTAAGTTACAAAACCAATAAACTAGGGAAAATATTTGCAAGTTGGCTAAAAAACTTATGCATATATATAAGTCCAAGCATTAATTAACCAAAAATATATAGTTTCAAAATAGACAAAAGTTAAAGTAAAAAAAAAATTGTAAATAATAATGTTTCTTTATTAGGTACATTAAAATTATGTTTAAATGGTAGTAGCCTTTTGGGAAGTATTTTGTGAGTTGCTAAGTCTTTCCGGTTAAACCTTTCTGGAAAAGGTGAACCTTTGTGGAGAACTATTTAGCAACACTTGTATAGTTTAGTAAATACATTTTTCAGAATATATCCCAAAGAAATGTTCAGAAATGCAATTAAAGCTTTTTTTAAAAAGTTCTTTGAAGGATTGTAACGATGAAAAAGTGACAAATATAAATGAAAGAAAAGGTTCAAATAAATACAGTATAAATATTGGTTAAAACTAGCTTAGAAAAAAATTTTAATGTCATGGAAAAAAACTAGGATATAGAATTGAGAATATAGGACTATACATGGGATATCCATTTGTTTTTCTTTTTGAGGTACTGGGGATTGAACCAAGGGACTTGTGTCTAGATTAGCACTGTCTCTTTTTTTTTTTTTTTTTTTGGTACTGGGGATCAAACTCGAGTCCTTGCGCTTGCAAGGCAGGCGGCAAAACCACTGAGCTAAATCCCTGACCCTGGATTAGCACTCTTTAATACTGAGTTACATCCCCAAAGTTGCTATCCTCCTCCAGCCTCCTGAGTCGCTCAAATTACAGGTGTGCACCACCACACCCAGTGGGATATACACTTTTTTAAATTAAATTTAAATCCTGCCTCAGCCTCCTAAGTGCTGGGATTACAGGCATGTACCACCACACCTGGCCAAAACTTTTATACTTTGAAGGGTATACTCGAGATATATCAGTTATCTTGACAGTGGTGGTCCTCTGGAAGGTTATTATTTCCCTCTTTATACATATTTTTTTTAATTTACCTGACTTTTGGTTTTTTAAAATTTTATTGGTACGTTTTAGATATACATGATGATGACACTCATCATAGGGAATTTGTACCTGTACATGATATATCTTGCTTCTTTTTTTTGCCATTCCCCTCCCTTCCCTTCGCATATATATTTTTTTATATTTAGCAAGGAAAAAACCCTTATAAAAACAGTTGCTCATTTTTTACTTAAGAACCTATTACTGCTTATTTGAAGTGATATAAAATATTCTTCTTCTTAAACCTTAACAGCCACTTGAATGGATGTTCCCTGGAAATGCTAAGCAGACCCTCTCTACTCATCACAGATTCATTTAATGCTACTTATGTGCAGCCTAGAAGGAAACAGAGAGATGAACAGCTACTGAGTATGTATTATCTAGTGTCCTTTTTAAAGAGCTGTGGAAGTTCATGATAGCGTGAAATTCTTTTTATTCTGCTGACCTTGGTCATAAGAGGTTAGCTAACTCTAGTAGTTTTGAAGAAATACGCGACTATCGAAATTTTCAATAAGAAGATGTAAAGATTGCCTTCTGACATTCAGCACATAGCTAGGTCTCTCAGGCACTCACAGGATATGTCTGTATATTAAGACTTCATGTATATCAATTAGAAAAACACTCTGAAAGAAAACTGAAAAAACAGATAAATGAGGGTACAGAGGGTCAGCTGGTTTTGGTGTGGGGTATTTTATGCTCCAACCTTCTTAGTTTTAAAGAGATGTCTCTAAACTGTTGCTGCTGATTTCTGTTTTGACTTGAGCTGCTTCAGTTCGTGTTCTTTTTTATAAGCCAAATGAGATTTCAGCAGCAAAAGTTGGATTCCACTTTTAAGCATGTTAGCAACCACTCTCTACTTATAAAATATAGCTTGTATGGCTAATCACTAAGTTGAAGTTCTTTAGTTCATGGTTTTTTGTTTGTTTCTGCTAGTTTGCTTGTTATCAGTTATTTCCGAGTAAACTTTCATGTAGAGCAAAGAAATCTAGGAAGATGCTTTTGGTGGAAGAAAATGTAATCTACATTTTATTCTGTGAGTAACATAGAAAATAGGTATTCTATATATAAGATATATATATTTCTATATATAATATATGTAAATAAGTATTGTGTATATATATATATTTGTATGCATATATAAATTTGGGATTAATCATAACAAACTTCATTGGAGTGGACAGATGAATGCAGGTTGTCCCGGAAGCCCAAATGCTGGTAGTATTAGGCCAGGTCAGTTTTTCTATTTTTTTTTTTTTTTTTTTTTTGAGACAAGGACTCGCTATGTAGCCCAGGCCGACCTCAAATTCACAGAGATCCTCTTGCCTTAGCATCCCAAGTACTGAGATTATGGGCATATGCCACCACACCTAGCTCAAATACCATTTTCTATGTATACTTGATGTGAAAGAGTTGGAAACTACTGATTTATAATATTTAAATGAAAAAAGTTGGGAGTTAATGGCCTTATTTTTACCTCTAATGAAAGTATACTTAAAATTAGAAATTGTGCTATCCTAAATAAAATTTTTCATTTTGTACCAGGCCTAGTGATTGCTTACTTATAAATTATAGGCTTTATTTTGGGGGTTTTTTTGTTTGTTTGTTTTTGTTTTTGGCACTAGGGATCAAACTCAGGTCCCTGCGCTTGCGCAGCAGGTGGCAAAACCACTGAGCTAAAGCCCTATAGGCTTTATTGTGAAAGCAGAGAGACAGACAGCGTTATCTTTAATTTTGTAGCACAGCATTGTTTTGTTCTATAGGGATTTTGCATTCTTGTTTTCTAGCAAATGTCCTGGAAACCCTTCGAGGTGATGGGAATGTATTGATAGCCGTGGATACTGCAGGCAGAGTTTTGGAACTTGCTCAGCTTCTTGATCAGATTTGGAGAACTAAAGATGCAGGATTGGGTGTTTACTCACTGGCACTCCTAAATAACGTCAGTTATAATGTGGTGGAGTTTTCTAAGTCCCAGGTTTGTTTTCATGTCATCATTTATGATTACGAAGTTTGCCTGTGATTGGTCTTGTGAAATTGCATTTTGGATATTATTTTTCTGGAGAGGTTGATAATAGTAGCTAACATTAACTATTTACTGTTCAGGTGCTTTACATAATTATTTCATTTAATCTATATATATCCCAGGAGAGAGTTTCTATTTTTGTCTCCATTTCACAGATTGAGCAAGTTGCTTCTCTTCTAACTTTTGGTGTCCCAGTCTATAAAACGGACAAAAATAGAACCAGAACCTACCTGATAGGATAGAAATGTTAGAATTTATTATTCTTTCATTTGTATAAACTTTTTCCCTTGAAATAGCCATCTCTAGGGTAGGATATTTACTTAGAACATACACACCGGTTTCTCAAAAAGATTGAAGGTGACTTATAATCAAATCACTGAAAAGTTGAATTTTTAGGATGAGAATAGGGTGACTTAATGGGAAAGAGAATCAGAAGATTGCTGCTTGTCAGAAGAGTACAAATTTCAGCAACTAGTGGGAAAAAAAGGCTTGAGATAGAGCTTGGATTTCTTGTGTTGTAGAATACATGTAAGTTGCAATATTTTCTAATCACTGTCATCTTTCCCCCTGTATTAGGTAGAATGGATGAGTGATAAATTGATGAGATGTTTTGAAGACAAAAGAAATAACCCATTTCAGTTTCGCCATCTTTCTTTATGCCATGGTCTGTCGGACTTGGCTCGAGTACCCAGCCCCAAAGTTGTGCTTGCCAGCCAGCCTGACCTGGAATGTGGATTCTCAAGAGATCTCTTTATTCAGTGGTGTCAGGACCCTAAAAACTCAATAATTCTAACTTACAGAACTACTCCTGGGACTTTAGCACGTTTCCTGATTGATAATCCTTCTGAAAAAATTACAGAAATAGAGGTAAGCACTTGTAGGCAAACTTTATCTTAGAATTGTTTTAGTGGTATGTTATTTAAAAATTGGTGTTCAGGGCCAGGGATTTAGCTCAGTGGTTCTGCCGCCTGCCTCGCAAGCATGAGGTCCTGAGTTCGATCCCCTGTACCAAAAAAAAAATTTAAATTTGAAAAAGAAAAATTGGTGTTCAAAAATAAAGCTTAAAATTGCCTTATTTTATATTTCAGAATAATAGTAGAGAGCATTTAAGGCAAAAACTTTAGAACCTCTTAACTGGAGATTCTTATTCCAGAGCCCTTTCACTGTGCTCTATGAAACCATACCTAGAAGGAATATGTACATGTACACTGTGTTCTCAGTCTCCAAAGAGTTCCTTTTCTGCCTTTTCCTTAATTGAAATCTGGCTGCTCCCTCCCTAATCGTGTTTTTTTGCCCTCTCAATTAGACCTCTTTTTTTTTCATGTTTCTTTTACTTTAAGTGCAGTTGGTAGCTGCCCTTGTTCAGTATTGCAGCTTTCAGGCCATTCTCTTCCCTTTGCAGTTCATGCCATCAGATCTGATGATATGCTCCTTGTTTCTGACATTTATTAGTCTCTTGGTCATTATCTGTCATTCGTTGGTGATTTAGCCCCTGGTTCACAGCCTTCCTGTCCACTTACACTCAGGACCCTTTTCCTGCAGACTTTACCATCCATATGTATGCTCTGTCCAATTCCTTGGTCCTTTCAGTTCCTTGACACTTTATTTCCTAATGCTCTTCTTCTTCATTACCTCTGCCATCTATTCCCACTGTTGTGCTTTCTCCATCTGGATCTTCCCTTCAAGACCCCCACTTTGATCTTGCAGCTGGCTCTGTCTTACTTCATGCCAGCTGTGCTTCAGTCCCATTGGGGCTTTCAGTTCATGAACCTCACCTTTACTTATCACCCTTATAGCTTAGAGTCATTAGTTCTTGATTTATTGTTTTGTGAACACCTTTAACTCTCTTACCCTTCTGTTTGTTCTACTCTCCTGTCACAGCCTTGACCCAAGTTAAATCGTTTGCTCCATCCATGCCTGTACTCAGGCAGCTTTGTCACTCGAGTGGAACACAACCCTGTGGGTAGGTTCTCCTTCCCTTTCAAGACTTCACATTTCAAAAGGGCACTCAACATTTACAGGATTTCTCATTCTCCAATAATGCAGTTTTATGTCTTCTTACTCAAACATCCTACAACTCGCTCCCACTTTGTCCATAGCACATGACCTTGTCACAGATTTAACAGTTTAGAAAGCAGAAGCAGTCAGACAAGGATTCCTTTAGGTCACCATTACTAAATATACTAATCTGTTTCTGCATCCTCATCTCCTCCCTTATCTTCTTGATGGGAGCAAGGAATTAGCTAAATGACCGAGATGATAAAAAATGGTATTGCTTAATAACCAACCTATCACATCTACCAATTTTCCAGAATTGGTATTATTGACTCTAAATTTCATAGCGGTTTTTTTAATAGCAAAACATTTATTGGTACATTTCAGGCATACATGATGATAACGTTCATCATCGGAAATTTGCACCTGTACATGATATATCCCACCTTTTTTCCCATTCCCCCTACCCTTGTAGCCCCCTCCGCTCCCTGTGTACAAAAGCTTTGTTTCCATTTTTTCCTTCTATTTTCACTTTTTTTTTCTTGTCCCTTGTTCATAGCAATTAATATTGGATGGGATAGTTAATAATTGCTAAAGTTGGACAGTATTTTAGATGACTACTTTTCATTTTGTCTTCATGACAACCATTTAAACAAATGTTTAGTTTGTTAAAAGCTAAATGGTATCTTTGTTTTACATAACTCTAGTTAAGAAAAACAAATGAGTTGGGTGTGGTAACATACACTTATAATCCTAGCACTCAGGAGGTTGGAGCAGGATTGTGAGTTGGAGGCCAGGCTAGGCACCTTAGCAGTTTAGCAAGTCCCTGTCTTAAAAAACTGTGCTTACTTTGGCAGTACACATACTAAAATCGGAAAAAATAAAAAGGGCTGAGGATATAGCTTAGCAGTGGACTGATTGCCTATCATATGAGAGGCTCTGGGTTTAATCCACAGTACAAAAAGAAGCATGGTATTAGTAACTAAAATCTGATACATATTCATTATAAATAGAGGATTGTTGAGCAAGGATTCAGAGCAAGCACAATAGAGTAAAATACTGTCTTGGAGTATTTAATAGAAATACTGAGTTAAAAGATCAGAAGTACTTGACAGTTTCATGAGATATGAAATACTAAATTTGAAATTTTAATTACTAGAAACTCAGTTAAGGCTGATACGCCATTTGAGGAATTAATATAAGAATATTAAAAGGTTGAAGAGGGCCAGGGATTTAGCTCAGTGGTTTCGCCGCCTGCTGCCCAAGCACAAGGACCTGAGTTCGATCCCCGGTACCAAAAAAAAAAAAGTTTGAAGAAATAGGAAATGATACACAGAAGTGTATCAAAAGCAACTGAAACATGAAATGTCAGATTTTTATTTTTTACGAAGTATACTTAGTGCTTAGGACCTTTTCCTTGCTCACCTTTTTAGAGCTATTTCTCTGCAGTTATCCCTCCTTTCCCCATCATCTATGGTCTTTCCCCCTTTACTTGATCATATCCCAAACAATTTTTATTTTACCCTCTCTGCTCCCAACCTGCTCTTTTTTTTTGGTCTTTTGAGACAAGGTCTTGCTATGTAGTTCAGGCTGGCCTTGAACTTGCTGCAATCCTCATGCCTCAGCCTCCTGAGTGCTGGGATTACAGGCATGCACCACTATGCCCACCCCAACTTTTTGGGGGGGGGGGGCAGTACCAGGAATGGAACTCAGGGCCTTGCACTTGCAAGGCAGGCGAGGTGCCACTGAGCTAAATCCCCAGCCACCCAGCCTTCTTTTTTCTTAGTCTTATGGGAAAAGCAGCCTTTTCCACATACTTACTCAAGCAAAAATTTAGAAAATTTAAAATGTTCACTGAAGGAAAATATGTCTGTGCCATAAGTGCAGCACAGTATGTGATGAATTCACACACAGTGAACACACCTGTCCAGCCTGCATCCAGTTAAGAGCTAAGATATTATCAGCTCCCCACACACCCCCTTTGACTCTCTCCATCTCCTCCAAGGTAACCACTACCCTGCACAGATTATTACTACTTTTTTTTTTTTGGTGGTACTGAGGATTGAACCCAGGGCTTCACGTGTGCTAGGTAAGCACCCTTCCACTGAGTTGTGTTCCCAGCCTTTACAACTTCTTTTTTAACTATTTACTTTTCTCGCAATAGCTATACCCAGTCCATCAGCAAGAGTACTCTCCTACAAAACTCTCCATATTACATACAGTGACACTAGGAGGTTAACATTGATAGTGTGCTATCATTCCATTTCCTGACCCCACTCAACTATATCCTTTCCCTTTTTTGTCTGGATTTCCATACAGGATTACATGTTGGATTAAATTGTCTTGACTGTTGACATTTTTGAGGCATATGGGTTTTTTTCCTCCTTGATATACAAATATTTTTTCTGTTTTTTGTTTTTTTGAGATAGGATCTCGCTGTAAAGAACAAGCTGACCTTCAGTTCACTGTGTACCCGACACTGGCCCTAAACTTGTGGCGATCCTCCTACCTCAGCCTCCCAAGTGCTGGGATTATAGGCATGCGCCACCACGCCCAGCTCCGTGTTATTTTTTTTAAAGGCTGAATTATCCACCTGTTCTGAAACTTGTTCTTTTCACTTGAGTCTTTCTTGAATAGTGAGAGTATATAAAGATCTTCCTTACATAGTATTTGGTATATTATGCCAAATGTTTTTGAATAAATGAATAGATTCTTTTTAGTAATTTTGAGGTACATTGTATATGTGTTCTCTGGTTATTTAATCCAGTGGACCTGAAGGAGTCGCTCAGACCTTTTCAGAGAGTCCATAGGACCAAAACGCTTTTTCATATTCATATTAATATTAATATATCACTTGGCTTTTCACTGCTATATTTATGCTGATGGGTAAAATCAGTAGTGCAAGAAGTGCTGGTGTCTTGGCATACATTAAGGCAGTGGTGCCATGCTGTGGTAGAAATCACTCCTTTTTCTTTTTCACTGCATTTTTTTTTTTTAACCACCGTGCACTTGTAGTTTAAAAAAATACTAGTTTAGTTTTAAGAATATCCTTGATAAGGCAGTAAAAGTTATTACTACTACTCCATCTTTTTAGCAATTTTAAAAATAATTTTAGTAGTAAGATAGAAAATGTGCATAAAGTATATTGCATGCTAAATAAAGTACGATGGTTTCTAATAAAAAAGACACGTGTGGGTGAGTTGTGAGTTAAACTGGCTGCTTTGTTTTTGAAATACCGTTTTTCCTTGAAGTAATATTCACTTTTGGGTGTTTGATATTTCTTAAAAATTAATAAATTGAGTGTGTTATTATAAAAAAGTGATAACATGTTTTGCTTAAATCTGATAAAATTCTAACTTTCAAGTGAAAATTAAAAATTTTGGAGATTTGAGGAAGTTTGGAAATTCTGGAACTGTGACATAGACAACTAAAAAGATTTCTGATGAAATTGATGGTGATATTTATGGATGTGATTTTTAAATATTATTTGTGAGATCTGTGTAACTTGAATGGATATTTCTGAATTATCACGTTTTTATAAAATACTACATAAATGAAAGATCCATTCAAAACATAAGATACATCAATAAATCATAATTTAACAGAACACAAAAAGTTTATTAAGGTATGATTTCAGTCCACATTAACCTTTAAGAAATTACCACTTTTTAGCTGGACATGGTGTCACACGCTCATAATATCAGCACTGTGGGAAGTTCAGGCCTACCCCATACAATTTAGCAATTTAATGAAAACTTGTCTCAAAATAAAAAAGGAATTGGGGATGTAGCTTAGTTGGGAAGACCCTGGCTTCAATCCCTAGTACTGCGTGCACGCATGTGCACACATGTAAATTACTGCTTTTTGAGTTTTAATGTATTAAGAGAAATGTCTGTGAAAAAGCTACTTCCTCTTTGAATAACGTGTCTGGATGAGGCTGCATTTTCTTCATATATTTTAACCAGAAGAACATATTGTAGGAGATTGTGTGCAGAATCTGCATATTTGTATTATTGTTTCAGTAAAATGAATTCCTAGAAATATAAAAACTGTCAAATGATATTTTCATTTTCAGATATTAGCAAATTGCCTTTAATGTAGCTGTACTAAATTTTGCAGATAGTAGGTGAAGGTTCCCTTTCTTCATTATAATTAGCGTTGCCAATCTTATCAAGTAAAAACTTGTTGTATTTTGCATTTTTTCAAAAACTAAGTAAAAGTAGACATCTTTCTACGACTATCTAGTTATCCATCTTCCTTATTTTGTAAATTCTTTATATATCTTATATTTTTTGGTGTATCTTTTGTTTCCATTAATTTTATGATTTTGGTTTTTTTGGTACCAGCAATCGAACTCGGGTCCTTGAGCTTGCAAAGCAGTCGGCGAAAGCACTGAGCTAAATCCCTGCCCCAATTTTATGAGATTTTAAATGCCAGATATATAATTTATTTTTTAATGTTGACATATTTATTCATCTTTTCCATTATGGTTTTATGGTTTTTGAATTTTCTGTTATATATGGGTTTTATGTGGCCTCATCTACTCCAAATTATAAAAATACTTGTCTGCATTTTCTTCTAATCGACTGGTACTTTTAACCAGATTTATTTAAACCCATCCTAGACACGTTGACAGCTCAGTTTTAGTTCTAAGTAGGATCTATAACTGCATGTAGTGGAAACTTGATTAATTTTAGAGGGAAATTTAAAGGGGATGAATCAATTATGTGGTATATCACTGCCTCAACCCCCTAATATTAATATTTTCTTTTGTCTGCTATTTTTTTTTAGCTGAGGAAACGTGTGAAGCTTGAAGGGAAAGAACTTGAGGAATACTTGGAAAAAGAGAAACTAAAGAAAGAAGCTGCTAAAAAACTTGAGCAGTCAAAAGAGTGAGTTACTTTCATGTAGAGTATAAGTTTATGTATATAATTTGAAAAGAACATTTTATTTTAATTTATTTGCAGTACTGGGGATTGAACTCAGGGCCTTCATACTGAGCATCATCCCCAGCCCGTTTTTTTAATCTTTTTGAGACAGCATTTCACTAAGTCAGTGACTTGCCCAGGCTGGGCTCAAACTTGTGATCCTCCCACCTTGGCCTCCCAGAGTGCTGGGATTATAGGCATATGCCACCATGCTTAGCTCAAAAGAATGTATTTCTAAGACTTGGGTGTTCAGTTGGAAATATATAAATTTTCTTAGAACTTTATTATCTTTGTTACATCTTTCACATGGCTAAACTACCAATTCCTTTCAGTGCTGATATTAATCTTCTTTTATCAATTGGTAGTTAATGCTCTGTTTTATAAAATATTGATCTAATATTGAATATTGTTTTATTATCAGTTGAATTAATATTCAGTTAGTAACACTGAATATGAATTCAGTAATAATTTTATAAATATTCATTTAAAATCTCTTTGGGACTTTATGACCTGGATTTATTCCACAATCCTCCCAGGGTGGATATAGATTCCAGTGATGAGAGTGATGTTGAGGAAGATATTGACCAGCCATCGGCTCATAAGACAAAGCATGACCTGATGATGAAAGGTGAAGGTAGTCGTAAAGGAAGCTTCTTCAAACAGGCAAAAAAGTCTTATCCTATGTTTCCTGCCCCAGAAGAAAGAATTAAATGGGATGAATATGGAGAAATTATCAAGTATGTGAACAAAACAGACTTTTGTTTCTTACAGATTGGAGGTATCAGTTGTGTTACTTCAGCTCAGTAAATTTGATCTTTTTGATCAGCACATACTTCATTAGATTCTGAATACCTTGCCTTGAAAGATGTAGAGACTCATAGTTTGAAACAAAAGTAGAAATGCTGAGAAAAAAAAATTGATATTAGGGGAAATTAATAGTTTTATTACTTAGTTTAAATGGTTTAAAAAGACTTTCTTTTCCCCATGTACGAAGAGAGGTAAGAAACATGTCTTGGAGAAAGGCATAGGATAAAAGGAAGTTTTGGTGGTGATTGTATTTAGTTTAGGAAATGGATTATGATCCAAACATTATACATGTTTTAATTATAAGAAGAATGTGAGGCAGGATGAGTAGAACCATAGAAAATCTGTAAAATCTGTACCCACTACCAGAAAAATGGCAGAAATCCACTAACTTGCAAATTTGGAAACACCCTTCAGAGTCCCCATTACTTCCCTGGTGTCAGATCCCTCAGCTGATATCTTTCATGATCTGGTTTCTTCTTTTCTATTGCTTTCTTTATATTTCTTTATTTCTTTTTGTTTTGTGGTTTGTTTTGAGACGGGGTCTTGTTGTGTTGTCTGGGATGGTCTGGAACTCCTAGACTCAAGTGATTCTCCTGCCTCAGCCTCTCAAGTACCTGGGACTACACACACACATGCTACTGTATCTGCCTTTGTTTTTCTATATTTCTTGTACTTTCTACTCCCATAATGCTTTTTGAGCATATAAGTGGACTTAGGTCATTCCTGGGTTTAATTAGGGAAATTCCATTGTCTACTTGGCTCTGTAAAACAATAGAGAGGAAACAAAACAACTTAAGCAACACTAGTGCTTGGCTTTGCTTCTCTGTATTTCATGTACTTTGTACTTCCATAATGCTGTCTTTAGCATGTTGTGTACTTAAGTCATTCTTCAGTTTAGTGAGGAAAATTCCCTTGTTTCCCTGGCCCTCTGAAATAACAGAAAAGAAAACAACTTTAAAAGAAAACAACTGATGAATTTGCTTGCAGTCCCACTTGACCATTGGCCAGTCTGTTTAACATATGGACAGTGCTCTTTAGCTTTAGTTTCTTTGTCTGAAATTAAAGATAAGAATTAAATGAGGTTTTTCTCTTTCTTTTTTGGTGGAGGAGGGGTGGTACTAGGTTTGAAACCCAGGACCTTGTGCATGCTAGGCAGGTGCTGTGCCTCTGAGCTACACCCCCATCCCTGAAGGTTGTATTCTTAGGGCACTTAGCATAGAACCCGACTTGAACTTGAAGTACATAGCCCATAAGTGGTTGCTACTGCTGTTGTTATTCTGTAAACTACAGTTAGAGCTATTGGATTGCAGAGGGTAAAAATCTGCTGCCACAACATGGGTGTTAGAGAATAGATGCCTGGATTCTCAAAGGAGTAGGGTGGATTTGGGAGTGATATGTAGACAGTTATAGGAGGTGAGAGAAAGAATGTTGAAAACAAGTTTTTGATTTTACTTTTCATTAGAACTGTAATATTGGAAGTAAAAATGGGAAGACATGTCTCAGTAGTACACTGAAATAAAGTTGAAGGCCTATGAAGGAGCTAATAATTTCATATCTGTCTTCTCCAAAAAGGACAAATGGAAAATCATCTGCTTGCTTTGGACAAAATTGAAATAATAAGTCTAGAGGACATCTCAGGAGTTCTTAAATTTATAGTTGTTGGGATTTGCCAAAGGAAACCATAGAAATTGACAAAAAATAATTATTTGAAAGGAATATAGTGCCCAATTGCGACAGTACTTGCTATAGCCACTGAGGTCTTCTAATGACCGTTTGCTAGTCTCTCACTGAGGGCCTTTCTCTAGTCTACACAGTGTCCGTACAGAACACTTTTCAGTGGGCATGAAAACATAATATATATAGTTATCTGATAATTGATATTATGAAATTTATTGGCTTGCAATAAATATATATTTCAGTCTTGAAATTTGTGAGCAGTCTAGAAATTTATGCCACCCACTAGTTACACATTTTATATATTAGATTGCTTCTTACTGCTTCTAATTAGAGACTTATTATTTAGACCAGAGGATTTCTTAGTGCCAGAACTTCAAGCTACTGAAGAAGAAAAAAGCAAATTAGAATCTGGTTTGACAAATGGAGATGAGCCCATAGATCAGGATTTATCTGATGTTCCGACTAAGTGTATTTCTACAACAGAATCTATTGAAATAAAGTAAGTGCTTTTGCTTTTGTTGCATTTGGAAAATAGATTATAAGATAAAATTTTACATTATTTCAAAGTGAAATTTCTCAGTGTCCTCTGGTAGGTTTATGCTTTTAAAATTAATTTCTTTTTCCATGAAAAGACACATGAAGCGTGATGGTATTTTCTCTTCATTAATGTTGTTTGAGTGTCCAAGACATTGTGTTGGTGGTGGGAGAGGGAGGAGATGGATATTAATTTTTCTGGCCTTCTCAATAAGTTTTATAGCAGGTAAAAGAATAATGCATCTTACAAGTTTTAATTTTTTCTAACTGCTTGTTTCATAAAGTATGCTGCTTGATTTAAACATCACTAATGCCCTAATGTCTAGAAAATTTAATTGAAGATTTAATATCTTAATAACTTCTTAATAACCACCCTTTTTTCCTTTCTACCTAGAAAACTTTTTTCCCCTTTCTACATAGTATAATTTTGAGATTTTTATGAGGCATCAAAGAGCAAATTGGTTTATTTGCCCAGTGATACCTTCTATATATTCTCAAGTATAACTAAGGTGTAAATAATTCATGTTGACAATGTAACACATGTTTTTCTCAAGTCCTCATTTTATGTATTGTATAAGTTTCTTTCCTGATGATAAAAGCCATTTTTTTAAAAAAAGCTTAGTTTTGGAATTAACTTATTAGAAAAGTGAGCTTAAATAATCTTGTCTACTTGCAGAGCCAGGGTTACTTACATAGACTATGAAGGACGCTCTGATGGAGATTCCATTAAAAAAATCATTAATCAGATGAAACCACGCCAGCTGATAATTGTCCACGGCCCACCAGAGGCCAGTCAAGATCTGGCGGAGTGCTGCCGTGCATTTGGCGGGAAAGACATTAAAGTGTACATGCCGAAGCTGCACGAAACAGTCGATGCTACGAGTGAAACACACATCTACCAGGTAAGTAAGCTGCTGCGTGAGCCATATGGAAATGAGCACTCTGTGTTGCAGACCAGGAGACATTGGGGTGCAGGGATAGGTGATATGGACATGGCTCCCTGCCCTGGCAGATCTGAGAGCCCATGGGGTTTATAATAAGCAAAGAGCATTTCCCTCCTGGTTATACCTCTTTTGTTTTGTTTTTTTGAGACAGGGTCTGGCTTTGTAGTTCAGGCTGGCCTTGAACTCATGGCAATCCTCCTGCCTCAGCCTCCTGAGTGCTGGGCTTACAGGTGTGCCACCACATCTGGCTATTCGTGGTCATACCTCTAAGAGGAAGTGTAGGATGCTATGAGAGTATAAAGACACAACACTGACCCAGATTTGGAGATTTAGAAAAGATTTCCTGGAAGAAGTGATAACTAAGCTGAATCCTGATGGGTATTTAGATAAATTGTGAAGACAGAGTAGGAAAGAGACGAGCCAAGAATGTTCCAGGCAGAGGGAACAGTATTTATAGAAGTACAGAGGTGAAGGGAATGAGGAATGTTCAAGAATTCAAAGTTTAAAAAAGAAATTCACAGGTGGGTCAAGGTTCTTCTCCTAATTGCAACGGATGGAGACAGGTACAGAAAATAGGACTGGTGGAGGAGAGACGGACTCTTACGTGGCTGAGGGAGATAATGACGGACTAAGAGAGGAGTGATGTCTGCATCTGGAAGAAAGGGTTAGAACTCACCAGGCAGAAAATGATTCTGGGTAGAGCAGCAGGAAGCAGCATCCCAACACACGGGTGTGCACAGCCTGGGATGCTCGGGAACACACAGCCTCTCTGTTCTCTGGAGTGGGCCGACAGCTCGGTGCCTGGCCTGGCTGCGCATGAGCGTCCAGCATGGGGTGCTGTGCTCTGAACCTCACTAGTGCTGCACACACTGGAGCGAAATGCCATGGGAGTCTGGTGGTGCAGCAAGGCTGAGAGCCTCTTCTTTGGGATGTAGACAAGGACCCTGAAAATCGTACAGGGCATTAGGAGGATTGAAAGAGTGAAAGATTTTCAGGTTTTAATCATATTGTCAGAGTTAGAAAATGACAGTGAAAGGTTCCGTGTAATTTGTTAATTTATACTCTGGGTTTTATTTCTCCCCTCCCTTTTGCACATCCAGGTGAGATTAAAAGACTCACTTGTCAGCTCCCTTCAGTTTTGTAAGGCAAAAGATGCTGAATTAGCGTGGATCGATGGTGTCCTAGACATGAGAGTTTCCAAAGTGGACACGGGAGTAATTTTAGAAGAAGGAGAGCTCAAGGATGACGGAGAAGACTCAGAAATGCAAGTGGATGCTCCTTCAGATTCCAGCGTGATAGCACAACAGAAGGCCATGAAAAGTCTGTTTGGAGATGATGAGAAAGAAACGGGTGAAGAGAGTGAGATCATCCCTACTTTGGAGCCCTTGCCCCCTCACGAGGTAAGGAAGCCTGTGTCTTTTCAGACTCTTCCTCAATTTGTCTTCCTTCTAAGTTTTCTTTTTATGTTTGTAACCATTTAAAATATGTTTTATGTAGGCTGATTTTGGAGTTCTTAAAAAAGATTACTCAAGCTGGGCATGCTGCCCATGTCTTTAGTCCCAGACTTAGGAGGCTGAGGCAGAAGAATCATGAGTTTGAGGCCAGCCTGGGCAACGTATCTAATTCAAAACCAGCCAGAACTACAAAGCGAGACCCTGTGTGAACTACTACTCCTCAAAAAAAAGATTACCCAAGACACGTTCCTCTGTTTCTGTATGTGTATCCAATCTCTATGGCTGGAGAATAACAATTTAGAGGAAACCTTTAACAAACCTTTGAAGGTATAGAATAGTTTCATGGTTTGGATTTTCAACATGGAATTTTTTTTTCTTTGAGACAAGGTCTTACTTACTATGCTAGCAATCCTCGTGCCTCAGCCCCCCAAGTGCTAGGATTACAGGCATGTGCCACCACATTTGGCTCTCAGCATGAATTTGTAAATAGTAAATTTGATTGTGAGGACCACCTGCCTGCTTCCAATCAAATTTGTACTTTTCTGAGAATGTCATACTCTTGCATTCCATTTCATATGTTGTCAGTTAAGTTTAAATCACTTTTGGATTTGATACAGTTAGAACCTTTGCTTAAGTACAGCCATAGTTCTAGCCTAGTGTTTACATTTTTTCAAGAGAGAGCCATTTAATTAGCAAAGATTTCAGGTAATGAAACTTAAAGCAGAATTAGAACTGTAAGAGCCCTACATGCTTATTAAGTGTAGGCTAGTGTAGCTATGAAGCTGAGACTCATTGGATTCCCTTCTTGAAATTGGTAGGCAGAATTAGAGGGAAACTTCTTTTCTCTCCGAGTGAAAGCTAGCACTCTTCAGAGCAATTTCAGAGTTGCAGCGGTAGGCAAGGACCACTTGCCATTCAGATTCTAAACCCGTTCCACCCATTACGTCCACACTGAGGGAGGAGGGGAAGTGGAAGTGGGATTAGGAAAGATTTATCCTCTGAACTGAGCGAAGGACTGGGATTTGGAAAATGAGCTTTTGGTCCAGTTCTGCCTTTTGGCACTCTAGTTGACCCTCTCTCACAAGTGGGTGAAGAAGAGCGTGTTACCACCCGTCTCTGTTATTAGGAGGCATGAGTAATAGAATTGTGAAACATCAGAAAAATGTGAAGGGTTTTGTAATGTTAAATAACGAGGTAAAATCCAAAATAACAAACATGGAACGTGATTACAGTCCTGAAGTGATCTGTCAGAGGACTTCGGAGAGTAATAAAAACTATCTCAGCCATCATGCAGGGCTTCACTTTATTCAGTACAACTCTGTGTTTGGTGTTTTATTTGAAGTTGTGCTTCCCCCTTTGACTTTATCCAAGGTTCCTGGACATCAGTCAGTTTTTATGAATGAACCAAGACTATCAGACTTCAAGCAAGTTCTTTTACGGGAGGGGATTCAAGCTGAATTTGTAGGAGGTGTACTTGTTTGCAACAATCAAGTAGCAGTCCGAAGAGTAAGTTCGTTTTTAATAAGGGCTGACTTGAACACATCCTTCAGATGTTTTGTCAGTTTGAATTCTTCCTTGATTTGTGATTTCACAGAACTGAAGATCGGTAATTTATATCTATAGTGATGACGTTGGAGAATTGTACATGGCTCTCAAGAAATGATATATAATTTTATGGTAAATTTTGTGTTGCTTGAATCCTCTGGAATTCATATGTCTATTAAAATTTGTTATTTGAATATTATATTCATATTCGATAAATCAGCATTCTATTTCCCACTAATTGTAGTCGATTTAATATATTTTGGGTTGGATTTGGTTTGGTTTGGTTTGGTTTGGTTTGGTTTGGTTTGGTTTGGTTTGGTTTGTTTTGTTTTTGGTACCAGGAATCAAACTTGGGACCTTGCGCTTTTGAGGCAGGCACTGGAACCACTGAGCTAAATCCCCGGCCCAATTTAATATATTTTGTTTATTATGTCTACATATTAATGAATGGCAAATGTACTAACCTCTTTTTCTTAAACTTGGTTTCTAGACGGAAACTGGACGCATTGGATTAGAAGGCTGTCTTTGTCAAGATTTTTATAGGATAAGAGACCTTTTGTATGAACAGTATGCCATCGTGTAAAGGACATGATGTCAAGAAGTATCTACTTGACCTTTCTAAGAAAAAAGCGTTTTTATTCTAAGCTTTTGCTCCTTTGTTTTGTAACATGCGAAAAGAATCTGCTAGAAAAACTGAACATGTATTAAATTTTTTTAAATGTAAATAGAGGACTGGGGATATTGCTCAGTGGTAGAGTGCTTCCCTAGCATGCACAAGGCCTAAGGTTTTAATCTCCAGCATCAGAAAAAAACAGAAAGAAGGAAAAATGAAAAATGTAAACAGAACCCATGTTGCTAGTGCAGAATGAGTGCCCTGCCTTTTGGCTTTCAGAGTGGTAGAGGTCCTAACAGGTGCACAGGTTAGAATTAAAGATGATTGGTTGCCTTTACAGACCCTCGCCTTCAAAGGGCTTTTTACTTGAATAAAACAATGCAATTTAACAAACCAGTTCGTGGCCTTAGAACACGTTTGCATGTCCTCTTGCAAACAGCTTCTTGTATATTCTGAAATGAAAGAATTATTTGGCAAAAGATGTGCTTCAACAAAACTAAAGTGATATAATAGTTTTTTGAAGATTAGGTATTTTTTAAAAAAGTGTATGTGCTATCATTCTTTTCAATTCTAATCCGTGTTTTCACGTGTCGTGTATCTGTTCCAAGCCTATAGTTTCCAGTGATTCACTCTAGTGTGAGGTAGTACACATTTTGTCCAGAAATCAATTTTTATTTTTCTCATTTCTTGTCTTACTGATTTTTTTTGTTGTTCAATTTCAGTTATTACACCATCATTTGAATATGTCATTCAAAGGAACTGCTTGATGCCTTAGTCTTAAGGGTTCTGCATACATTTTAGATACAACTGTCAGCTGGGTTACTGTATTTGGATCTGTTCAGTGCTGTACTTTTAAGAAAAATGTTGAACTTCACATTTTTTTTTTATAAAGTAGCAGTGTAATTTAATTAAAATATGTAAATGTTTTCCTCTCTTAGGCTTGCACTCTTCTAAGGTTACTGCAGCAGTGGTTGGATTTTATGTACATTGCTAGAAAAGTAGTACTGAAATTGGCCGGGCACAGTGCCATGTGCCTGTGACCTCAGCTAGTTGGGCAGCTGAGGCAGGAGGATCACAAGTTTGAAACCAGCCTTGAGTAACTGAGCAAGACATTCTCTCAAAGAGGACCGGAAATGTAGCTCGGTGATAGAGCGTTTGCCTAGCTCTACCATGGGTTCAAACCCCAGTACCGTTGAAAAACAAAACAAAACACTAAAATTGGATAAGGTCATCTTTGCTGTCCTGATACAGTATAGACCATTTGTATTCAAGAGTAAAACCTGAATATATGCAATATACATTGGATTTAAGCCATGAAAGATACGGTGCCCTATTGTAATTTGTTGATTTTTCCTTTTTAGAAAAGTAATTTAATCATGGCACACCCTGATGCTTATTCTCTTTACACTTAGCATTTTTAAGAGCATCAGTCTTTGTTAACTTTTGTGGAACTATGTATATTTCAACCCAGTGACATCAGAATAGAATTAATACTTCATTCTGTGTCAAATGCTTACAAAACGTCTGTTGTAGATTATAATATTAATACAGAGTTTACAGCCTTCTGATACTGACAAACCAATGTTTCAGAAGATGAATATAAAAGGTATAATTCCTTTTTAGCATCTCAAAAATTTTCTCTCAAACGTTTGGTGCTGTATAATTCTATGTATATTCCAGGGGAAAGAAAGTCTGTATTTCTTTCATGGTTTAAAGTATCTGGTTATACATATGCTGAAAAACTTACCTTGTCTACCCTTTCTGTTGACCTGTGAGCAATAATGAAACTACAGTACAGAGCTGGGTGTGGTGGCACATGCCTATAAGTCAAGCCACTTGGGAGGCTGAGTCAGGAGAATGGAGTTCAAAGATAGCCTGGGCAACCCAACAAAACTCTATTTACACACGTGCATGGTGCTTGAAGATTGCCATGTTAAATGTCATTGCAAGATCAACACTCTTACTTGTTTCTAGAGAGATGACAGTATTACTGAATTTTCTAAAACGAGACCTTTATTTTGGCATGTTACTTTAAAACAATTTTACTAACGACTATGAGATACAACAAAGTCAGAGAAACTTTCAGATCTTTATTGTTTCAAAGCAAGAATAAATACATGTGGATTGTTAACTGATATCTGCAAGTAGTTTTGTTAAAAAGAAACTGTATTGTAGTATTTGTGAACGTAGACATGTCAGATATTTTTGCAGTTATTTGTATGCTTTCACCACCCAGTAGGTGACCTGAAACAGAAATGAGGAGATCAATTTTCTAAGGAGGGCCATTCACCTTTTTAAAAAATTGAGGTGTAAGGCCGGGAATTTAGCTCAGTGGTTCCGCCGCCTGCCTCGCAAGCGCAGGGACCTGAGTTTGATCCCCAGTACAAAAAAGAAAATTGAGGTATAGTTTACATTCCATAAAATATTCATTCTTTTAAAATGTACAGTTCATTTGGTGTATTTACAGAGTTGTGTGACCATTATTCTACTGTCTACTTTCAGGACGTTTTCATCATTCCGAAAAGAAACCCCGTACTTATTAGTACTTATTCCCTATTTTCCCTTCTCCCTAGCCCCTGCTAATCATTAAATTTTCTGTTTCTGTGGATTTTCTATAAACATAGAACCAAGCGACATTTGGCCTTTTGTGTCCGACTTCTTTCACTTAGCATAATGCTGTTTTTAAGGTTCTTCAATATATTAGCATGTATCAGTATCCTTTTTTACAGTGGAACTATATGTCCTTGTATGGATATGTTGTACCACATTTTGTTTTTTCATCAGTTGGTGGACATTTGGGTTGTTTCCAATTTGGGGCTATTATGAATAATGCTGCTTTGAACAGTCATGCATGAGGTTCCCCTCCCTTTCTGAATATATATTTTCAATTTTCTTGAGTATATACCTAAGAATTGAATTGCTACATCATATGGTAATTAGGAACTGCCAGATTGTTTTCCAAAGTGATTATACTATTTCACATGCCCACCAGTATATATGAGAGTTCCATTTTCCCTACATTCTGTCTAACATTTGTTACTCTCTACCTTATTTTTTGATTTTAGCCATCCTAGTACAGTGAAGAGGTATCTTACTGAGCTTTTAATTTGCATTTCTCCAGTGAATAATGGCAAGCATTTTTTCATGTGCTTATTAACTATCTTTGGAGTAATGTCTGTTCAGATCCTTTTTTTATTTAAAATTTTTTTTAATGATTGAGTTACAAGGTTGTTTTAGACATGTTCTAGATACTAAAAATACATATACATATATATGTATATGTATATATATTTTATTTCAGGCTAGCTTTGACAGATCTTCTTGCCTCGGCCTCCTGAGTAACTGGGAATACAGGCATGTACCATCATGCCCAGCTTTGAATTAATTTTTATTGATGGTACGAGGGAGATTATTTCCCTATTGAATTATTTTGCCACCCTTGGTGCAAATCAAGTTGTTTTATTGATTGATCTCTGAATATCTGTTTTCATGCCAGTACCATAGAGTCTTGATTACTTTGTAGGAAGTTTTTAAATCACAAAGTATGAATTTTTCAGCTTTGTAACAATCTTTCAAGATTGTTTTATCTGTCTCTCTTGGGTCCCTGGATTTCCATGTGAGTTTTAGAAACAACTGATCAATTTTTGCAAAAAAGTTCACTGAATTCTAATAGAGGAGAAAAAAGCAGTTGGAATTTACAGTTTAAAAATCTTAGAGAATGTGATGGCTGAGAGTGACTAAGAGCTCATCTAGCTCAACCTATTTATTTTTAGTTTTGATGGATGAGTCTGCAGTGGGAAGGAGTTGCTTGAGATCCACCTAGCTGGTTAAAGGCAGAGTTGAGATTGGAACCTTCCAGCCATCCAGGCCCTTCTGCACTATTGTGTTCCTTCAGTTCTTGGTTTACATTCACTTTGCTGAGCAGTAATGTGTTCAGTTCATCTATTCTAAGAAGGGCAACTGTTATTTAGGGCAATAGCATGTTGAGAAAGATTGATTGCTATTCTGTCATGGCCAGTAAAGGTGCACATTTCTTTGGTTGTAAGCTTCTAGAGTTTTATCACAAGGTTATTCTTTAAAATATTGATGAACTGTTGTCACTTAAGTCAGGATGGTTTAGAAAGAATACATGAAGATACAGTGGGAGCTAAAACAGGAACATGCAGATCTGCCTGCCTGCACTGGTTCCAAAGATTTAGGAGGTTTTTTTCCTCCTTTTATTTTTCTGTCACTTTAACCATTTCAGTTGTGTTTATAGGAAAATACCCAAAATTACTAAAATAAATTTAAAAATCAAGACTTTGCTGGAAGTGAAGGTATCTACTACCGCTTCACCATCTCTCCCTGTCATTATCTCCACAAGTTCCCCAACATATAGCTTCATTTTTTGATGCTTTTCATTCATTACTCAAGCTCCTCTCATTTTAATTCTGGAAGTCAAAATGATTCCAAAGGGCCTAATAGAAGTTTGGAGAGTTTTAAATCTCTCTTCATTATATTTGAAGAGAACCAGAAGTTTATGTGCTTTTTATGCAAAATTGTTAATGGATTCCATGGATCCTACCCACCCCACCCCCCACACCATGCTGGGAGTGAACACAGGGCCTCTTACATGTTAGGCAAGCTCTCTCCCAGGTAGGTACATCCCCAGCCCCCTACTCAAACTTAATGCTGAGTGATAATCTCAAGCAGAGAATATGCAAAAGATTCATAAGCACTTGCCCACTTTCTGAAATTAGTTGGTGTTAAATGTTTAGCATCCAGTTTGTAGTATTTCTTTTTTACCTGATACAATTATATTCTTTTAAAAAGTATACTAATTGTACTCAATACTAGTGGAGGCCTTCAAACAGATCACTGTAGGAAGCTTTAGTCCAAGAATACTGCTGCTGCCCTTTTAAATTTTTTGGAATTGTTTCTCTTCAAATCCGTTTCCTAACCTTACTAAAAGTGTAAATTGTTTCAGAAATACATTGTGGTCTTGGCCCAGTGTGTCATTATCACTTCACTGTAAATGATGAAAAAAAATTAAAACTCTACCCAGGACAGACATTTGCTGCCATAGGCAATTTTTATATTAAAAATTAATATCAAACTCAAAAGTAGTGGCATGTACACCAAAAATTATAAAGGTACATTACTATAATTTCCAACTTTACCCATAAGCCATGGTATAGGTGACCTTTCATATATCAAAGAACATAAATGCTGTATTAGGTTTACCATGTTAGAACACAATAGCTAACACCTATAACGTAAAGGAAGAAAGGTTTAATTAAACTTACAGTTTCCAGAGATTCAGTCCATGCTTGGCTGGCTCTAAGGGAGGAACATTATGGCAGAAGGGTGTAGTGGAGCAAAGCTGCTTAGCAGGGAAGCAGAGGAGAGGAACAGTGCCAGAGAGGATGGATGAGAGACCATATATAGTACCCAGGATCACTCCCAGTGACCTACCCAGATACACCTGGAAGTGTGTTCCGCCAGTGCCCTGGGCAGCTCCCAAGTCAATCAAGTTGATACAATCAAGTGTCACAAATGCATGAGGTTATGTAAATAATTTTCAGTTACGTGAAAACATTTGAAATGTTCAGAATTTTAATTCTCAATGATTTTTAGTATAAATGATCTTTTTTCCTTCAAGGAGATGAACTTGGAGAACTGATATTTAATAAGGACCCAGAACACTGCATTTTAATTATTAAGCAGAATTTTATATCTGCATTATTACTTATTAAGGAACGCTTACACCGTTATTTCAGTTATTCTTTTGGATACTTTTACCAAAGTTAATGAAATCATTAAGTAAAGATTTTTTTCTAGGAGTATAAAAACCAGTGTAATAAATTCCTTGTAGTTGACCGATCATGGGTACTGATTTTAAAAAAACTTTACTTTGAAATAATTTTAGAGTTACAGAGAAGTAAAAATAGTTCAAAGTATCTTATATTTTCCCCTTAAGTTTTCTGTCAATATTTTGCCATATTTACCTTATGATTATATATTTATAAGATTTCTTGAATAGATGAATACTCAGTTACAGTTAAAAATGTCACATTAGTCCTAAACATTTCAGTGCATATCTTTAAAAAAAAAATAAGGATACTCTCCTGCATCACCACAATACTCTCATCAAAATCAGTGAACCAACACTGATAAATTTCTACCATTTAATCCACAAACCCCATTCAAATGTTGCCAATTGCATGTTTTCAAAATGTCATAACTCCTTTTTGATGTACGATCCAATCCAGGCTGGTGTGTGCATTTAGTTATATTTTTCCCTTTAATTTTCTCAAGCAGTTTCTTGGGTCTCTCTTTCTCCCTCCCCCCTTTTAATGACTGAGACAATTTTGAAGAGTGTAGGCCAGTTACTTTGTAGAATGACCCCTACTTTGGATTTGTCTGATGATTCCTAATGATTAGATTCAGCTTTTGAATTGTGGGCAGAAATGGCAGAGAAGTAATGCTCTGTCTGCCTTGTATCAGAAGGGACAGTTTTTTCCATTACTGGTGGTGGTCACAGTTGTTTATGATATCTTCAAAGTTTCTCCATTGTGAAAGTAATAGTAATTTTTTTCCACTTTTACCGTTTGTTCCTTTTTGGTATTAATTTAAAATGTAATATATATGGATATATACACATATATATAGTGAAATGATTGCTACAGGCACTTACTAAGAATGGACATTTTGTCAGGAGCTGCTTTGAGACTATGGCAATAGCCTGATTTTCTTCAAATTTGCATGCTCTAGTTTTAGTATGATGATTCTTATGTGAATCACTTATTGCCAAATGGTGATTTTCCAGTTCTACCTTGCTTCTACTTTTAATTAGCATTCTACTTCGCATTTATTTATACTGTATTTCTTTCTGTAGGGAACATGTTTTATATCCACATACTATCATGATTTATTCATGTGATCCCGTTGTCCTCAACTTGGCAGGTGGAAGCACTTTCAAACTGACATCAGGATCCTTTTGACACATCCCCACTTTCTCAGTATTTCCTTACGTTTCTGGCACCCTGAGATGTTCCAGGCTCATCTTGCATTTTCCCTACCCTAGTCCTGGGATCAGACATTTTCCCCAAAGAATCCTGGTTCCCTTTAGTGAAGAATGGTATTTAGAACCAAGACCTGGGTGCTTGCCTGTTTTCATGGCTGCCGGGCTATCATTGCTACATCTCAGTGGACAAACGTGGAAATACACGCATCTGTGCTTGTTCCCTTGCCCATCCATCTGTATACATTAAAAACCACAAGTTCACACTGCTCTCCACAGGGCTTATCCTAGTCTTTCTCTTTTCCATATTTGTAAGGCCTTACATTACATTTAAAAACTGCACTCCCATAGTCCTCAATATATGGCCTGTTTGTTTATTGGTCATGTGATCTCTTACCATACGCTAGATCCCTTGCTCCAGGCCCCTGTAGATAGTTGCTGTAAGGATTGAATTTCTTCCCTTTCCCCATCCAAGGTATAACTTGCCAGTTGCACCTCGTAGTGTGTATTTTGAAGCTGACACCTTCTCAGCTGGGAGTGCCCAGGACACACATTGCAGTTCAAGTTTACCTGGTGCTCTAGCAATGGTGAAATAGGCATAGGTTCTGAAGGTTTTCACTCTTTGGAGTTTGG